TGAAAGCCAGGCAGAATGATACAGGCTAGACATAACTAAATACGAAACACTGAATAATGATCTCCAGGATGTCAACAAATGATAAGTGCAGTTCTTAATATTGTTCTTTGCTAAATGACAAATAGATACCTTTCATTGATCTCTTCTTCCACCCAGGACTCGTCTCCTACTTTGCAAGTGTTTTTTGTGCTTTATCACTTTTGTGCTAAACTTTCAGTAATTCAGCATATGCCGTTGTTGACTAAGGATCGAGATGACATTAGTTAAGTAAGGTTTCGATCGTGCAAACACGAGTCCTGTGCAGTTGATTGGTTGCATTATCATTTCTCAAATGGAATGCAGCATACTGTATGTTAGGGTAAATCTTCCGCCTCACTTGCTGAAGCTGGTGTTCCTCAGGGTTTTTTCTCTCCCCTTTTCTTTTTTCTCTCTCGTCTTACATGACTTTCCTCTTTCTAATGAGAGCAACTTCGTCAAATACGCTGCTGATCTGACTGTCTCACTTCTTGTCATGTTACAATGTGACTGCAGCAAACTTAACTGCTTCCTGTTGGTAGTCTAAGGTACATGGTCTTACTTTAAATCCCTCTAAATGTCAGGTAGTTATTTTTCCCTTCACTCTTAAGCGTGAACTACGAGAACTGTGTCGTTCACAAGATGCTTGTATCAAAGAGGGCACTGAAACATGAACTAAGTCTAACATGAAACGCCTTGGAGTAGTTCTATCCTCTGGTCTTTCTTGGTCACTCTATATCTTGTCGATTTCTACGATAACCTTCATTGCAGCTTACCACGTTATGTAGCCAAGACAATCAGGAATCATTCAACCTCTATTTTTACAATTTGTTAACTCTTGCATTGGTCTTTACTGCCCCCCCCTTATTCTTTCCCGAATTACTCAAAAGCGGCTATGTCATATTGTGAAGGGTATTAAGATTATCATGAGGGCAAGTGGTGTACCATTTAGTCAACTCGTTAATGCATTAGTTGAAAGACATCTAAAGTGATGCGAGAAATTGTCTAAATGTATACTGTCTAACGCTCAACATCCCCTCTATTCTCAGCCATTCCCTTTAATTTCATCTGATGGAACCAGAAGTCAGTATAAAAGACTAAATGGTCGTTCAACCAAGCGTGGGAACTCAGCGATACCACGTATAGACAATCAGTGTTCTATGTGGAAGAGGCAACGTAAAGCGTAAGACTTATGAATTACTGTGTTGTTAGGTAAAAAAGTGGCCCTTTTATTATCTACTTTTAATCTACGGTCACACTACCTCCATTAACTGACAATTTTAGTTACCAACCCTATTATTTACAATTTTTCTGGTTAATAAATATGCATATATGATTTTACTGTCACTACTAATACCAAAGTGTCCTTAACAATCCTGTAATGTAATCTTTACAACTGTTTCGAATATTACTTCATAAAATTAGATGCAATTATGTACGAGATGCTGCGAATTCAACACTGTAACATTGATACTGTTTTGGAACAAAGCAAATTATTATTACTGTTGCACCTCGCTGCAGTGTTAATTTGCTTATACCCTTATGATTGCCGTATCCTAAGTATTGCACTCATTTTCTCAATTTTTCGCATTGTGTACATAGGGTGCAACGAAGAAGTAACAGCGAACTATAAGTAAGTAACGCTGACGCAAGAAATGGTAGCAATCGAAAGAAATGAAATGAGTGGAAGACTTTGTAATAATACTAGTAATCTCCTTTATTCCAAAACAGTACTTGACTTATTTACCTATTTTAACGTGTCTTCTAATTATCTTGTTTTTGTCTTTGTATACATTGCCTAAGATGCCGTTGTACGCATTGTCTGGAAGCAGTCTTTAATTTCACCTACCTTCCGCAAGGTTTGTCGTAGGAAACGTCGAAATTTTACTGACTGGAAAACGCTACAATTGGTGTTTATGTTACTGATGCAGCGATACACAAGACTAGAAACGTTATAGCGATGTATGCTAGTAATAACTTTACCTACATAGTAAATACAATGCTAATTACAAAAACTCGTCATTATCTTTTCATCGAGTACTTATAAGAAAAAAAGTTTACCTTATTGTATTACTTCTCATACTAAATACTGAAAATTCCGCCTGGTACTCACTTCTACTTGCGCCCTACAAAATACTTTCTACTAAATTCGCAAATGACTCTCAAACTTTTGTCAAATGAAACGGTAAAACAGAAGGCTTATACAGTTCAGAAGTTAGGTTATATTTGCAGTTATTGACACAAAATATATGTACATCTTCAATTTTCAGACAAGAAAATTCTCAAAGTAATTCAGGGTTGCGCACAGTGTACTAATTGTGTATCCATTACTATAATTATCCTGCATAACTGCGAAGCTTCTGTTCAATTGCCGGCGAAGTTGCAGTATCTCCCTGCAGGGTTTCTTTACTGAACTTTCACATGGCACACTACTACTTGGTAGTAACGGATCCCGCCAAAACCATCTGCGACACAGTCAAAGTACTTTGTCGACTAAAAGTATTAATTTAAATATTAGTAAGAGGTTGATTTACCTGTAAGCTGAGGAATTTGAGTGTGACACAGCAGCATATGCCGGCAAGGTATTCTTTGTGCCCGAAAAATTCTGCAGGCACAAGTTGAATTGGTATAATCCACTTGGTGCAGGTTGTCAATGTCGAGGTCCAACTACCATGGACTTAACGCTGTTCTTAGAAGACTTTCAGAAACTATTGTCTATAACCAACGCGAAAAACCAGAACACGAATTGGTGATTCAAGAATCCTATATTCTTGCGCGAATGCAGAACCAACCACAAGGTTGTTGTACACAAATTTTCTGATAGTATTTCTCCGTCTTCTACCGAACAGCGTACGATGGAACGATGACTGCAGTATCGATGACTCCCGCCAAAATATGGAGTTGGGTTTGAGCAAACAACCGTTAAATTGATCGTTCATTCTTCAACTATTTTGACACTCCCCGGTAAAAAAGGGATCTATCCCTTTTTTCCATCACTACCAATACACGTTTACTTGGATACCAGTGCGAGAACCTGGGCCACAAGGAGAAAGCTGAAATGGAAAACAAACAACAAAGCCAACATACCACAGGCATACCCACAGCACAATCTCACTCGTCGACGATGACTTACACCTTCCAGTTAAGAGTATCGTAAACTGTAAACTGTCTTGACATCTTGCAACACAATCGCCACTTGCTAGAATGACTCTTGCAGAAAGCAACATGACCATAGCAGCACCTCATGATACTCTTCGTACATCCTCTTATCCGTTCAGTACCAATTACCACTGCTACCACTTGTCACTCATTCTGCCTCATTTCTAGTAACGGTGACGTATGCTAGCCTCAGTCGTCTACACTCTCACTCCCTGGCGTGTGGGACCCCAGCCTGAATCGAAACATTCATTCTCAATCATTGATTCCACAGCTAATCCTTGTCTACATGTGCATGTCATTCTCAGCAGCAGCCTGTCCGGCATATACAACCCATCTGCTGTCTTTAACATCAATCAATCCATTCACAGATGTAGAAGACTCGAAACAACTTCGGAAGTAAGCACGACGAAATTTTAACAAAATTATACAATACAACAAAGTACGAAAACAACAAATAAACACAATGAATCCAAAAACACCAATTGATACGATAAACCATGCATATATACAAACAGTACACATAACCTCGCAGAACATGTCTTGATGTAATTCCTTTGAAGAATCTCAGGACTTATAGCAATACGCCTGCAACCCCTCTCAGGTTGACGATTCAAGTGGAAAATGTCCGAACACAAACAATATTAACCAACAAATAGATGAAAGATGTATGTATGTTTTCCTCATATTTTGCTTTACGCTTTCCAAATTGTTTTACGGAGATCTTTAGTTTTCCATTTTCATAACTTAATCTTTGACTCTGCTATTTGACGTTACTACAGAAGACACCACACGCAACATCATACTCAGAAATCTTGTCAGTAGCATACGCCAAAAAGGTATAATGTGACGGCCTCCGTAAGCAATGTGGTTATTCCGAAAAGATTTCTGAACAAGTTTAGGGTTTCTATATCCTCAAGTTTAAGTGTTTTTCGCAGCGTGCTTCCAGAACAACATTTCATCATTTACCACTTCGATCTAACTGTAATCTGTATATTTAGAAGACATTTGTCTGCTGAAGAACAGACCTGACCCTGTAGACAAGCTGAAAGTGATTATGACTAGGCAAGAACTGTCCTTAGATAACATACCAAGACGGTGGCAAGTGCACACTGTTTCTCTCATAGAAAATATATTGAGAAGGATGTGTTTCAGTTCTCTTGACTGCGCGTTATCAGGCCTATTACATGTAATGTAGTTCCTCTCTCACGAAAGACCTTGATGGACCTCGTGGCAACGAAATCAACCAGGAAAACCATGAGTGTTGTTGGCATCTCGGATCAGTTTTGACATCTGTAAGACTATGCTGTGACCTATTTGAAAATCACCCATGGAGTTTTTCTACTCCCATCTGAAGTGCATTTATTTTCCCCATGTAACCGGATTCTTCATTTATAATAGGCCCCTCAGTGTTGTATGAACCCAGTAACACCACCTTATTCTTCATCCCCATAATTTAGAGTTTGACGAAATCTTAGTCTTCTTTTTCGAAGTACTCTTATACATTTATTCAGCTCAGTTAGTAATACACAAGTAAAGTGAGAGATAATCATTGGGTGATGTGAATCATTTGAGAATACACTAGAATCACACAGAGATTCAGTCCTTCTCGAAACCTGAGTAGTCGTTGATGTTTATTCACTTTCCTAGATTTTAGAGGATTAACCTATTTTGCTGTTCTTAAATGACAGAAAGAGAGTGTCAAGAATTCTATAGACATTTATATGCTCTTTACTATTATAGTGGCAATTGAACAGTGGAATTTGATGTGCATTGCTTTTTGCTAGCAATACGTATTGTACACTTTCAAGTGCCACGTTACATACACAATGTCATATGGTTATTCCAGTCTGCTTCCTAAAAGAGAGATTAATGCAGATCTTTTTGCTAACGATAACAAGAAATGGAATGGAAATTTAACAAGGATTGCTATATGGGATACAGGTGTTGATCCAACTGCAGCTGGTCTTCAAGTTAGTAATATTTAACTCTATATGAGTAATACCAAGCAATCCTTCTTGGTTGAATTCTAGTTTGACTAAGACAAGTACCTCAGAGTTCGGACTTGGTGCATAAAACACATAGAGTTTTACAGCCATTTAACAAATTAGATTTAAAATATGTTAACTTATCTAAGTTAAATAGGTATATAAATATATCCTTCAATATACTGAAGTCACAAGACTTACCTGGAATTCTTTCTTTATTTATATATCACATGAGTTCATCACACCAGCTTAATCCCAGCTTAGTCGTGATCGTATTTATACTGGAGATTTATTAATGCAAATAATTTCATCAAACCTCATATATTTTCTGTGATAGGATATTTTCGTACTTTGCTTCAGTTGCGCAATCCATAGATAACGCCTGAATAATAGCGTCTTCCTGGTTATCAAATGCTTATGGGATCCGTTGTTTTCCCCTCACTCAAGCCTGAAATAATTGAGAAATGATACGTTTTTGTGTAGTGACTCAACAATGAAATGATGGTCTTCTGTTTTTCGGTATCCCAGGAAGTATTTACATGCGGCTGTAATATTTGTATGACATTATTTCTGCATTGAGTGCTAGATTTCAACACTCCATTGCATTTTTATACAGTTTCCGATTGTAGACATACTTAAAACTACTTTTATTGTGTATTATCTCACTCAATATCTTTGACTGCCTCATATAAACTCTATACAACTGTATAATTTTCATGTAGTGAAACTGGATAATTTAGTGTTTATTAGGGACGTAATGAAGCACCGTTTCAATCCGATTCAGAAATTACCTGTTTACAATTCTAAATCATTGTTTACATAATAAAAAGTTTATACTATTACTATAAGTCTGTCAAGTAAGCTCTATGAGGAGGATTCTGTAAGGCTAATAAACAATAAAATTTATTGGGGAAACCTTACGTTCAGAAGTTGTTTAGGAATTACATTTATAAAAGTCATCTTGTATCAGCCACACAGCAGACACAATTGCTGGCAGGGAACTGTAGTGACATGCGGGAAATACAGCTAACTTACAATTCGTAGGCTCATGAAATCGAAGTACCAAAATGTTAACGTACAACAAGTAACATATTTCTGGTTTAAGAGTTTTCAATTTGGTGGGAAGTGTATAGGAACATGTTTGACAGACTGACTAAAAAGTAAGTGAAATTATTGTCGAAACTTGATTTATTTTATTTGTATATTCTTGGGATTATACCCGATTTTTCTAAGTTTGGTACTTGATGATTGCTAGCCGAGAAGTGAAGTCGATTGAATGTTATATCTGAATGGGGTATAATTGAGTTCCAATGATGTTGACCGTGTGGTTATTAATGAATTATGTAAATGCATTGGTCCTAGTGGAATAGATCCCATATTACATTAGATGCAGACTCTGTCCCATACAGATCACTGCGTAACTTTTTGACCTGTAGGCAACCCTTTGTAGAACCACATATTTCAGAAAAGTCACTTGCGTCTTCTATTGAATGAAAAAATTAACTGTCTGTACAACTCCCACCTTTTTGTATCAGTTATTAGCATTGTCTGAGTCTAGTTTCTATGACATACTTTGTATCACTTGACCTTTTGTTCACTTCTCACTCACTTCCAAAAGTCTAATATTTGTGACCATTGTATTTTGGTGCTCAGATTACACCGGATGGAAAACCGAAAATTGTGGATATGATTGATGCATCAGGTTCTGGAGATGTGAAAATGAAGTGTAAACGACATATAGATCAGGTGAATCGTACTGTCGAAACGCTAACTGGACGCAAAGTAGAGGTATGTTCTCAATCATTATTCTCTTCCATTGATTTCTATAAAATGTCTATGGACTGTTCACTGGCTCGACCAATGGAATTCCAACTACTCAACAGTTTCAACCTTCTTTCCACCTGCTGAAATTAATTCAGTTAGGCATTTTTTTTCTTTGATAAGCGTAATTGTAGTACATATGACAAATTGTATGCCGCATCAGCCCATTTTTGTTTCTGAAATTAGTCACACAAATGGCTAACTTGCTGACATAGTCTGCCGTAACTTGGTCACTTAGAAGAATATTACACTTATGGCCTACTGAGAGATAGACCACATGAGAACGATACAGTCATTACCTGTTTGTTCTCTAGATCACAGATATCTTCTTTGATCTCAGACAACGGCGACAGAATTATCGATGCTTGTTGATGATTTGTGTGAGATTCTACTCCGACTCCAGGAAATTCTCTTGGCTCATACATACACACAGACGGCTCCCGTTAGAAACGGACATTACAGAAAAGCCATCTGAATTATGTATTATATGAGGTAATTATAATTAATCAAAACAAATGATTCAGCGAAGAGACTCTTTTCAACGAATTTATCATCAATGTCATATATAGAATAATTCATAGGATGGATAGAACTTGAAAAAGGTGTGCAATTATAAGATTAGTAAACAAATCGAATAAAATATAAACGTTACGTAATATTGTGTGAAATTTAATAGCATAGAATTTAATGTTCCATAAAGGAATTGATTTAGAATGACAAGTGGAACAAGTGAAATAATACCGAGGACAATTAAAAGTGAGAGTAGTAATAGTAACAATTGACTTAATAAGGAAGAGTATACAAGTTCTATCCATCCTATGAATTATTCTATATATGACATTAATTTGCTTTGCCACTTGACATTTAACTACGATTATAATCACAAACATTTTAGTTTGAATTGCATTTCATATTATAATTATTTTATGCATTCACACCTATGTTTCAATTCTTAAAAACCATATATATACGATTGTACAGCTTGATGATAAATTCGCTGAAAAGAGTCTCTTCGCTGAGTCATTTGTTTTGATTTTCTATATGTTACATTGAGAATTTTCCATGATTTTAAAAATTATAATTAACTCCAGTGTTACTAATAACACACATTTAAGTGAAAATCTGCTTATGACAACGAAGTTAAAATTAAATTAGCAGTAAACTTCAGTCTTTCTAACCATATTTTTTATTTTTTTACATGTATAAGATATTTTTTTACAGTTCTCCTTCTATTCTAGATACCAAGTCACTGGAATCCACCTGATGGTATAATAAGAATTGGAGTCAAATTAGCATCAGAACTGTTTCCTAAACTTTTAATGCAAAGATTACGCAATGAAAATCGTGATAACTTTTGGCGACCAAGTATTAAACGTTTAGCAGCCAATTTAGCTTGCGATTTAACTGAAGCTGAAGAATATTTAAGCGATATAACACAAAATTTTAATCGTATTTCAATCTCAAGCTCAGATAAAGGTGAATACTCTTCTGTTTTTTTTCTAATATTCACTTTTTTATTCCTTCAGTTCTGAGTGGAACATAGGATGTAAAGCTTCACACTTTCAGTAACACTGATTTTTCAAGTATTGGTTTGGTAGGGATTTTGTTTAATTGCATGTAGGATTTCATCATGAGCTGATATCAGTTAGAGAACCACTGGAAAACCTGGGAGTACTGGACAGCTGTTTCGTCCTAGTTTGGGGCTCTTCAGCAGTACGTGCCCACCGGGATTTGAACCCAGGACTTTCTGGTTACAAGGCGAGCTCGTAGACCATTGGATCGGGTCCCAGTGGCTCAATGGTCTACGAGCTCGCCTTGTAACCAGAAAGTCCTGGGTTCAAATCCCGGTGGGCACGTACTGCTGAAGAGCCCCAAACTAGGACGAAACAGCTGTCCAGTACTCCCAGGTTTTCCAGTGGTTCTCTAACTGATATCAGCTCATGATGAAATCCTCCATGCAATTAAACATTGATTTTGTTTCTTTTTTTACGAGATGGTTTTATCATTCTCACGTCTAACTTTCTGGGCTTAGGGCCGGCTATTATAAGTGGCGAAGTTTCGCAGTGCACCGGCCCGAAATCACATCTGGACCATATGTATGATTGAGGAATATCCTACCATTGAACTATCTATGCTAATATAATTAGTGTTGAAATGTTAGTTTGCGGAGATCTGAAGAGCCCCAGACAAGGACGACACCCTTATCCAACACTCCCCGGTTTTGAAGGATTTTCCAACTGAAATCAGTTCATGATCAATCTTGATAGTTATTTTTACCTAGGATTTTGGGGAGTTACTTGGGAAGTTGCATCAGCAAGTGCCAACAGGTCGATCGCTGAAAAAATCTCAAAATGAATACAGAAGGCTCGTTTGTCATATACCAACTTACGGTATCTCTGGCTTAGTAGACGTGACGTTCGGCTGTCGACCAAAGGGCGTGTGTAGTACTGGGCAGTTCGCTCCGTCCTCCTCCTTTATGGCTGTGAGTGACATATGGCTATTGAAAGCGGAAGACATGAAAAGCCTGGCTAACTGTCTTTGATCATAGGTGTCTGCGTTCTATCTTCCGTGCTACGTGGTATAATAGGGTGAGCAATATTGAGGTTAGGCATTGGTCGAGTGCTAAGTAGGACGAAGGAATCAATCGACGACGAGGTTGTGAAGTTAGACCGATCAAATGGTTAGGCCATGTGTTACGCGTGCCATGTGATCGCCTTCATCGACGGGCAATGTTAGCTAGCATAGGATAATCAGGTTGGAAGTGAGCTAGTGGTGGTCAAAACAAAACATGACTTCATCACTCAATGAAATCCACAAGTTAGTTTAAGCCAGCCACGTAAGAAGGTGTAGACTCCTGGATGGTTGGGGTCATCGAGATCCTAAGAAATAGTGACGGCTGGAGACAATCGGTGGTATGGCTCAAAATTGTTCTCAATGGCTGGCGTAGATGCATTCACTCTTTATGATTTATAATATCCAATAAAATTATCTTGTCCTTCCATATTACTATTCTTTTTGCCTGATATTTCTGTTTATAATCTCTATTTTGAATCTCTCTTTACTCTCTTCTCTTGCTTTGTGTGCTACATGGAGGGAGTGTGGCAACTCGATCTGCTGCACATCTGTGCGAAGTTCTACGTTGAAGCCAGTCAGTTAGTCAGTAGGATTTTATAATCCAAAATAATCTTACAAATCGAATGGTTATTTTAGGGGAATTATAGAACAGTATTATGATCTTTCTTGCTGATTTAATTGTAATCGATGATACGACTGCTAAATACAATTCATATGATTCTGTGCATAATCTCTACCCTGAGTTTATTTACACATATCAACTAGACGCTTGTATAATTACCGATGAAATGATTTTCTGATAAACTTTTGAAGTACCCTTTGTCAATAACAATGGCAAAAACCTTGTCAAATAGGATTCTTTATCGATTTCATTTACCGAAAAGTATGTGTTGATGAATGTGAGTGACTACAGGCGATCTATCATCATATTCACTTATTTATATGTCTTAAATTCTACATCATAGATGGTTGGAACATAAAGAAGATGTAATTCTGAGACTACATATAGCTTCTCACAGTGATCATAACTGAAAATTTATGATAATAATTGGAGTGAAAAATGAACTCATAATGCATCTGGTGCGTTTCAGCGAATATCATTCGTACCTTGGTACAAGAGTAGGATTTGATCACTGTGTGGTAGCGTATAATTCCATTTTAGAATAACCTTATTTGATAAAAATACACACAGTGATAAAGTATTATTTACTGATGAAAATGTTTTAGACACAGTTTATTGCTATTCATAATCATATCAAGGTGTCCTCACATAACTTTCAGATTGTATTTATATAATTCTTTCACTTCGTATCTTATGATTTTATTGATAGTATTGCTTTCTGTATCTCTGGTACCATCGGCGTAGCATCACTGCTATTCAATGTGTTAGTCATAGATTCGATGAACGATAGTGTATAAGGTCGGTTATCGACATAGAACTTTGCACATATGTGCGGCAGTTCAAGTCGCCACACTCCATGTAGCACACAAAGCAAGAGAAGAAAGTAGAAGAAATGCATAATATAGTCAGTAAACAGAGGTGTGAGACAAAGGAATAGTAATAACGAAGAACAAACAGTTTCATTGGAAATCATAAGTCACAAGGAGTAGATGCATCTGCACCAGCCACTGAGAACGATTTTGAGTCTTATCACCAATTGTTTCCAACCATTGGTTTTTACCGTCCCGAGGACCCCAACCAGGAGGCCAGTCTACATCTTCCTACGTGGCTTAGATTAACTGTTGTAGATTTCATTGACTGGTGCCATGTTTTGGTTTGACCGACGCTAGCTCTTTTCCAGCCTGACCCTACATCATCTAACATTTCTCGTCGAGGAAGTCGATGACTAGGCATACGTAACACATCTCCTAACCATCTTAGTCGATGTAATTTCACAGCCTCGTCGATTGATTTCCCCTCCAACTCACCTAACACTCAACCGACGTCTAACGTCAATATTGCTCACCCTATTATACCACTTCACACGGGAGATAGAACGCAGACACCTATGATCAAAGACAGCTAATCTTTTCATGTCTTCTGCTCTCAATGGCCAGGTCTCACAGCCATAAAGGAGGACGGAGCGGACTGTTGAGCAGTACACACGCCCTTTGGTCGATAGTCGGATATCGCGTCTACGCCAGAGACGGCGTAAACTGGCATATGCGAAACTAGCCCTCTGTATTCGTGCTGAGATTTCGTCGGAGATCAACCCGTTGGTGTTGGCTGATGGTGCTTCCCAAGTAAGTGAAGCGGTCAACTTGCTCTACCACTTCACTTGCTATTTCTAATCTAGGGGTCGATGAAGTCCAATCCTGCAGCATCATCTTACATTTTACAGGGTCGAATCGCATGCCAAACATACGAAGATTGTTGCTCAAGGTGTTAAGTAGACTCTGCATTTTGTCAGCGTCCTCGCCTAGAAGGACTATATTGTCCGCATATTTTAAGTCGACGAGATTATTCCCTGGTAGCAAGTCAATCCCTGAGTCGCTGAAGTGAGTTAGGGTTAAGTCCATTAGTACATCTATGATGAAGTTGAATAGAAATGGGAATAATGGGCATCCTTGACGGACGCCACTAGTCGTCACCACTTCAGATGACAACTTGCCTTGTGTAACGCGAAGGTCCTTGGTCCGAACTTCAGTGGGTGCGCACTGATAAAGAGTCACAAAATAGGGCAAAACAAATGTCCAGTACTCCCTGGTTTTCAATAGTTCTCTAACTAACGTCAATACGTGATTAAATGTAGAACAAAGATTCACTGATCAACCTCTACCTCACCTAACTAGATTACTTTTTAGAACTATAGCTCTATCCCCCCAATCAATTGTGTGGTTGTGTGTATCAGTGCATGCATTACCACTGCTGAATTTACGTCCAAGTTTTGCATGCACTAAGACACTATAGGTAGGGGGAGGAGGAGACGAAGCTACAAATCTAAAAAGTAATATAGGTAGGTGGAGGAAGGGAGATTGATCACTGAATCTTTGTTCATCGAATGTATACCTAACACATCCAATAGGAATGACGCTACGCCGACGGTACCAGAGATGTGGAAAACAATACTGCCAATATTATAATAAAAGGATAAGAAATAATGGAATTATATAAATACAATCTGAAAGTTATATAAGTACACCTTGATATGATTATGAGCAGCACTAAATTGTGCTCAAAACATCGTCATCAGTAAATAATACACTATAACTGTGTGCATTTTATCTAAATCCTATTGATTCTCTTCTCTCATTTTCCTGTCTACCTTTGTGTGCTATTTGGAACGTAGCAACTCGAACTGCTGCACTTCGGTGCCAAGTTCTATGTTGAATCCAGCAGCAGCAGCATTTTTATCGAATAAAATTACCCTATTATGAAAACGTCTGTAACGTGTTTTGTTTTAAAGATAAAAAAAGTTGCTGAAAACTGGTTGTACGGTAGTTTCATTTTCAACAGTTCTAGTGGATCATCTCTTGACTTCTGAAAACAATAGAAGCATTCACCGCGATTCAAAATAAATTTTGTCTTTTATGGAATTATGAATAGGGTAAATTTTACACTTATGATACTACAATCGAACAGGTTTCGTTGCTGCACATTCATGTCATTTGTTTGATATTGTTTCACACACCAGTAAATGTTGAAGTAATTTTGAATGTCGTGATAAAAGTCATTCTTTACATTTTCATGTGTGTATCCTTTGGTCGCGTAATGTGTATTTTTAAAAGAAACCCATATAAAGGCTTCTGGACAGTAGATCAGTAGTCACAGGTGTAGCATGAAAAGACACCGATGTTTCTCTAAGTGTCGATAGGCATTGAAGCAGGTTCTCAACTGGTGTCCGAACAGACTTTATTATTTTATTTTATTCCTTCGCGTTCCAAATGGAACATATGGCTTCAGACTAGAGGTTCGAAGTTTCAGTAGCAGTGGTTTTCTTTTTACGGAGTGGGGCTGCTAGCCTCACACCCAACTTTCCCTCTTTACGGGGTTTACACATACCAGCCAAGTGAGGAATAGGAGTGCGTCAAAGTGCGGGAATCGAACCCCTGACCACATATTTGGTTGGTCGGTGTTCTACCACTGAAACAGGGACGCACCAATAGACCTAATGAGTAACTATTATTATTATTGTTCCCTTGGTTTCCAAGTAGAACATAGAGATTCACCAGCATATCTCCACTTCATCGTGTTATCTGCAGTTTCTTTTAACTGACTCAACTATAGCTCATCAGCTTTCATCTCATCCACATCACCCTGGGACCAACGTCGAAGTCGTTATTTTCCATTCGACTTACACTCATTCCCCTTCCTAGAGCGGTGTATTTCTCGATTGGTTCCTCAGCGTGTATCCAATCCTTTCTCTTTATTTCCTTCTTCATATGTATTAGTCGATATATTAGTTATATATTTAAGTTTATGGGAAACAAAGTTACATAAGTTTTCTGACGAAATCTTTATTTTTCTCATCACTTCAGATAGTCCTAGAAAATTTGTTGAAATTGATTCAAGCAAAACTCTACATGATGATATTTCGTGCACTGATCAAAAGACAGATCCGATTTCATGTCAGATGAATTCTAATTTTAGCAGTCATCAAGTGAAACCAGAAAAACGGGAACAGTCTGGTTTAACACCTACAGCTGCAAAGGTAGATAAGTAATTATTTGTTATGTAGTAATAATAATGATAATGATTTGCTTTATTCTAAAACAGTACTTATGTGATACAGTGTGGAATTCTCAGCATTTGGTACAATATTACCGCATCTAATATACTCGACAATACCAAAAACAAGAATTAGAAAGGTAGTATTCCAGGATATACGTAACCAGGATTGATTGGTATTTCGTAACTTATAAATTCCCATTGAGTCATATAAAAGAAAAGGCGTTCAGCAAAGAATTACTCTTTTCAGTGATATCATTCTCAAGCTGTACAATCACATATATATATATATATATTATTTTTTACGAGTTGATTACGGATTGATATCAGTTAGAGAACCATTGAAAGACCAGTGAGGTTCATCCAGTCAAGTGTGAGGATGGATGTCCCACCGGTGACATTGGTCGGTGGTCACGAATTGGTAGAAGTTAGAATTCATGGGCTATTGGATCGGGTTCCAGTGGCTGAATGGTATACGAGCCAGCTTGCCTTGTAACCGGAAGGTCCTGGGTTCGAATCCCCGTGGGTGCGTACTGCCGATGATTCCCAAAACTAGGATGAAACAGCTGTCCAGTACTCCCTGGTTTTCAATGGTTCTCTAACTGATATCAATCCGTGACCAACTCGCAAAACATAACTAACCCTTACAAACCAAACTATAGAAAATAGGAGAGAATAAAAGCGTCAATTATTTTGCTAATTACATAGTATAGCTATAAATGTCACGCTTAACACTATGTCTATCACATAGAATGCGAGCGCGCCAAATAGGGTATCGTTGAGTTTTTGTAATTGGTTGTACGGGCATATAATCTTTTATAATGATATCTGGTCCTACCTGATGAAATGTAGCAAGGCAAGAGTTGAGAATAGAGGTGTTGAGAGTCAGTCAAAGTGGATTCAGCCTATGTCTCATATGAGTTCGTCCTAGTTCGGGGCACTTCAGTGGTACGCGCTCACCGCCAGGTTCCGAACCAAGGACCTTCTGGTTACAAGGCTGAAGAGCTCTTAGACCATTAAGTCACTGGGACCCGATCCAATAACCAACCCATGAATTCTAACTTCTGCCAATTCACGAAATAGAGCGACCACTTCGCGCACTGTCTTCTTCGATGAGTAACTGTCCCCACACCCAACCTGCTGTACCCTATTGGTCACAGCTTCCCACTAGAACCCCAGGTAACTACCTACCTGAATAGGACCAGTCGCTAGTGAGCATCAGATCGACTTTCAAGTATTGGTTTTTGTAGGGATATTTTGTTTGATTGGTTGGAGGATTTCATCATCAGCTGACATTAGTTCGAGAGCCATTAGAAAACCTGCTGAGAAAAGTCCCAAACTTGGACAAAACAGCTGTCCAGTACTCCCTGTAGGTTTGCCAATTGTTCTCTAACTGATGTCAGCTGATGATGAAACATTTTTCTTTACACAAATAAAATGTTGTGCAAAATCTTTATTTCTTTTTTTCTTTTGTATCCATGTGCGTGCGTGTTTATTTTCTTTCCACGCGAAATACAGGCTCAATTGAAAGCAGCTGCTCGAAGTTTGGAGGATAGTTTATCGCTTCTAGATCAACGTTATTCACCTATGGAGATTTTATATGATTGTTTTGTATTTCATAATGGAAGTGAATGGGTGTAAGTGAAACTAATGTTATTATTATCATTATTATTATTATTACTGTTAAATCACATGTTATGATTTTTCTGTCATTCCTGCTGTCTCGAATGGAACATAAGAGACTTTATGTCTTGAAACTTCAGTATCGAGCTTATTACCTGCTAGACGAGGTTTAGCATTGCGTCAAGTGGGTATCGAATCCAGGCCTACCTCGTGGCTGGTGAACATTTTTTTTTTGATTTACAGCTTGATTTCCACACTGTATTTTCAGTACAAGTGTGGAATTTTCAGCATGGATATCGGTTGCCCAAATTCAGGCATACCATAGATATCGGGTGTGCGCCGGCAGGGGATCGAACCCCGGACCATGTGCATGGTTGGCGAGAGTCCCAACCACTGTGCCACCGACGCACACTGAAGCACCAACCCATGCTATCCTGATAATTTGATACTCTGATGTGATCATTATGTGCGTTGGTTTACGGAGATTTAATTGATTATAACCAGTTAGAAAACCAGCAGGGAGTATTGGACAGCTGTTTCGTCAGCCTAGTTTGGGACTCCTCAGTAGCATGCACCCACTGGGGTTTGAACCCAGGACCTTCTGGTAGCAAACGTGAGCTCGTAGACCATGCAGTCACTGGAACCCAGGCCAGTTGGTGCATGGATATCAACTTCTGCCAGTTTCCTTCTTTACGTGGTCTACAGTCGTCTGGTAAACACCACAAGGTGTTGGAGTGCTTTGGTGTCTGGGAACCGAACTCGGATCTACCGTATGGCTAGTAAACTACAAATGCACGATGAGGTGTATTGCTGCAGAAGATTTACAGTATTATCTAAATATAAATCGTAAAATCTTTCTGACATCTTCAAAATTACCAGCTACTTATTTCAGTTGCTATTTAGTTTAGCAGTTGAAAAGGAGCTGTGCAGCTGAGCAGTTATCAGTTTATAGCCTGTTGGCTTATTATAAGTTCACTTCCAACCCAGTGAACTCTGGGTTCGAATCCCAATGCGCATAATTCATTCAGCCTAGATAACTGGTTGTACTGTCTGTCTCCATACAAATAAGTAGTGGGTTGGGGGGGGGGACACACATGGGAAATCTCTGTCGAATGACTCAATTCCATGAGATATTACTTCTAGATGTGTGCATGTCTGTAGATAATGTGTGGAATTATATCATCAGAGTTTCATGAGTCCCCTTTTTTGTTTAATCAAACATATTTATTGTTATTTATTATTATTCCCTTGAGTTCCAAGTGGAACATAGGGCTTCAACAACACATCTCCACTTTGTCCTATCTTCTGCCGTCCTCTTCCTCTGGGTCTACGATTGCCCACAATCTCTCACCTCCTTTACCTCGCACGACCTTTTCCATGTCACCGTCACACTGACGATCCATTTGTCACTTTCCATTGGGATTCCACTATAGGACCTGATGCGCAGTGTCAATGTACGCCCGATCCATCTCCATTTTATCCTACATATTTTTTGAGCTGATTGACTGGTTTCAACGTAGAACTTTGTACCGATGTGCAGCAGTTCGAGTTGCCACACTCCATGTAGCACACAAAGCAAGAGAAGAGAGTAAAAAGTAATGCAAAATAGAGGCAGTAAATAGAGATAGAAGGCAAAAGGAATAGTAATATCAGAGGACAATATAGTTTTATTGGGTATTATAAGTCACAGGGAGTGAATGCATCTGCGTCAGCCATTGAGAACGATTTTGAGCCACAACACCGATTTTATCCAGACATTGGTTTTTACCATCCCAAGGACCCCAACCAGGAAGTCTACACCTTCCTACATGGCTTAAACTAACAGTTGTGGATTTCATTGACTGATGAGGCCATATTTCGATTTGACCACCACTAGCTCTTTTCCAACCTGATCCTATGTCAGCTAACATTACCCGTTGTCGAGGAAGGCGATGGTTAGGCATGCACGCGTAACACGTGTCCTGACCATCTCAGTCGATATGACTTCAAAACCTCATTGATTGATTTCCCCTCCTTACCTAGCACTTGACCGATACCTAACCTCAATATTGCTCTACCTATTATACCACTTAACACTGGAGATAGAATGCAGGCACCTGTGATCATAGACAGCCAGGCTTTTCATGTCTTCCGCTTTCAATGGCCATGTCTCACTCACAGCCATAAAGGAGGAGGACGGAGCGGACTGCTTAGTGATCGGCTCTTGATTGGTTTGTTCCCAGGCACAGTTTCTTGTCGTTGATTCTTTCTGGCCATTTGATCTTTAGTATGCAGTCATCGAAGACAGCTGTTGACAAAAGCCTGCAACCTGTTGGGAATCCTTTTCGTGACATCCTGTAATTACAAATATACAAGATCTGGTATCTAGCAAAAAATGTCCCTACGAAATCGTATAATCATTAGCTTAGCTTCCTTCGTCTCAAACAAACTTCACAAGGATGAAAATGACCAACAACCGATCTACTGAAGCTTTTGAGACTCACATAATTCCTCTACAGGAACAAACTCTTTCATTTCCTTCCCAATCAATCCCATATATAAGCAATACTAGAAAACTTGGTCTTCGTCATCAAATTTCAGACCTAACTCCGTTAGAGTAGACATTATTTCACTTGAATTAAGCAGAATTAAAGCTTCAGCTCGCATGGAGAAAATCATTGCTGTCCATTCAACGTCATTGGTGCAGTCGTACTCCGTCGATAGTTACTAGTGCTTGGCCCAAGTTTAACTTGGCCCATTTGACTTTTGTTCTCCTCCGTTGTTTTATGTTAATCTGTGTGACCTTCGTCTTCCCATCTTCTTTGTTTCCCTTTTCAGTGCTTGTGTAGACACTAGTCCTTATAATCCTGGTAAAAAATTATCTGATCTACCATTGTTACGCGATTATACAGTGAATCATGAATATGCATCATTCGGTGAACAAAGTAAGTTCATTATTCAGTTTGTTTATTTACTAACCGCCGCCTCCGCGGTTATCTTCCACTTATCTAGGCAGTATCAATTCTTCTATAGACGGCCGTTACGGACGATGATGATGATGTCAAAGACATCCTTGTTCAAAAAAGCTAGACAGACATTTATCTATCTAAAATCAGTGTGAAAATCTACTGCTCTCAGCGCTTAATGAACAAGATTTGGCTTTTCAAAGTCAATACTTCTGTGTGATTCAAATACTCGGCACATGACTCATCAAAAGCATATGCAACAGGCTACTTCAGCCCTTTACCAACAGCTGCCTTCTCTGGCTGTATGACTAAAAATCAGATAGTCAGTTAGGAAAGATAAGCAATAAGCAACTCTGACAGGCGAAAAAAACCATCCGAAAAATATGCTGAAGGAAATGGAGATGGATCGAACACACACCACTGAGGAGACCGTTGAGTGTGACATCATACACACTACAAATCTGAATGGAGGAAGTGACGAGTTGGGCAAGGATTCGAGGATGACATGAAGAGGATCATGTGAAGAGGAGATGAAAGCCTATGGGGAATTGTGAAGCCAGCTAAAGATGACTTCAGAAAACAGGATGATTTAGCAATGTGCTATTGAAGTCCTATGTTCCACTCAGAATCTAAAGAAATAATAATAATTTGTTTACTTCTGCGTTTAACCTCTGTTTATCATGTAGTGGGTTTGAACTGTACTCTACCATCTAGTAAGATGGTTCTAAGAACCTAGTTCTATGTTATTTCACTACATAAATGAATAAAAGTAAAGTGGTTGGTAATCAAAAAGCTCCTGTATTTTACGTACAGTTAGCTGTAAGCCAGATACTTTTTTGTATGAAGGCTAATAATACAATCTGACTGTTCGAACTACTACAATAAGTGTGAGGCGGGGGGGGGGAGGTCTGCGATCCCAACGCCCATTTTATTATTGTTTGCAATCATGGTGTATAGGTTCGCATATGATTTCACTTGTTTGTTCGCGTAAAACTATTTTGTAAACCTGATACTTGAGTTGTACTGAAAAGGGGTTACCATAATGATTACTACTGGGAAACTGTTCAAACATATTTAGTTCATAGGCCGAAGAAAAATATGTGGACTTAATAGATGTGGGAGATTACACAGATTGAAGGCCTATGAGGCATTCAGAACAGTTTTGAGCCAAATCACCAGTAGTTTGAAGTCATTGGTTCTTAGTGTCTCAAGGACCTCAGCCAAACAGTCTCCTATGTGGCTGGCTCAAACCAACCGTCAAAGACTTCATGGGATGATCCCATGTTTTGTTTTGACCACGCCTAACTCTTTTTCAATCTGACCTTATGTCAGTTGTCAATACTAATTGAGGAAGATGGTAGTTTGGAATACGTAACATGTCTTCTAACCATGTCAATCGATGTAGCTTCACAACCTCATCGATCGACTCCCCTGTCTTATCTAACACTGGACGCCTAACCTCAGTATTACTCACCATATTATACCAATTCATGCAGGTTATAGAATGTAGACACCTATAACCAAAGACAATCATCCTTTTCATGTCTTTCACTTGTAATGACTATATATCGTAACCATAAAGGAGAACTGAGCGAACTGATGCGTAGCACCTGCGTCCTTTCCGACAAAATAAGCGGGAATCACGTCTACACAAGATATACCGTAAATTGGAAAATGGCACACAATCCTTTTGTATCCGTGATCAGGTTTTGTCCACAATCAGTGCATATTAGGGTATAATGCAACTTCTCACATAAGTGAAGCAGTCAGCATGCCCTACTACTTCATTCTGTATCTTTGAACTAAGAGTCAGAGTAGTCCAGTCCAGCAGCATTATTTTACATTTGACAGGAGAGGATCGCATCCCAAACATTCAAAGATTTCTGCTCAAACTGTTTGAAAGGCCCACTAAATAAAGTTTAAACTATCATAGCCAAAGTCAGCGTCTGCAAACGGTTGACCTTGAAGATCCAGTCAGATTTAGAGAACGCTACAAAATAGGTCATCCTAAATCGAATCCTGCCTGTCTTTGTGGATTTGGTGAAGGGAAGATGCATTATTCTGCTCATTCCCTAAGTAATTTTTTCTGCAAATCTAAGCTGTCAAGTAGATTTAGTGTTTTCCGGGTTAAGGGTAGGATTAGAGTTGCGGTGTCAAGAATACCAGTAGATCTGAAAGTACCCATAGTCTATAGTTACCTGGATGGATACATCTATCGCGTATGCTCTGTGATTTTTCTGTGGTTTGTCCTTGGAGTAACTGGAAGACATTCTTACAATAATTACTCATTGTTACGTTGTTTAACACATTTTTTCTAAGGCTAATTGAGATTTTTGTGCATCTAAATTCTGATTGGTTGTTCAAGGTCAACGTGACCTTGGCTGTGATGGTTTAACTTCGCCGCCCATTATCATGCAGAAATACATTCTTTCATATTTTTCACATATTATAACATTTAAGAAAAAATCCTTTTCTCCCCTATTTTATATATAAATACCTTACAGCACAACTATACTATACAGTGAAAATCTTCGACAATGGAAAACTATTACAAATTGTCACAAATAACAGTAGTCATGGTACTCATGTTGCTGCAATAGCCTCAGCTTATTTTCCCGCTTGTTCATCCAGGCATCCACCTAAGCATTCTCATGGAAAGCAGCCTACTGATGCTTTCGCCTCAGCCAATAAAACCACCACGGATACGCCTAACTCGACTTCGCATTTTTGCGATCGTAATGGTGTTGCTCCAGGTGCAGAGATTGTAAGCATTAAAATTTCCGATGGTCGATTAGGTCCAATGGAAACAGGCATCAGTTTACTACGTGCTGTAAGTTATACGTGTGCGTTGATTGTGTTCTCTTTTTGATTTGTTTTTTTTGGTTTTACTAAAGCCAATAGTATATTTCACTTGTGAGAGAAAAAAAGAAAATGGCTGCCTGTAAAAGCAGAAAGAGAAATGGAGTTGGATTAGACATGCCTCTGACGAGACCTATTGAGTGACATCGCACACCAGACTGGCTCTCGAGTGGAACCTGAATAGGGAACGATGTGTTGTGCGGTGTTCCGAGTATGATATCGAAGAGATCGTGTGAGGAGGAGGAGGAGATGATGATGAGAGAGCTTTTTTTCCTTCACGTTCCCCAGTGGAACATTGGGCTTCAAGCTAGTAGCTTGAAGTTTCTGTAGCAGCGTTTATTTTACAGGATGGGGTTGCTAGCCTCATGTCCAACCTTTCCTCTTCACCAGCATTATTTCTGGGTTAGCGAGGTAAAGGAGTGCGTCGGCCGGGGATCGAACCCCGAACCATGTGCATGGTCGGCGAGCGTCCTAAACGCTATGCCGCTGACGCAGAACCATTGGAAAACCGGCTGGGAGTACCGGACAGCTGTTTCGTTCTATTCTGAGACTCTTCAGTAGTACGCAACCACCGGGGTTCGAACCCAGGACCTTCTGATGAGAGAGCTGCTTATGAGTAATCAAGGAGTCAGCTAAGAAAGATCGTAGAGAAATGGAGATATGCTGTTGAAGCCCGGTGTTCCATTAGGAATCCTAGGGGGATAGTAATAATAAACTTTTTGGAAACATTATTAGTGACTGCTATCACTCCTTGCACTACTATCATAAAGACTGACTGACTGGTTTCGGCATAGGACTTTGCACAGATGTGTGGCAGTTCGAATTGCCACAGTCTATGTAGAACACAGAGAAGGACGAAAGAGGAGATAAAAAGAAATTGGAAGAAACGATAATAACCAGGAATGGGAAGGAAAATCTATTGTAACATGGAAAAACAAGAGGCTTTAGTGGATATTGCAGATCACAGAGAGTGAATGCATCTGCTACATCATTGACAACAGTTTTAAACCATGCCACCAATTGTCTCCGGCCATTGGTTCTTAGTAACTTGAGGACTCCCACGAGGCAGTCTACACTTCCCTACGAGGTTGGCTCAAAGCAACCGTTAAAGATTTTATGGACTGATTCAAAGTTTTGGTTTGACCACCACTTATTCTTTTTACCAACCTGATCCTATGTCAACTAACACTGCCCATCGAGAAAGGAAATGGCTAGGTATACGTAACACATGTCCTAACAATCTCAGTCGATGTAACTTAACAACCTTGTCGATTGATTTCCCCTCTTTGCCTAGCAGTCGAAAACTAACCTCGATATTACTCACCGTATCGTACCCCTAATACGGAAGACAGAACGCAGATACCTATCATAAGAGAGAGTTAGATTTTCCAGCCAGTGGGACCAGGCCCAATGGCCTATAAACTCCAACTTATGGCAATTGGTGATATATATATATATATATATATATACATATATACATATATATATATAAATTGCAACTCTACGCATCATCATCGAACAAAACATGGAATGGCAATCAAACCTCTACCTCAACTTTAGAGACTTTGAGAAGGCCTTCGACAGCGTTGACCACGAAGTAATTTGGAAACTACTCAAGTACTACGGCGTACCCCAAGTATTCATCAACCTTATTCAACAGCTGTACGACAACGGCACATGTCAAGTGATCCACAACGGAAAACTCAGCGAGGCGTTTGGAGTAAACACAGGAGTCAGACAAAGGTACTTATTATCACCAATGATATTCCTAATTGTGGTGGACTGGATTATGCGTCAGAGAGTGGAAGACGAGAAGACAGGGATATCCTGGACCGACGTGAAGAATCTAGAAGACCTGAATTTCGCGGATGACTTATGTTTGATGTCACACAAAATCGAAGAATTACAAGTGAAAACCGACAAACTGGTCGAAGAAGCAGCAATGACAGGACTGCAGGTGAACATAGACAAGACGGAGGTTATGAAAATTACCAATCAACAACAACAGCAGCAGCAACATCCACCGCCAATCACCATCAACGGGAGGGATTTGAAAGAGGTTACTACATTCACTTATCTAGGGAGCATTGTCTCAACTACAGGAGGAACGGACGGAGATGTCAAATCGAGAATCGGGAAGGCAAGAAACACATTCATCAACCTGAAACCAATCTGGAAATCTTCATCACTCAGCCTGCATCAACAACAAAATTCGGATTTTCAATACAAACGTGAAGTCAATTTTGCTTTATGGATCAGAAACTTGGCGGGTCACCAAGAATATTTCCAACAGGTTGCAGACCTCTATCAACAACTATCTTCGCTCTATACTCAAGATCAGATGGCCAGAAAGAATCACCAACAAGAAACTATGGGAACCAATCGCTCAACAAAAATGCAGGAGAAAGTGGAGATGGATTGGACACTCGCTGAGGAGGCCGCTGGGTGACATCGCGCGTCAGGCCTTGGAGTGGGACCCGAAAGGGAAGTGGCGAGTTGGTCGTCAGTGCAAGGGTGACATGGAGGAGATCGTGTGAAGAGGAGTTGAAACAGTATGGACTAACATGGATGCAGGTGAAAAGTACAGCAGAAGACAGAAGCAAGTGGAAACGTGCAGTTGAAGCCCTATGTTCCACTAGGAACCCAAGGGAACAATAATAATATATATATATTTAACGCAACTGTCAACTAGTGTCACGAGAGAGTAACTATCCTTTCGCCTGACTTGGGGAACCCTATTGGTTACGACTTCTTAATAGAACCCCAGGTAACTTCCTGTATAGAACCAGTCGCTAGTGAGCATCAGGCTAATTATTGAGTGTAGGTTTTGTAGGGATTTTATTTGTCACAGGACTGATCACAATCTGACATCAGTCCAGTACTCCCAGGTTTTCCAGTGGTTGTCTAACTGATGTCAGCTGGTGATCTATCATGTAGCCAATCAAATCCCTACAAAAGCAATACGTGATAATAAATAAATGCTAATTAATGCAAAACATTCTGATTGGTTGTTCAAGGCTGTTTATACACCTTTTGCAGTTTCAGAGTTATTAATCATCAACAATTACTTTATTTTATCTCCGCATATTCAATATTTTATTATTATTATTATTGTTATTATTACTATTTTGTTTAGATTAGATGGACAATTGAATTACAATGTGATATTGTTAATTATAGTTTTGGGGAACAAGTGATTTGGCCAAATGTTGGGTTAGTTTATTCTTATCTATTAGAGTAGAGTATGCATTTTTATTCAATTGATTTGAAAAAAGACTTGAGGATACTTTAGTATTCTCAGTAATAGAGTCTTGTGTTTTGACGTTTTGTTTTGCAAGGATTTTAATGATTACGGAGTTATGTCAAGAAGTGACATTAGTTAGAGACGCACTGAAAAACGGGGAATACTGGACAAATGTTTCGCCTTATAATCTCATAAAGGGTTGAGCCTTGGAACCTGAGGTCACAAGGCAAGCCCGTAGACCATGTCGCCACTGGGGCGGCGGCGTCCACTAGCCCATGAATTCTAACTTTTGATATAAGAATAGAACTTGTGCACTGTGGTAGAGTATAATTCCATTATGGGTAAAATTTATTTGGATAAAGTCTCACAGTAATATTTACTGATGACGTTTCGAGCACAATTTATTGCTCATAAACATATCAAGGTACTCACACAACTTTCTAACTTTGTTTATATAATTCCATTATTTTCCATCGCTTGACTTGAATGGAATTATATAAACGAAGTTAGAAAGTTGTGTGAGTACCTTGATATGATTATGAGCAATAAATTGTGCTCGAAACGTCATCAGTAAATATTACTGTGAGACTTTATCCAAATAAATTTTACCCATAATGGAATTCTAACTTTTGCCAATTCTGTGATGTATAACGCTGCCACCAGCCTGTATCATCGGCGAGCATAAATTAATTAGGTAATCTACTGTTCACTAGTGACTCATTACAGGTTGAAGTTGCCTGGAATATTCTAGTAAGAAGTCGTGATCAACGGGGTACGCCAAGTCGGATGTAAGGACAAATATTTACTGACGACACTGGCTGGCGATGGTGTTATATGTTGCAAATTGGCAAGAGTTAGGGTTTATGAACCGTTGGATTTCATCGCCCGCCTAGTGACCGGAAGCTTTTCGGTTAAGCTCTTCATGGGGTCATTGGCGTGTGTACTGCTGAAGAGTCTGAAACAGCTGTCAAGTTCTCTTTGGTTTCCGATGGTTTACTGACTTATATCACTTTGTGATGTAACTTGAACTATATTAAGTAGGAGTGTACAAGAGAAAGAATAATAGCATGGAAAAACATGAGAAATTAATGGATCTGAGAGATTACAAAGATTGAATGTATCTGTATCAATGAGAACGACTTTTCACCATATCCTAGCCATCGCGATCTGTATAGCTTTACAACCTTATCGATTGACTTCCTTTCCTTACCTGACACTCTATGCCTAACGTCAGCAATATTACTTACCATATTATACCACTTAACACAGAAGACAAAACGCATACATCTGTAGTCAGAGACTGCCGGCCTTTTCATCCTGGTTTGGGAGTCATCGACAGTACGCACCCACCGCCAAGGTTCGAACCCAGGACCTTCCGGTTACAAGGCAAGCTGGCTCGTATACCATTCAGCTACTGGGACGCGATTCAATGGCCAGCCCATGAATTCTAACTTCTACCAATTCGTGATTTAGCGCGAACCCAACCAATGTCGGCGGGACATCCATCCTCACACGTGACATCTGGATGGACCTCACTGGTCACGACTTCTCACTAGGACTCCAGGAAACTCCATCCTGTAACAAGTCACTAGCGAGAATCAGATTAATTCTCTATAGTTTGGTTTGTAAGGGTTAGTTATGTTTTTACGAGTTTGACCATGGATTGATATCAGCTAGAGGACCATTGAAAATCAGGGAGTACTGGACAGCCAGCTGTTTCATCCTAGTTTGAGAATCATCGGCACTAAACACCCACCGCCATGGTTCCAACCCAGGACCTTCCGGTTACAAGGCAAGCTCGTACACCATTCAGCCACTGGGACCCGATTCAATGGCCCACGAAATCTAACTTCTACCAATTAGTGGTTGGTAGTCGCGCTAATATTACGAATTATGAATCAGGTCCCAGTGGCTGAATAGTGTACGAGCTTGCCTTGTAACCGGAAGGTCCTGGGTTGGAACCGTGGCGGTGGGTGTTTAGTGCCGATGATTCTCAAACTAGGATGAAACAGCAGGCTGTCCAGTACTCCCTGGTTTTCAATGGTCCTCTAGCTGATATCAGTCCGTCGTCTTACCTGAAGCAAACATAGTTGTTAATATTAGTCAATGCGACAAGAGGAGTTGAATAAGTGTATTAGAGTTACGTAACAAGATGAATAATTTAATCAGTGAGTTGTAATCAGGACGGATGCACATAGAAACGAAGGAAAATGTGGAATTAAGTAAGAGTTCCGGGGAAATACAAGAGTCATATGGAGTTAGCAAGACAAACCAACAAGGTTGTTACCATGATAGTAGAAGTGGTTGAATAATTCTGTTTTGTATGCATAGCTCCGATCGGTTTCTGTAACTGAATGGCTAAAGCTAGGTACTTAGAGCAAATCTGCAACCCATGGTATATACCAGTTCACTACATGGACCCAATAATGATTCAGAGCTTCAGATAAGACAGATATGGCGGTAAACTTTATTTTATAGTTGCTTTCTTCTCAGTAGTTGTAACTTGTAACACACTTCCTATCTTCTTTTCTTTAAAAACAAAAAAAAACAAAAAACAACAGAAGGATTTCAAAATACTTGAATAGAATGATCCATAAACACGGTATTATTATGGTGGCAAGTGGTGGGAATAATGGGCCAAGTTTAGGCACACTCAGTTGTCCAGGTGGCACAGTTCAAGGTGTAATAGGTGAGTTGGTGACATAATTGTTTCTTACTCAAAGATTATGTGTATATACATGTGTATAATCTTTGGTACACTTTTTGTCTGATCTCCTGCAGTTGTCGGGGAAGTTATATGATACTTTGGGCACTGAGAAATAGGAACATGCCAGTCACATGAAAGTGTGTTACACAGGACACCTTTCTGTGAGGTGTGAGAAAAAAAATCACCTCCCAGTTTTGAATTGGCCTGTCAATAGGAAAATTAAACCACATTCTATACATGAATTCATGTGGCAAGGCTATAAATGACGTCCTTTTGGGATTCATTGACGGGACAAATCCTATTCCTCAGTCTTCCGCAAAATCCTTTGGTAGAATTGGTGTGGATACCTGTGGCGGGATCCACAAAGTCGTTGGAATGGCTCACCTTATGGGGAATATAACCAAGGAATGATAATGAAATATACCCTCGCCATTCACTTCTGTACAATGTCTTTCGAGTCTAGTAATAATGGGTGTTAGTGTAATAGACTTCCCCTGTCTGATATTCTTTCCATGAATCCTTTGCGTAAGTTGGTATCGTATAATCTAAGGGACCAAACACTATTGGCTTTCTCGCGACCTCAGTTTCTTATTACTATTTTTCCCTTGGGTTTCGAGTGGAACATAGGGCTTTAACAGAACATCTCCACTTTGTACTATTATCTGCGGTCCTCTTTAGTTGGCCGCACAATTACTCATAAGCTTTCTTCTCCTCCTAACACCATCTCCTCCATGTTACCCTCGAACCTCAACCCAACTCGTCGTTTCCCATTTGGGTTCCACTCTAGCGGATGGCCTAGTGCGTGGTGTCATTCAACGGTCTCCTTAGAGTGTTTGATCTATCTTCATTTTCTTAGGAATATTTGTTGAGCAATAGGTTCTTGGTTGGTTGGTTCGTTCGTTCCCATAGTTTCGTGTTGCCAAGGCAGTTACAACTGTTAGAAACGTTTTTTGTGACGCGCCAAGTTTCTCATCCATATAGAGGCACTGATTGATTTAACATTGGTGTTGAAAATCTGAATTTTGTTGTTTATGCTGGCTGAGTGTAGAAGATTTCCAAAGTAATTTCAGAGTGATGAAGGCTTTGACGTCTTCATCCTGCTGTCCGCCTGTAATTGAAAAGATGCTTCCTATATAAGTGAAGGAAGTGACCTCTTTCTAATTTCTCCCGTTGATAGAGATTGGTGATTGTTATTATTGTTTGGTTATTTTTATCGCCTCCGTCTTCTACACGTTTGCTTGAAGTCCTATCTTTGCTGCTTCTTCAGCCGGTCTGCTGGTTTTCGCCTGTTGTTTATGTGATATCAGTCATAAATCGTCCGCGGGGTTCAGATCTTCTAGAGTCTTCTTATCGGTCCAACGTGTTCCTGTCCTCTAACCCTTGACGCGCAGTCTTCCGCATAACTCAGACCATCACAATTAGAAACATCATCGTGAATAATAGTAGGCAGCCTTGTTATACCATTGCATTCACTTCGAACACTTCGCTGAATTTTCCGTTGTGGATCACCTGACAGGTGGTACTGAATGAGTTTGATAAAGATTTAGGGCACTCCTCAGTGTTGAAGTAGCTTTCAAATTATTTCGTGACCTTAGTGGTGTTTCCTTTTCGTCAGCACTGTTTCATCTATATGAATGGCAGTATCTCCCAATAAAGAATTTACTTTTTCCATCTTGTAGAATGTAATATCTCTACAGTGCTGATACCATTGAATGGTTGAGACGAGACTGTTTTCAGTATCAGCAGATGTAGCTGTCACAGCTTGCTTTAATACCCAATAATAGTAAATATATACAATCTGAGTTACTGACAGTTCCGATTTCGCCAAAAAAACGTTCATACGAAGTAATGTCATCATCAGCTTACTATCTCTACCCACTAGCTGGCCTCCAGCAACGAAAAGCATATCTATTGACAGCTCTTTTGAAGTTTCCTGTACTCATAATACCTCCACAGGGGACAAGTTTTTTATGCTTGCATTCAATCTCACATCCAAACAATAAGAGAACACGCACCCACCGGGGTTCGAACCCAGGACCTTCGTAGACCATAAGCCACTGGAACCCGATCCAGTGGCCAGCTCATGAATTCTAACTTCTTACAATTCATGACATAGCGCAAACACCTCGCGCAATGTCTTCTTCGATGAGTAACTGTCCTCACGTTTGACCTGCTGTACCCTACTGGTTAGGGCTTCCCACTAGAACCCCAGGTAATCGCCTGATTGGAGCCAGCCACTAGTGAGCATCAGATTAAGTTTCAAGTATTATTTTTTTGTAGGGTTTTAGTTTGATTGGTTTGAGGATTTCATCATTAGCTGACATCAGTTAGAGAACCACTGGGAAACCCAGGAGTACTGGACAGCCGTTTCGTCCTAGTTTGGGACTCTTCATGAATTGGCAGAAGTTAGAATTCATGGGCTGGCCACTGGATCGGGTCCCAGTGGCTGAATGGTATATGAGCTCGCTAGCCTTGTAACCAGAAGGTCCTTGGTTTGGACCCTGTTGGTGGGTGCGTACTGGTGAAGAACCCCAAACTGGGACGAAACAGCAGTCCAGCACCGCGTGATTTTGTTCGACTCACATGCCAATCTTTAAATACAACTCGGCGACTGGTAAGTATTTCTAAGAGGGAGAGTGATGAGAAAGGAAGGGAGAGAAATGTAAGCCTAGGATTTTCAAAACCTTTTATCTTTCGCTTCTTACAAAAAACCGTTTTTCCTCTCTCGAATATTTCCTGTTCCCTACGATGTTCAGGTGTTGCTCCAATGGTATTTCCTGATATGATGCGTAATTTATACAGTCAACCGGATGATCCATACGCCTCACAATATCAATCCATATGTGAAGATTCTTCTTCTTACAATGATTCATTGCAAACAACTCGTCAACATGATGAAATGAATTCAACTGCTCGAAATTCTCAAACTGCTCAACCAACTGCTTATACTTGGGGTAGTCGTGGTCCAGCATTTGATGGAGCCTTGGGATTGTGTGTTGCTGCTCCAGGCGGTGCTAACACCTGTATTGCTAGCTGGCAGTTAAAACCATGCGGTTTGTTAAGTGGAAGTTCAATGAGTGCACCAATGGTCACTGGTGGGATAAGTAAGTCACTCTTGTTTAAGAAAAAAATGAAATCGCGGATGATTGAGACTTGCTAGGCGAAGGCAGAGTTTTCTTCTGAACACCTTTACTGTTTGGCATGCGATTCCTTCCGGTCAAACGTAAGATGATGTTGCTGGACTTTACTGGACTGCATCGACTCCTAGTCTAAAGATAGAAAGTGAAGTGGTAGAGCGTACTGACCACTTCACTTAGCTGGGTAGCTACATCAACCTTAATGTACTGGTCACTGCTGAAATGGTCACTCAACGCGGATACGAAAGACTCGTGTGGCATTTACCAAGCTACATCACCTCTGGCGGAGAAGTGACATCTGGCTATCCATCAAAGGATGTATGTACTGCTCAGTATTTCGCTCTGTCCTCCTTTATGGCTATGAGACATGGTCATTGAAAGTATAAGACATGAAAAGACTGGATGTCTTTGATCGTATGGAGATTAGGTTTCGAATGTTGGGTAAGAACGGAAAAATCAATCGATGAGGTTATAAAGCTACACCGTTTGAGATGTCTAGGGGATGTGTTATGCATGCCTAACTGTCGCCTTCCTCAACAGGAAATGTTAGCCGACATAGAGTCGACCAGGCTGGAAAAGAGTTAGCTAGTGGTGGTCAAACCGAAATATGGCTTCATCAGTCAATGAAATCTACAACAGTTAGTTTAAGCCAGCCAGCCACGTAGGGACGTGTAAACTTCCTGATTGGTTGGGGTCCTTGGGATAGTGAAAACCAGTGGCTGGAGACAATCTGTGATATGGTTGGCTCGAAATCGTTCTCAATGGCTGGTGCAGATGCATCCACTCTTTCTTTTTGCCTCATATTTGTGTTTATAATCTCTCTTTTGAAACTGTCTTTACTCTCTTCTCTTATTTTGTGTGCTACATGGAGGGAGTGTGGAGACTCGAACTACTGCACATCTGTGCAAAGTTCTATTTTGAAGCGAGTCAGTCAGTTTGATTAGTATATGTATCACTAAACTTCACTTTTAATTTTCTATTTATAGGTCTTCTCCTCTCTGGTTTACGTCATCGTTATAAGTGTATCGATGGTGGTTTATTGAAAATCCCACCAACTCTAATTTATTTAAGCCTAATGAATACATCTAAATCAATTGAACACTTGTCCTATCTAGATCAAGGTTATGGTTTAATGCAGGTGGATAAAGCTTTTCAATACTTGGATCATGTATTGTATACATTATATGAAGGTAATACAAGTGATATGTTGGAAAATAAAATTGATACTGTCAATGGCGGCAGTGTTGTCACCGTCAGTGATAACAGGAATTTGGATGACAATAGTAAAGAGAAAAGGTAAGCGGGAACTGGGTTGCTTTTCAACACTTCTCTGTATTGAATATTATTCTATTTTTACAATGGTATTTGGAACAACATATGTGTAGGCGAACAATATTGTATTTTCAATTAGATCTCATCAGGATTATCTCTAATATACCTACATAACCTTACAAATAAATATCATTAAATATAAAGCAATCACCTGGTGATTTGTCTGTGGAATGATAAGATTGTGCATATAAATCGTGCCATTAATAATAATAATAATAATAATAATAATATTACAACGACAGAAGACAAGGGCCAGGCAGCAGATCGTTTATTGAGAAAATCAACAGATGTATATAAATTTTAATGTACATTATTATTCGTTGTTGTTAGCAGAGAAGCAACGTCTTCTGATTGGTTGTTTTCCTGCTGAAGGTTATTCTGTCATCTGTTTGTTGCCGTTTTTTAGACAGTCCGTTGATATATCTGCTAATTGTATCCGCCCACACTAAGTCTGTGTAATTGGTTGTTGAGTTTCTCAAGGTTAGGCTTTGTTAGTGTTTTTTTCTCATGACCAAAACTTGGGACGTAAACAGTGACGTTAATTACTGTCTACCAATTTTGGCTAGCAGATAGCTCTCACCACAATAGTATTGATAATTATAACAGTATTGGTGATTCTACCAATAATAAAGATGAAAAATTAAGGTGATCTGTGATAACAAGAATAACGAAAAACAGCATGATTAGACAAACAAATATTCAGGTAGACGTAGTAGTCGATAAAGGCTAAGAAGAAAAAAGGATCGATTAAGTAATTCCAGATTGTAAGGGAAGTAAATACACTGTTATAATGAGGATGTGATAAAACTACGGGATGATAAGTAAGGGGTGGTGTTTAGTTAGTTAAGTCTTAATCGACCAAGGGAGGGATAATGGCTGCATGAACTTCTCTTGAATGTGTAGTTTAGGCTTTATAATATTTCGAATACCTATTGCCTCAGCTGCACGTAGTACAAGAATATGTAGTTCATAGGGAAAATCCGGTGGGATGCGATGAATCAACTTCAATGCTTTCGTTTTCTCCATTTTCGTTCTCCACTTCAAGGTCTTGGGTTCGAACCTTGGCGGTGGGTGCGTACTGCCGATGATTCCCAAACTAGGCTGATGAAACAGCTATCCAGTACTCCCTGTGGCTGGTTTTCAATGGTTCTCTAACTGATATCAATCCATGGTCAAACTCGTAAAAACATAACTAACCCTTACAAACCAAACTATAGAAAAGTAAAGCCTTCTTCAATTTTATGTATTCGTAAAAATAATAACACCGTTCATTGTGCATTCATTGTGCAGCAGGTTGGGTGTGAGGACAAAGACTCGCCGAAGACATTGGCTAGGGGTCGCGCTGTGTCGTGAATTGGCAGAAGTTAGAATTCATGGACTGGCCATTGGATCGGGTCCCAGTGGCTTAATGGTATCCGAGCTTGCCTTGTAAACAAGAAGGTCCTGGGTTCGAACCCTATCAGTGGGTGCGTACTGATGAAGAGTCCCAAACTAGGACGAAACAGCTATCCAGTACTCCCAGGTTTTCCAATGGTTCTCTAACTAATGTCAGCTCTTGATGAAAATCCTGTAACCAATCAAATCCCTACAAACTAACACTTGAATACCGTTCATTGTGTTCGTATTTTTTTTCTTTCTTTATTTCTTTTTTTTCAAATTTTAGTTCAACATGTCAGTTATTATTAAGTATTCCAGATCCGTGTATAACACACGGTTGGCATATACGAGTAACTGTTTCTGGACCTGGTTGTTCACCAAACAGTCGTGGTATTTGGTTAAGACGTGGTTGGTTATTAAGTCCAAGAAGATTTCATAACATGGCATCGCCATCACCACAGTTGCCTTTATTACGTTTCACATTACACATGAACATTGAATTCGATGAGGTAAGTGAAGCAGAATTTCAATTACCACCTACCGGCTCACAGTTAAAAACTGTGAAGTCGTGGGGATAATCTGCCGTAACTATCAACACTTTTTGATACTGCTCTCTTTCTTATCTGAGTTTGTTGTGTGAAACCTAATCACTTCAGGATTAATGTTATTGTTTATTTTGATTTCAGTTAGCGGTATACTATGGTGAGTAATATTCAGGTTAGGCGTAGAATGAGTTAGGTAAGAAGGGCAAGCTGGTGGATGAGGTTGCGAAGCTTCATCGATTCAGATGTCTGGGATGCGTGTTACGTATGCCAGTCACCAGCCACCATCTTACTTAATGAGAATGTTAGCTGACATAGAATGGATCAGGTTGGAAAAGAGTTAGCTAGCGGTGGTCAGACAAAAACGTTGCATCTGACCATGAATTCTTTGAGAGCTGATTTGAGTCAGCCACATGGGGAGATGTAAAATGCTTGGTTGGCATCGTCGGGTTTCTAAGATCCACATGATGGACAGAGCATTGATGATGCGGCCCAGAGTCGTTGTCAATGGCGCAGACGTTTTCACTTTTTTGGATCTCTTATGCATGAAGGCCTAATGTTTTCTTATGTTACTGTTTTTTCTCCGTCAGATTTGTGCTTATTATAGTTCAAGAACCAACAAACTGGCTGGAGAGGCAGGCAGCGAAGACAGGACTCCGGGTGAACATGGAGAAGATGGGGGTGACGAGGATAACCAGCCACCACCAACAGCAACAACAACCAGCAACAATCACCATCAACGGGAGGGAGAGATTCAACAGAGGTTACTTCCTTCACTTATCTAGCTAGGAAGCATCGTTTCAACTACAGGCTCGGAAAGGCAAGCTACGCCTTCATCAACCTGGAACCAGTTTAGAAATCTACTGCTCTAAGTCAACCAACATAAGAACAAGAGGAATCGGATTTTCAACACAAATGTGAAGTTGAACAAAGCAACAACTACAGTTTTAGCAGAATAAAATGGTACCATATTTTATTTCGTCGCCTTCTCTTCAGCTGCTTACAGGGCAAAAACATTATTAAATGTAACATACTTGCACAGAGCTCATTTGAAACAAAAATCAATCGATCAATATACACATACACTAATAATATATACATATATATGTATGTAATATTGAACACAATTCCGAGCAATAATAATCATACACAATGAAAACTTTTCAGTATCTCGCATTAGGATGAAAAATATCCAGTTACCAGGGCAAAGAAAGACTGATAACTGCTTCTTTCTGAACGCACAAATCAGGCTGTGAAGTCAGTCACAGCTTCTATACGGGTCAAAAAACTTAGCCAACGTGTAACGAAAGGGATTTCCAACAGGCTACTGGAGACTTTCACCGACAACTGCCTTCTCTGGCTCTACACTAAAGATCAAATGACCAACGAGAAAGAATTAGCGACAAGAAACTCTGGCTGGGAACAAACCAACCAAGTGCCAATCGCTCAACAAATATGTAGGAGAAAAAGGAGATGGATGGATTGATCAGGCATACGTTGAGGAGGCCGTCGAATAAAATCGCACGTAATGCAGGCCATCGTTCGCGTGGAACCAGAATGAGAAACAATGATTGGGGAGCTGTTTCGAGGGTGACATGGAGGGGACCTGGTGGGGAAGAGATAAGAAATTATAGGCAGTTGTGCAGCCAGATGAAGAGTACAGCAGAAAACAGAATAAAGTGGAGATGTGTTGTTGAAGCCCTATGTTCCACTTGGAACCCATATGAAGGGGCATAACGTGAAATGCTTCAGCACTTCTGTACAATGTTATACATTGAAACTCAGGTAGTAATTGACTCTCCACTGAATGAATATTGACGTCTTTAAAAAAAAATTATCTGGTCAATTTCACAACCGTAAACTCAGTCATGGGAATTTTCACTTATCTTTTACTCTATATCACTTTTTGTATTACTATCTCTTCAATATTTAAATCATATGATATATCTGTTTTCAAAAAAATTTCATGTCGTTAAGTAATCAAAAAATAAAATGTATTTGGAAAGGAAAGCAACAGACTGACTGAATAACTGAATAAATGATTAGCCTGTTGAGGGGATAATCAATCATAACAGTCATACTTGTCGCATTCGTTAAGTGCTATGTGAGAGTCACATGAAAGCTTAAAATGTGGAGAGAGAGAGAGAGAGAGAGAAAGAAAAGAGCAGACCATTCGAAAGCTGACTTTTCTCAAAGTGCGAATTCTTAAGCAAAAATGTTTAACCCGTTTTTCAGTTTATCGGTATTTCCTTGATACACTAAGGCTTACTGATCAAGTAATATCTGACCTGTCCGACATACAAAATCAGAACCTAATAAAGCTCATACCATGTCCATGTGAAGTTTTAAGGTAAATACGTGACTACTCAGGCAGTAACTAGGCTAGAATTGAGTATGCTCGGTTTTCACCTCCTAACAGGCTATGGTATAAAGCTATCAGTCAATCTTGTCGATTGAGTAATCATCGCAATTATCCCACCTAGCATCAGTATTTCTAATCAGAGCCCCCCCCCCATAAGTGGAATAAACGCAAAATGCTCTTATGTGGCCATGTGTGGTCATAATCTCTGCCAGGTGAGTTCTGTTCACACTAGTTGTTCCTCACAAAAGTGAAATGGCAAATGTGAACATCTAGCACACACAACAATACTAGTGGACACTCTGGTCAACCTAGAGGAGCTAGGAAAAATCCTAATTCTGAGCCTCTTTGTGTTCATGGGCTCCAGAATCAGAAAGGAACAAATGGCGTATTAAGTGGTTTTGGTTACCGGAAACCATGGGTATGTAGCTCGTGACGTGCTGCTCCACTATCTTGCGGATCAACATTCAAGTCAAAGGTTCGGAGTTGACCCCTTAGGACAACCAGCTACCTACTACCTGCTCCCAGCCTTCATGCATCTCTTGGTGCCGAATCAGAACTCTAAGGAGTTTATTTCACAGTCAGTCAGCAAAAAACAAGAGACGTAAAATAGTTCGAGGTAGATGAGATGAGACAATTGTCAATCGGTCACTGGAGATTTACACGAATACTGTTTATTGTAAGCGTATTTCTGTCTGCCAGAGAGTTACTATCAAAAGTGAATATTAAAATGAGTCTGCAGGTGTTTCTTTAGTGTTTTTTTTGTGCAGTAATTCTCTTACTTAGTAAAATCTCTGAGTGAAATGAGTTTATATAGCTCAGTGATAACGTCTCTGATTGCCACACTGTATGATGCGAATTCAAATCCCTCCCCAGCCGGGATCAGTTTCTTCAAGGTCGCAGAGATGCGCCTTACGAACGAGTACCAAATAGGCACGAAACCTAGGTTACCGGCTTCTTGCCAACTGCCCCTTTCCAATTTAAACAAATTGCAATTTAGCAGCGACGTAGTAGTAGTAGTTGGAATCTGCTTAAGTCAGAGAACAAACAATTATCCAAGATGAGGTATGCCTATTATCACCGATGACACTCGTAATTCTGGTGGACTGGATCATGCGTCAGACTGTGGGTGGCAAAAAGACAGAAATACTCTTGACCGGTAAGAAGATTTAGGAAGTTCTGGATTCCGCGAATGATTTTTGTGCAATGTCATTCAAACTCGAAGACTTACAGGCGAGAACCAACAAATCGGCAGCGAAGACAGGTCTCCAGGTGGACCTAGAGAAGAAGGAGGTGATGAAGAAAACCAACAGTAACAACAACCAGCACCAATCACTGTTAACGGGAAAATTTTGAAAGAGGTTACTTCCTCCATTTATCTGGCTAGGAAGCACTGTTTCAGCCGCAGGGGGAATGGATGAAGATGTTAAAGACAGGATCCGAAAGGCGAGATACACTTTTACCAATCTGAAATTGGTTTGGAAATCTTCTTCACTCAGTGTAAAGAACGAGATCCGGATCTTCAACACCAATTTTAAATCAGTTCTTTTAAATGATTCAGAAACTTGGCGCGTCACCGAAATTATTCCTAGTAGGCTAGCCACTGCAGACTTTTATCAGCAGCTGATATCTCTCCGTTTTGAAGATAAATTGGCTGGTATGAAAGCTTCAGCAACAAGAATCTCTGGCTACGAACCAACCGTCGAATGATATCGTGCACCAGGAATAACTTCGAGTGGAACCCGAATGGGAAATGACGAGTGGGTCGTCGATGCTAGGTTGACATGGAGGAGATCGTTTGGGGCGGAGGAATTGAGAGATAATGGGAAACTGTAGCTCTAGTCAACTGAAGAGGATAATAGAAAACACAACAAAGTGGAGATGTGTTGTTGACGGCCTATGCCTCACTTGGATCCCAAGGGAATAATGGTGATAATAATGAATGAACATCTAAATCATGTTTTCCATTTACTCTTTGTGCCTCATATGTAAATTCAAATAGGCAAGCGTCATAAATGTTTTTCAAAATCTTTGTTAATGTATCTAATCTTTCTGGACTAAGTTACCCGGAGTTCTAGTGAGAAGTTGTAACCACTTGGCATCCATTAGGCAGTTGTGTATGAGAACAAACACTCGTCGATAAAATTAGCTGGTGTTGGATTGGCGCTGATAATCGCATATTGACAGAAGTTACAATTCACTGGCTCGCCTGGTAGTAACCTTAAGGTCCTGGGATCGATCCCTGGCAGCGGAGTCATGGGTGCCTACGGTGGAACCAGGACGAATCCCCAAAACTAGGACGAAACAGCTTTGTCCAGTACACTCCCTGCTGGTTTTCTCAGTGATTCTTCAATTCATATCACTCTGACTTGATCTGACTTGAAAAAAAAACAGTCAAATCCTTCAAAAAACTACTACTTGAATATCTTTCTGTGCTTATCCATGTATCCATTCTGTTTATTTGTATACTGTTTATCTCAAATTCTGTTATTATTATTTTTTTTTCTCTCAGTATGTTCCATTAAGTGTTCGACGGAGTACTGAATTCCACTTGACTACTGAATTAATTTCTGAATTGAAAGGATTAACCAATTCCAATGGTTGGTTACAAATAGCATCAATTATTACTGTGACAAGCACGTCAAGAGATATCAACTGTGTTATTGATCCAGTTAGATTCTCAAAACTCTTGATGAACAAGTAGTAGTAGTAGTAGTGTATCAAAGGCTGAAACTAACTCTGATGTAGATCATTTACACAACATGACTGCCGTGGTTGCGGCGAATTCATCTGATGAAAATCTATCCGCCAATCATCAGAGATCTATGAAGACACAAGGAAATCAAACGGAAGAATCACAGTCATTTCTACAACAAAATCAATATCGTCAAAGTCAAGTGTCTGGTTTCTCTTGGCCATCGAATTTACCCACAGCAGTGAATTATTCTGTGAATAATATACCAGTGAAATCACAGAAACCTTATGTTATGCTGATTGGTTTCAGAGCTACTGATCATCCTGAAATGGGTATTTTAGCCAGTCTACCAATTATTGTACAGATTCCGCATAGGTAAGAAATGCAATATACTTGTTTAATTACTATTATTCATGTTTATGCATGCGTCCCCGAGTGGAACGTAGCGCTTCAGCTGCACATCTCTACTGTGTAGTCAGTTCTCTCCCATCACCTTCAACCTACTCCATCACGGTGCACAATCTTTTATATCCTACTCACAAGACCTCAATGTCACGATCAGACGCCCAACTCACCACCACCCATTCAGGATTCACTCCGGGGGGGGGGGCGGCGGGAGTGTTGTATGATGCTCCTTAGTGTATGTTCAATCGATCTCGATTTCCGTTCTCTACAGGTAGTTTGCTGATTGATTTTCTGCCAGAGTTGCTTGTCGTTTCACAATTTGCAATTTACACAGTAAGGATGGTACAATTTCACCCTAATTTTCTTTGGAAACCAAGTTATTCCGATCACAAATGCGTGACCAGCTTGGTTGATACCATAAGTGGTAGTTAAGAAAGCGAGTATATTTATGGATGCCCCATTCATATCAACTAGCGGTGCCTGCTAACCAGATCAAGGCGATCTAAATACCGGACAGTCGTTTAGGCCGTTTCGGGATGGTTGATATGAGTGGGGCATGTAACTACTACTCATCTCAACTAATCAGTAGTATGTAGTTTAGTGCAGATTTGCCTACTTTCTTGATCACTGTTTGTGTGGTATCAAGCAGATCATACATATTGTGATCGGAATAACTTGCTTTCAGAGGAAACTTGGGTGGAATTCCACCACTCTAACTGTGTAGATTGCCGATTGCTGACCAGTTCGATCAATCAGTTAGCCAGAAATCGGGTGTGGTTTGAACTGATTCGACCATCTCTCTGAGCTGAGTCAAGCCTTCCGTTTACATAGAGAGAGAGAGAGAGTTCGTAAACCATTCAGCCACTGGGACCCAATCCAATGGCTCATGAATTCCAACTGCTGCCCATTCGCGTCATTTATATAATGACCTCCAACTAATGTGTCCGGCGACTAACTGTCCTCTTACCCGACTTGGTAGATTCCGCCGAATGAGGGGTCTACGAGCTCTTCTTGTAACCGGAAGAGATCCAAACTAGGACAAAACAACTACCCAGTACTTTCTTGGTTTCCTGATTATTCGTTTGTTTGTTTGCCTGCTGTTCACTACTTTTTTCGCATTTCTCTGCATTGCCTATTTTCTCGTATATTTGTCTGATTGACTTGTCTCTCCTCGCCTCTCCTCACCTCTTCTTTTCTTTTCCTTCTTTCATATTTAGATTGAATAGAAATTGTGATACTATGGATCAACCTCATTTCTTATTTTCAGATAAATTTGATGCTAAAAATAAAGTTAGACGATGGTTTGTTGAAGTACCGTATGGAGCAACAGCTGGAAGTAAGTGGTGGTTTGTCTCTCTCTCTTTAAAAGGAAATAGAAGTAAAGCGAAAACAATAGCTGATTCTTTTTACTTTCCATTTTAAAAAAATATTGATCCTTTAGTAATTTTATTTCTTTATTTTTCTTTCTCTGCGTTCCCAGTGGAACAGATAAGGCTTCAAGCCAGAGATTTGAAGTATCAGTAGGAATAGTGCATTTTGCAGGATGAGCTTGCCAGCTTACCCCCAACGCCCAACCTCCTGTCTTCACCACCAGGCTTACTACCCCGGCTTAGCTGGGTAAAAGAGTGCGCCGGCCAGGGATCGAATCCTGGACCAGTTGTTTGGTGGTTGGCCAGTGCTCTACCACTGGTAAAGTGTGACTGGTTAAATTTTTCCAGCCGGTTGTCTCTGCTTCCATCAGTTTAGCTTTGATTATGTTGAATGAGTGACATTCATTGAGCTGAAACATGATCGGTTAGGTTGAGAAAAAATTAGTTCAATTTTCGTGTGCATATTGCAGGCTTTAGACTGTCAACTAGAGCAAGTGATCGAATAACACTGGCCGGCCGACGCTCTCCTTTACCTCGCTAAGCCATTAATAATGCTGGTGAAGAGGAAAGGTTGGGCATGAGGCTAGCAACCCCATCCTGTAAAATAAACACTGCTACAGAAACTTCAAGCCACTAGCTTGAAGCCCTATGTTCCACTGGGGAACGTGAAGGAAAAAAAAATACATGTAAGCTAGACGCTTTTAGTAATAATAATAGTAATAATTTTATTCCAAACAATAATAATAAAAGACAGTTGCATTGAAGAAAATTCTCTTTTCGACAAAGTTATCAACTAGACAGCTGTACATTCGTGTATTGATAGAGTAGTAACTGTGTGAGAAAGTTTCAGAACTCTTTCTGGTCAAGGCTCAAATTAAGTTTGAGTAAAAAGATACAGTAATGAAAATAGGGATTAAAAAACGTAAAAATAACAGAAATAAACTGGAAGATTGGATAAGAAGGGTAATCAGATAGATAATCACTATTGACAGAATTGACTTTTTTTAATGATGACCATGGTGGTGACAATGGTTGAATATACATAGCGTGCACTTGAACTTTTGGATCGGTAGTGCCTCAGCCTCATTTTGGTGTTTGAGCTACTCGAAAAGATAACACTAGATTACCAATCGGGAAATCACTGACATGAATAAGTGATTTCAAATCATACCTGCACAAGGAGAGAGAGACTGTTGTGTCTCAAATGTTTAGTGGGGGTAACGCTCTTTGCATTTGAAGCGATAGGAGGCTGAGTTCGGGTCATAGTGGGAACACTGTTACTCACTGGGGAGCAGCAGGTTGATTAGTGCTAAGTAGAGTGAAACACGGATCTTCGATCTACCGTAAAAGAAGTTACTTCGAGTTATGCGTTTTGATAATTTCGAATCTTCCAAATACTTAAATGAAGCTGATCAATCTTGACCACATAAATCAACGGGCAGTCATAAACGCAAAGGCATGATTTCGATGGACCTTTGCTTTCATCTTCAAATCAATATATATATATATATCCCTCTGTGTTTATTTCATTTTAGACATTGTTATGTTGTAACGGAGTGTTAGTGATTTTGTGGTTGTCGTCTATCTTGACCAGAATGAGCCTCTAGACACGACGGTATAGGTCAACTGATCACTTGAAAATACTCCTCACATTGAGGTGGACACGAAAGTAAGATTTAACCGCTACAACGACAACAACAACTTTTATTATTCAAAATACAGGGTATGTGTATCGTTTACACATCCACGGAAATTTAAGCCATAAGTGAATTAATCAATATCTAACCGATTGTATGACCTTGAAGATCCTCCTAAATGAACCAATCAAAACTGTCCAATCAGGTTATTATGTCAGCACAGGTCTGCGTAGTTTCAAGAGATTTTCGTATTACTGGCAGCTGTGGTGGTTCACCCGGGTTTTTTCATAGTTGTTTCACCGACGGAGAAACTTCTGAGTTTTAGTCCATGACTTGTTATTGTGTTGTTATTCCGTTTTCGTATTTTTTGATTTTTCCTTGATAAATTTTGAACGTCATCCAGCAAAATACGAATTTAAACAAAGCAACAACTACAGATTTTGCAGAATAAAATGGTACCATATTTTATTTCGTCGCCCTCTCTTCAGCTGCTTACAGGGCAAAAACATTATTAAATGTATCTACAATAACAATTTATCATACTTACACAGAGTTCATTTTAAACAGAAATCAATCGATCGATATACACATACACTAATAATATATACATATATGTATATATATGCAATCTTGAACACAATTCCGAGCATTAATAATCATACAAAATGAAAACTTTTCAGTATCTCGCATTAGGATGAAAAATATCCAGTTACCAGGGCAAAGAAAGACTGATAACTGCTTCTTTCTGAACGCACAAATCAGGTTTTAGGCGCTTGATGGAAAAGGCTTCGGCAAACTTAAGGAGCATTGAACTCTTTTGCTTATTGATAATTTTGAATGACTTTTCCACGTCCACCTCATGACCCGTGTCAAGAAGATGCCTGGTGATGGCACTGCCTAAAGCATTTGTTCCCTTTAGACGTAAGCTTTTTGGTACATGTTCAGAAAATCGTAGATATGCTCTTCTTTCTGTTCTTCCAATGTAACTGCTCCCGCAGATACATGTAAATTTGTATATACAGTTGGAGTTAACATGAGAAGGATATCTATCGATTTTTGATTGCACCAGAGAGCAAGTTGTTCGAAAGACGGGAACGAGCTTAGCTGCAGGATAGGCTATGGCTAGTGATGTACTCAGCCTTCTGTTGATCATCGCTGCAATGTTTTCGCCTTTATAATCAAGCTCAAAGTAGATTGGCTTTTGTCTTACTGTGATTAGTTTTTCATTTGGGACTTCAGATCTTCCATACTTATTGATAAACCTTTGAGGGTACCCATTACTCTTCAAATTCTTTTCAAGAAACTCAAATTCTTCCTCTTGTTTCTCTGTCGAGCATATTCTTCTCGCTCTATAGTAGAAAGTCTTGACCAGTGCTCGTTTATAGCTATTTGGACAAAAGCTATTAAAATTTAAGTATTGTCCTTTCCATGTGGACTTACGATAAATTGACTTTTGAAGACTACCGTCTTCTAGGCGTTCCATTGCGATGTCGAGGAAGTGTAACTTCCCGTCACTTTCATGTTCCACAGTGAACTTGATATTGGCGTGTGCATCATTGAATAATCTTAGTAGGTGTGAAGCATGACTATCATTTTTGCACACTATAAATGTGTCATCAACGTAACGACAGTAGGAAGTTGTTTCATCGAATGCATGCTTCAACTTTGTTTTCTCAAGATTTGACATGAATTTTATATCCGAATATATGTTCAGCAGGTGACAGTCCGTTGATAGTCGATGAATTCAGCTTCGATCGGTAATCCTAACATATTATTCGTCCGTAGAGCTCCAAGTAGAACATAGGGTGTAAGATCAATCCAATTCCCATCCTTGAATCAAGTCAACCTGTCCCCGATCAGCCCAGCGTTGTTGCAACCCAATTATCCATGCCTAACGTGTCTATCCCCCCTTGTTTAATGAACTGTGCGTGTTTTTACATCGATCCGTTTAGTCAGACAGTTGAACTCATGACCCAATCAGAGTATTTTTGTGAACTGATATTTTGCTGACCCATGTCTTACTTTGTACTATTCTGTCGAGTTTATCTTATTTATTGATCTTCATCTTTATCAGCCCACCTGGTTAAGTAGCCAATTAAATTCTATCTTTGTGCCTATGCTCTGTCTATCTCTTACTTGGGTTCATTCTTCTACTGACTGCTTACCTGAACGGTCGTGTCTGATTCCGGCTAGTTCGCAATTTTGGCTTTAACGTTATTCCGCTCTGATAGTGGTACCTTGCTTTCTGTTAAGCGTTGTGATTTGTACTCTTGAAACCGTTAAGGTTTATTGTATATATAATTATTGATTTGTTTATGAATAGTACCATAGAAACAGTGACCGGCTTCTTGTTTGTTCTGGACCGGGATAGCCTTTATCTACGCGTGACTTAATTTCAAGCGATATTGCGCTTACAAAGGGCTTCAGCAGCACATCGTCATTTCACTCTGTCTTCCGAAATCTTCTCCATGATTGCCCACAAACCTTTATTTCTCCCATCGTACGATCTCCTCTATGCAACTTTTGAATTTCCTGCTCCTCCTTTCCCATTGCGAATCCATTCTAGGGACTAGCTGTAATGTGATGTCACTCATCGGTCTTTTCGGCGTATATCTTATCTGTTTCTATTTTCTGATGTATATTCCTTGTGTAATGGGTTCTTGACTGCTCTACTCCCTGCCGGAGTTCCTTGTTGCTCATCCTTCCTAGCCAGTCAGTCATCTGATATTCAGTATCGAGTCAGTTAAAAGACAGTTGCTGATAAAAGTATGAAGCCGCCTATTCGAAGTCCCCTTAATGACATGCCAGGTCTGTAAACAATATAGAATAACCGATTTCACAATTCGTTTCGAAAATCCTTATCTTGTTCTTTACACCTAGTACAGTAGGTTTCCAGAGTGACTTCAAAATGATGAATGTATGTCTTACCTTTCCGATCGTAAACCTCGCCTGGTTCACAAGCTTGTAATGAACCGGGATCGATGAGACAAGGTTCGATAGGTATGGGGCTAGCGAACCTACCTCGAAAAATCAACTCAATCGCAACAGTTTTCTGGTTTCTCTCTCTCAGTTCTTTGTTTGCTTGTCAAGTTATTTGGATAATCCCCGTCTTTTCTTTTTCTCTTTCATTTCACTTTTTTAAAGAAAATCCCTTTTGAAATTGGTTTTTTTTTGAACAAAAGAATTGAGAATTAATTTCCAGACTAAGCGTCGACTTTTTTTTGTTTGTTTTGTAAACTCGATTTGAATAATATAAAAGTTTCATGAAAAAAGAAAACCCATCAATTTGACGATAAATGTTTAAAATATATGTATATAAAGATGAAGCCAATGCTTCTTCAGACAAGGGAAAAAGATTATCAGACGTTAAATCAATGAAATCTTTTTTGTTTCTCTTCACCAGTTTGAATAACTTTCACGCAAGTTGTCTGGCTCAGTGGAGACTTTTGTCCTTTTCCACGGTAGTTAGCATTGAGACTCAGAATTGTTATTTTGAATTCGATTATTCGGACTGTTAGGATGGACTGACTACCTTTATCAGCCTTGAATTTATAGTTGATGCATGTGCTGACATAATAACCTGATTGGACAGTTTTGATTGGTTCATTTTGGAGGGTCTTCAAGGTCATGCAATCAGTTAGATATTGATTATTTCATTTATGGTTGAGATTTCCGTGGATGTGTAAACGATACATGTGCCCTGTGTTTTGAATAATAGAAGTTGTTGTAGCGGATAAATTTGAATTTTGTGTATACCTCAGTGTGGGGGGGGAGTATTTTCAAGTAATCAGTTGGCCTATAGTGTCGCGTCTGGAGGCTCCTTATAGTCAAGATAGACGGCAATCAGCAAATTACAAACTTTCCGTTATAACACGGACTGAGTTAGATATACCTGTATCCTTATGAATGATAATGTTTTCAGTGAAACTTGAACCCAATTCTGTCTTTTTTTATAACGTCAACAAATGTCTACCCCTTTTCTTTCATTCCTTTGCATTCCGAGAGGAACAAAAGGGCTTCAAGCTATGGAATTGCCAGCATCACACCCAATCTCCCCTCTTTTTCGAGGTTACCGCTGGCTAGTAAAATAGGTGAGGTTTGAGGGTGCATTGTCCGGGAATCGAACCCCAGAACCCTTGAGACGTGGTTGGTGAATATTCTACTACCAATAATACCATCGACGCACCACCTGCTCTTAAGCTGTAGCTATTAACTGTTATTTAGTGAAAGGTCCCATTACTTGAAGCCACGAGTAAGGATACGACAACGTTCTGTGATACACATAAATCCAATTAACAAATTGAAAATGTGATAAAAGTTGAGCATTTGGGATTCTACTCATTTATCCTAGGAGTCGTTGGATATTTAAGTGAGTTAATTAGAATGACTATTGAGAAGTTTGACGTATCAATAAACAAGCGGCTTATAAAAATTATGGTCATAAATTAATAGAAAGTCTATTTAAATCTTAATGTTCTGTTGAAATAAACTGGAGTCAGATACTTGGTTAAAAATCTGACAGAATTTCATCCAGTGCATCTTTCACCTGTTTTGAATGTTAACTAAAAAAGCCGAATAGAGTTTGATAACATTAAAGCGTCTCTTCTCAACATCACAGTGATATAGCCTCCAATCTTGAATGGTGTAAATATGTAGGAGTAGCAGGTAGCTTCCAGACTGACTCTCCAGGAAACATTTAACAATTTTTGATTGGACTCTAGTCAGTAACTAGTGTAATGTGTCTAGTCCTATCTTCGGTGCAGACTGAATTCTATCAGTGAAGCTTGCAATGTGGCCATCATTCTAGGTGGCTCACCATCACGGTGCACTGTGAGTTGTTGTTATTAGATGGTTTGAGGCAATCAGCGGCAGGAAGCCTCACCTGACCTAGGTTTCCTGCTAGTTGGCACTCACTCGTCAGCAAGGCGTATCTGCAACTACCTTGAAGGAACTTATGTCCCTTCTGAGGTTTGAACCAGTGTCACCCAGTGCTGCATTCATAGATGTTACCACTGAGCTATTTAGGTCCAGCGGTGGCGAGCCACCTAGCATGGTAGCCACATTGCAAGCTTCACTGATAGAATTCAGTCTGCACCGAAGATGGGACTAGACACATTACACTAGTTACTGACTAGTATCCGATCAAAAATATCCAATACAGTCCAATAAAAGGAGGTTAGTGGTGAGCCCGAATAACTACTCAATCTTAACGTCTCTGACTACAGGCGTCACTGCGTGACGCGGGTTCGAACCTCAGAAGGGACATGAGTTCCTTCGAGATTGCAGATACGCCTAGCTGATGAATGCCAACTAGCACGAAACCTAGATCCAAGGCTTCTTGTGGCCGATTGCCTCCAACCATAAAATACAAACACTCAATAAGTTTAACTGTGTTCAAAAGAGTTCGGAGTCGATGAATCGGTCATTAAACACAAATCTCAATTACCTGTCCACTGTTAATTACTATGATGCTAAAAATCCTCCTCCTAGTTTTTACGATTTTTGCAGCTTTCTCCCTAAAATACGCGTCTGACTTCATTCTAAAGATTAACTATATGAAACAGGTGTCAGAAGGTAGTCAAGTTCATATTTTATCACCCAGAGGTTTTAAATTCATTATCGTCTTGCCATCTTATCAGCAATAATGGAGTGGTTACAAGAGTACACTGCGTCAATAAATTTTCATCAACTGATTTCCAGAAGGTCTTTACCAGGGCACATCATTTCATCTCTTCCAATGCAGAGAAGAATAAGTTTACCTTTTTTGGTTTTTTACTGTTCTGTGAACTGATTGATTTTTTTGGGGTTGAATTGCTAGCCCACGCTCAGGGCTTAGAGCCGACTAAACAACTAGGCGGAGGAGATTGTGTAAGGAGGCGGGAATGGAACCTTACGAGCAGTTGTGTGGCCAGTTGAAAAAGACTGCAGATAACAGAGTGAGATGGCTGTGTATTACTGAAGCTTTATGTTCCACCTCGAACCTAGGCGAATAATAATACTAATAATAGCTTTATTCCAAACAGTACTATTGATATAAATATGGAATTTTCTAGTATTGGTTTTGTAGGGATTTTGTTTGATTGGTTGGAGGATTTCATCATGGGCTAGCATCACTTAGAGAACCATTGGAAAGCCAACAGAGAGTACTGGGCAGCTGTTTTGTTTGCTTAGTTAGAGGGGTTCGGGGTTCGAATCCCGGAATTTTCAGTATATATACAGTATCGCATCTAATTTTCTCATTACACAATACAGGGGTATTAATTAAAACAGGACATTGACATCAATAATAGTGTTAAATAAGAATAATAGTATAAAGTTTAAATTTAAGTGGAAACATTAACAAGAATATATTAATGAAAGAAAGAATAAAAAGGGCCTTCTACTTATTGTTGCTCAGTACGTTAGTAGTATCATGCCTTACACTTTTCTCATCATACAAAATGTGTGTCGAATAAGGTATTGTAGAGTTCTTATACTTAGTCATCGGAGCGTAAATTCTTCTATTGTTGCTTCTTGTCCCACCTAACTGGTAAGATGCAAGGAGAGAGTTGTGTATAGGGAGGATGCTGAGTGTTGGAAAAGATAATATTCGCCAATTCCTCGTATGAGTTCAAGTGTTTATCTACAACAGGATTAAAGAGTTGGTGTAGCGACACCCCCACTCGCCTACTGACAGATTTTAGTACCCTTTGCAGTGCAACAAAGTCTTTCTTAAGTAACCCAGGAAAGACTGTAACAGTAGAGGCTGAGTGATACCATATCGTCTTAACTTAACCCACGACCTTCCGATTACAAGGCAAGCTGGATCGGATACCATTCAACCACTGAGACACGATTCAATGGCTAACCCATGAATTCTAACTTCTACCAATTCGTGATACATTCAGCGCGACCACGAACCAATGTCACTGGTGGGAAATCCATCCCCACACTTGACTGGTTGAACCTCACTGGTCACAACTTCTCACTAGAAGCTCAGGAAACTCCGTCCTGTAGCAAGTCACTCGCTAGCGAGCATCAGATTATTTTTGAAGAGTGGTATACGAGCTTGCCTTGTAACCGGTCCTGGGTTCGAACCTCAGTAGGTGCATTTTAGAATAATCTGATTGAGAAGTATTCAGCATAAAAACAGCCAAAACCTCGCCATACTTTACAAAACTGTCTTCCTCAGAATGGAATAAGTCATGCCAGAATAAAGTAAAGCACCTTGAGGAACACCAGCTCGACTAGTTAAAGCATTGGAGAACTTCCCACCATACACAGTGCACTGCCTCTTATCAGAAAAGTAAGAATAGAACCATTTATGAATTTAGCACCTTGCTTGTGTTGCAGCAACCTTGTTCTAACCAAAGAGGCAGCACAGTACAGCACAGTCAAAGGCAGATGAAATGGGAGTTGTAAAATTGTCTTTTCAGTTTTCAATATATATTATGTTTGAATTTTCAATATTTTTCCTTTATTCCTGTCGTTTCAGTATTACGCCTAGCACGTTTAGACAATGATGGTGATAAATCGTGTGAATTTACTATAACAATCAATTCACCTTGTATTGGTATGAATTCAGATAAACAAGAAGTAAAATGGTCATTTGTTGAATTAAATAGATGTGGTCAATCGAAATCAGGTTTAAAACGTGAGTGGAAGCTCTTTATTTTCATTCAGAAATATACATATATTAAATTTATATGTCCAAACCAAGTTCACATTTAACAGTTTGAAAAAAATTGGGCATTAGGTATATGATATTCAGTATATAATGAAGGTTTTTTGTATTTCCCAATGAATGCAAAACAAAACGATATTGTTTTGTGTACTGACATTTCGCTATTTAGTGCTGTCAGTAGCTTCATCAAACCGTAACGACAGAAGACAAAGGCCAGGGAACAGATCGTTTATTGAGAAAATCAAGAGATATTAATAGATTTTTATGTACATTATTGTCAGCGGAGAAGTGACGTCTTCTGATTGGTTGTTTTCTCGCTGAAAGTAATTCTGTCGTCTCTTTCTGGCCGTTTCTTTGAAGGTCAGACCATATATCTGCTAATCGTATCCGCCCACGTAAAGTCTGCTGTGATTGGTTGTTGAGTTCCTCAAGGTTAAGCTTTGTTCTTGTTTTATCTCGTGACCCCGATTCGGGACGTAAACGTTGACGAAAAAGTGGTGTCTACAATTTTTGCTAACAGACAGGTCTCACCACAAAAGTACTATTAAAGCAGAATTTACAAAATCCCACCTTATATATAACAAACTTAATCATCGTTCCCCAGCATGGGGGCATTTGTGCGTTGTCAAATTGACCAATTGGTAAAGGTAAAAAAACCAAGTGTAGATTGTTGGATTTGATGAGTGTGTAAAATTATAAAAACAGCGTGTCTTTACATAATAAAGTTGCTTATCACATTCGTGTTGGTTTTATCATTTCATGGGGGAGGGAGGTGTTGTAATCTGGTCATATTCTGTTTCAGTCCATCATTCAGTCCTGTTCAGACAATTTAGATTTCACTTGATGTGAAGTGCTTCTGATATTAGACGTTCTTTGTGATTTCCGAAATTTTTCTGGATTATTTCAATATTGTTAAAATAAATTTTGTGACCTGCTTCTATAGAGTGTAGATGATGATTTCTTTATTCTTTTTTAGTTCAACCGGATTTCTCGGTGTTCGAATAGAGGCTCTATGCTGTTCTTTTCTTCTGATTTTGATTTCTCTCTCGCGATGTTTGTCCGATGTATATCGCATCATATTCGAAGCATTTTATTTTATAGACACAATTAGATAAAGAAACTTTATGGATTTGGTCTTTTATATGGACAAGGTTGTTTCGCAGTGTGTCTGATGTTTTGAAGGAAACTCTGATGTCGATGTTATTGAGTACTCTTCTGATATCATCTGATGTCTCTGCTCTATGTGGAATGACGACTGTTGATGTCCACGTTTTCGGAATGTGTTTTCGACCATACTTAATGTCATTGTTGATTTTGTTGATGAAGTTCTTTGGGTAGTTATTTTTCCTTGAGAGTCTCAGTAATGTTTGATATTTCTTCTTCTTTTTCTTCCTCATCTGTTAGTAAAGAGTGTGCTCGTGTAAGAAGACTTAAAACAACCGACACCTTTGCGCTGATGGGGTGTGATGATCCGAAGTCTAAATATTTATCGGAGTGGGTTTTCTTCCTGAATATGGATGTACTAAAATGTCTGTTTTCCCTCCTCTTAACTAGCCAAGCGGTCTAGAAATGGTAGTTCACCGAAGTCTAATTCTGCTTCCGAAGTAAACTGTATTCTGAGAGATAGATCGTTTAGTTTCTTCAAGAATGAACTGTGTAGATCTTGTTTTAGCACTACGTACATATACATATATATATATATATATCAATGAGATATAAAACTTTCTTTCTAATACTTTTTTATTATTATTCTCTCCCTTTTGGTGCATATATAAAGGTAATGATAAAAGTTCACCAGTTTTAGGCGCAGATGACTTCGACTGTGCATCTCAGTTTGCCTTTCCAATTAACTGGGAGACAGATTATCTAGAATTGACTATAGCACAACATTGGGGATTAGAAATGCCAGCTATTGTTGTCGGTGAATTATACTTTCGTGGTTTGGAACCAAGTTTAAGAAATATTGTTTTAGTGAGTTCCCTTCATCTCTCTTTTTTAAAACAATATATATATATATATGTATAATGAGTATATAAGATAAGAAAGTATTCAGAAGTATAATACATAAATATTTGTTGAGTACTTGTCACGCTTTCATATTTTCATTAACCTTTGTAATGACAGAAGACAAGAGCCAGGCAACAGATCGTTTATTGAAGAAATCAAGAGATATTTATAGATTTTTATGTACATTATTGTCAGCGGAGAAGCAACCTCTTCTGACTGGTTGTTTTCTTGCTCAAGGTTAATCTGTACTGCTTTTGACTGTTTCTCAGAAAGTTAAGCCATGTATCTGCGAATCGTATCTGCACACGTTAAGTCTGCTGTGATTGGTTGTTGAGTTCCTCAAGGTCAAGACTTGTTATTGATTTTTCTCATGACCCCCAATAGCTGGTAGTAAACTCGGAAAAGAGGAGTGGGGTTTGGGAAGTGAGGTTAGCAGTTCCATCCAGTTAAAAGCAGCAGGTTTACCGTTACTGAGATTACAAGAATTGAAGCCCTGTTTTCGACTCAGAACGCTATAATCGGTTAGGTTCTGTTATCGAAGCAAACAGTTAAATATAAATGTTATAGCTTTCATAGAGTACCATGTCACTCAATAGATTATGAGTGTGGGATTTTTCAACAACATTTGAGCAAATTCATTGTGCATTATTATTATTTTTATGATTCCCCTGTGCTCCGAGTGGAACATGCGGCTTCAAATGCACAACTCGATTTCATCCTGTTTTCTGCAGTCGTCTTTATTTGGGTCGACGAATATCTGTACGCTTCCATCTCCTTCTTGTTGTATCACATTTGGGTTCCACTTAACGACCTTGCGCGCGATGTCAGTCGACGGTCTCTTTATCGTATGTCCGATCCGTCCCCATTGTCTTCTTCATAGTTGTTAGGGTGTGGGTTCTTGGTTGGTTATTTGGCAGAGTTTCTTGTTGCTAATCGGCTTTTAACCGGCTTTATGATCTTCAACATGAAATCAGTGAAGGCAGCGGTTGATAAAAGTCTGAAGCCATTTGTTCGAAATGCTTTTCGCGACACGTTCGTCAAGTCTGTAGACCATATAGAATACATAAAAAGACTGGCTGTCTTTGATCACAGGTGCCTGCGTTCTATCTCCAGTGTGAAGTGGTTTAATAGGGTGAGCAATATTGAGGTTAGACATCAGTTGAGTGCTAGGTAAGGAGGGGAAATCAATCGATGAGGTTTTGAAGTCATATCGGCTGAGATGTGTTACGCGTGCATGCCTATCCATTGCCTTCCTCGACAACGGGCAATATTAGCTGACATAGGGTCAGGTTGGAAAAGAACCAGTGGTGGTCAAACTAAAGCATGACTTCAACGCCAGTCAATGAAATCCACAACAGTTAGTTTAAGCCAGCCATCCACGTAGGGAGGTGTAGACTTCCTGGTTGGAGCACTCAGGACGGTAAAAACCAGTGGCTGGAAACAGTTGGTGATATGGCTCAAAATCGTTTTCAAAGGCTGGTGCAGATGCATCCACTCCTTGTGACTTATAATACCCAATGAAACTATATTGTCCTTCGTTGTTGCTATTCCTTTTGTTTCATATCCCTGTCTACTATCTCTATTATGTAATTCTTCTACTTTCTTCTCTTGCTTTATGTGCAACATGGAGTGTGGCGACTTTAACTACTGCACATCGGTGCAAAGTTCTATGTCAAAAACAGACAGATATAGAAGAAATGACTTCATGATTCGCCTTGAAAATCTTAATCTTGTTCATTATGCTCAGTACAGTAGATTTCAGAATAATAAAGGTCTATCGTACCTTGCCGATCCTGAATTACGCATACTAAACCTGGAAAAGGAGGGAAGTTTGGGCGTAGGGCTAGCCACCCTACTCTTAAAAATCAACTGAATCGCTACAGAAACAGACAAAAATGCAAAAACAATTCTTCATTTAGCTGATGATAGATAACTGAAGGCGAAAGAAAAATTACAGTTTGAGTGGGGATTCGAACCAGTGGCTTCATGAATTGAAAAGAGCAAAAAGAAAATATTTCGTTCGTCAGTTGAGCTTTACTCACTGCATCTTAATCATTTTTTTTCCTTCACGTTCCCCAGTGGAACATAGGGCTTCAAGCTAGTGGCTTGAAGTTTCTGTAGCAGTGTTTATTTTACAGGATGGGGTTGCTAGTCCCATGCCCAACCTTTCCTATTCACCAACATTGTTTCTTGCTTAGCGAGGTAAAGGAGTGCGTCGGTTGGGGATCGAACCCCGGACCATGTGCATGGTCGGCGAGCGTCCTAACCGCTATGCCACCGACGCACACATTATTATTATTATTACGTTTTAAATCTTCATGTTTTCATTAGAATTCCATGTTGTAGTAGACTTCAATTTCAGTCTTCTAAAATAAATATTCAAGTTATAAAGTCTTAAGGATTGTGCGTCGGTATAAGTGCATCTCCACATTATTCTGTATTCTTCAGTCGTCGTCTTTAGCTGGCATTCAAGACTTCTGCTTTTGTTGGAGGATTGTTGTTCACTGACAACCCTGTGGTTTTCGATGGTATTTCCGGACGAATTCTAGGTGGTGGTCTGTTCAGTAATCCTTTGACGTGGTGATCAGCGCATTGTTTCCTTTGTTTTTCCTCTTTTGTTCTCTTGAACATCTTTTATAGGTTTCACCTGTGTTGATCTTCACCTGGATAGCAACTTCTTGACCGGAAATCCTCCTTACCTGCAGCTTGTTCTAGCTTCTTTTGTCAGTATGTCGTAGAATTGTCTTTTGTCATTGCTCACATTCTCCCTCATTTCTTAATTTTTAGTGCGTTATACATTGAACTCACTTTCTCCTCTTTTGTTGTTCATCTTCTTTTCCAGCATTCCTTTCTCCCCTATTAGCTTTCACGTGTTCGTAAAGAATCATTCCTTGTCTTGCCGCTTCTTTGTTCCTAAAACAGCTTTACAAGTTTCCTTTACACATTACTTTCACAGTCTCAGTGTTCTTCTGCACAAGTTTCCCTGGGTAATGTTACAGAATGTCTCCGACTTTGCTTTGACAGCTGGAGGGAATGTGTCACCCTACAGTTTTTGAATGTTAAACTTGGATTCTGCTTTGTCTCCAGCTGTATTGAAAGCTTTGAACTTGACCTCAGATAATGTTTTAAGCGCACATCTGCTCCATCATCTCGATTTAATGCCTAACAACCTTCTTCTCCACTTTCCTGAAATTGAGATAAGTCTGTCTGATTTTTGGTGTGTCTAAATGGTGCGTGGGAATGTAACTGGTTGTTAAATAACACTTATTATTATTACTGAAAGACGACTCTGCTGCAGCTGAATGGCTTGAGTTCACCAATTGCTTGAGAACTGAGCTAGAAACTATCTTGCATTGTCCTTTCGTTAACCATGCTGGATAATGTTCACAGATGCCTTTGGGAAGTGGGCGCTTTGTGCAGCCGATATAACCTAACTCCACAAGAACAAGTGAATTTATAAACACACATTAAAGTGGCTCAAAGAGGCACTTTATCCTTCACACATCCATTGATAATTTGTCGTCTGGATAAGCAGATCACTCAGAAAAGTCCTCTTTTTGGCTGAGCTATGGATCAATTTCTACAGCCGATAAATGATCAATGGATTTGTGAAGGATAAAGTGCCTCATTGAGCCACTTCAATGTGTGTTTATAAATTCACTTGTTCTTGTGGAGTTAGGTTATATTGGCTGCACAAAGCGCCCACTTTCCAAACGCATCTCTGAACATTATTCGGCATGTTTAGCGAAAAGACAATGCAAGATAGTTTCTAGCTCAGTTCTCAAGCAGTTGGTGTACTCAAGCCACGCAGCTCCTCCACCAGAGTCGTCTTTCAAAATCATCTACAAGGGGAGGCTAAGTGGCACGAAGGGCGTCAGGTTTCGACATTTGTTATTATTATTACTGTCATTAGATTGTTAACTGGTTAGCTTATTACATTTATTATGGTCACAAGCGTTTTTGACCACCCCGTTTTCTCACTTTCCATTTGAGAAACCTTTAGAGGATGAGCGAATTTTGATCGACTGTCGACCGTAGATTGAAGGCATCTTCACACATATAGCTAATACTGTTTGTCTATTTAAGTGTAATATTATAATACTGGAATAATAATATTGTGTATCATCACTATGAATCTTATTCGGTTTGTCTTTTAGAATACAAGTGATCGTTACTGTCGTATTGGTTTACATTCAAATTTCACTAGTGAATCAATACAACCGGATATCTGGTTGACTCATTGGTGTTTATCTGTGAAGTAAGTAGTACTATTAGTAGTGGTAATATTTAATTATAAAGCTTTTAATCTTTTACATTTTGAATTATATTAATGTATAGTAGAAACTGATACATATCTGTTGAATTGGCGGTTAGTTGTTCTCGATCTGGGCTTTCTGCATCAGCCGATAATCGTCAGTAGTAGGGTATCTTATAACCCTGAAGGAAATGATGTTGTGCTCTGTGAGATTCGAACCTGTGTCGGAGACTCTAGCATTGAACTAGTTGAGGGGGGGCGTCTAACCTACTGCCGCAGTATAATGGTTATATTGATTGTTCATTGGGTAGTAACCAGGCTCTCAGACTGGTGAACGCATTGTAAACTGACTATTTTAGCCTTGTTTTTAACCTTATAAACATTAAATGAATGCTTTCTGAAACCAGGTGGTAGCCGTCAGTTGTCCCTTCCTGACTTATGGGGTTTTTCACAAGTTTCCATCCCCTATAATAGTAATAATAACAATAATAATAACTTTTCAAGTATTGGTTTGTAGGGATTTGGTTGATTGGTTACAGGATTTCATCATGAGCTGACATTGGTTAGAGAACCATTGGAAAACCTGGGAGTACTGGACCAATCAACCAAATCCCTACGAACCAATACTTGAATATCAATGAGATGCTCACTGGCGACTGGCCCTATTCAGGTAGGTAGTTACCTGCGGTTCCAGTAGGAAGTCGTGACCAGTAGGGTGCAGCAGGTCGGGTGTGAGGAGAAATACTCACCGAAGACATTGGCTAGCGGTTGTGCTATATTGTGAATTGGCAGAAGTTAGAATTCATAGGTTAGCCAGTGGATCGGGTTCCAGTGGCTTAATGGTATGCGGGCTCACCTTGTAACCAGAAGGTCCTGGGTTCGCACCCTATCAGTGGGTCGTACTGATGAAGAGTCCCAAACTAGGACGAAACAGCTGTCCAGTACTCCTTGCAGGATTTCCAATGGTTCTCTAACCAATGTCAGCTCATGATGAAATCCTGTAACCAATAATAACTTTATTCCAAATAGTACTATTGATACAAATATGGAATTTTCACCATATATACAATATTGCATCTAATTTCGCCCTTACACAATACAGGGGTAATAAGTTAGTAGTGTCATGCCTCACACTTTTCTCATCATATAAAATGTGTGCAAAATAAGGTATTGTAGAGTTCTCATACTTAGTCATCGGAGCGTAAAGTCTTCTGTTATTGCTTCTTGTACTACCTGACTGGTGACATGCAAGGAGAGAGTTGTGTATAGAGAGAGAAGATGTTCAGGGTTTGACAAGATAATATCCGCTAATTCCTCGTATGAGTTCAGGTGTCTATCTACCGGAGTACTGACAAGTTGTTTTGGCGATACCCCACTCGCCTACTGACAGATTCTAGTACTCTTCGCAGTGCAACAAAGTCTTTCCTAAGTATCCTAGGAGTGATTAAGATGGAGAGGGGTGGTGAGTACTCGAGACGATTAAATAGAATACATGTATTGACAAACTGTAACTGGTGAGACTAAGTGATACCAGATTGTCTTAACTTCCTTACCCAGAACGTTAAATGAAATATCTTTCTAGTCACTAACATGATGTGTGAAGACCAGAAAAGGTGATCAGAAGAAATACACACTTCAAGGTATTTAACATTCGATTTAGTTTCAACTTCAGTACCGTCGATGATAGCAGAAGCAATCACGGGATCAAAATTAAGACGCATGATTCATTCATTGGTTACAAGAAAATACACAGGCCTTAGCAACTTCTATCAGTTAACCAGATACCCTCATAATTTTTTTGTTTGTTTTTGTAACTGAGCCACTTTTTTCATTTTTTTCATTTTTCTGCATTTCTAGTGGAATGCAAAGCTTTAAGCTTGAGATTTAGAGTTTTAGTGGAAGGGGTGTTGTTTGTTTTTTACAGGGTGGTGGTAGGCTTGATAGTTTCACGTCCAACCTTCCCTCTTTACTGGATTTATTACCGACTAAGCAAGAGAGTTTAAGAGTCCGTCAGCCTGAAGTCGAACCCGGACTTAACGTGTATAGTTGGGTGTAGTCTTGATTATCATCGATTGCTGTTGACTTTAACAATTTGTGTTACTCAAACTTGAAGCATGTACGTTGAGTAATGTGTGTGAGCTTCTGTTCAAGCCAGTTTTGGAAATGTTATCAGCAGTCGTATTAAATAGTGCACTGGCTACCTTAGATGGTCTAGTCCGAATAAATTATGATGTAAGAAGTTTTTTAAAAGATTTTCCTTGCTTTCTTATTTCATAGGGTAACTAGTATATGAAACATAATAGTATACTTCTTTTGACTTACTGAACTGTTATCAAGGCTGTTGTGCAGCACAGTTTAATCGACAGCATTGTCTTAGCACTCAAAACCATACTGAACTCTGTGTAATATACTATACTATCCGACAGTCAGTTTGCCTCCACAGGTGGTCAACTAAAACCTTCCACATATCTGTGCGTATTCACAGGTTTAATATTGCTCCTGTTCACAGACGCTACACTTAGACTAACAACTAGGCAGCCTAACTGATGTGTTGTTAAGTTTCCACCTTCACGTTCGACGAAAGTTTCATTTGTACGGTAAAAATTGAAAAATATATATAAACATGAGTGATACTTTGAAGGTTATTTATCTCATTTCACTGAACCTTTCTCCATGAAATTTGCTCCCATATTTTACCCAGTAAAAGGAGAAAGATTTATCCGCAAATCGAAAGACATCGGAGTTGATGAAAATAACCAACCAACTAACTAACAACAACAAGCACCAATCGCTTGCTAGCAACGGAATAAATTTGTTAGAGGTCACTTATCTAGGAAGAAAGGTTTCAACTGCAGCCAGTTAGTTAGCACGAATAAGGATGCTAAAACCAAAATGTAGAATGTAATAAAGACCTTCATCATTCTGAAATTAGTTTAGAAATCTACTGCCCTCAGCACAACCAACAGACTTCGGATTTTTAACACCAATATGAAGTCAGTCACTTCTTCTATATAAGTCAGAAACTTGGCTCTTCATGAACGACACATTTCTAAAGGGCTACTTCAAACTTTTATCAATAGCTGCCTTCACTGGCTCCATATTGAAGATCACATGACCCGGCAGAAAGAATCAGCACCTAGAAACTCTGGCTGGGAACGAACCAATCAAGAACCTATTGCTCAGCAGATATGACGAAGATAATGGAGATGGATCGTACGCACAGTGAGAAGACAGTTGGGTGACATAGAGCGCTCCAGGCTGACTCGAATGGGAAATAACGAGTGAGGCTGTCTGAGGGTGACATGGAGGAGATCGTGGGGAGGAAATGAGAGACTAGCGGGAATCGTGAGGCCAGCTTAAGAGAACTGCGAAGAATAGGATGTTCCACTTTGAACCCAAGGCGGTAGTAATAATAATAATTTATAATGTAGCTGGAACTATGCTAGATGGATTAATATGCCTCTTATCTTTGCCTCTTGGCCAGGGTAAACTTAATAAACGAATCCAGTATTGGAAGTTTTCACCAATTACCTACTATTTACACTTATATATATATATATATATATATGCATAATTTAGACTTTGGATTATCCATCTATAATCGTCCATGCATAAACCTTGAAAAACTTTAAATATTTTATAAAGTATTGATCTAATTTAATGATTAAAATGTCACTACTGTCATGCTGTTGTTTTCATTATTTTTGTCAACATCGGTATTATTGTTATTGTCATTGCTATAATAATAATAATAATAATAACAACTATTGTTGCTATTTATTATTGAGTCACAAGTCATCATGATTCGGCATAGTTTTATGTCTATTTAGCGTCATGTTTCTATTCAACTAATAAAGCCTATGGAAGATGTGGTTGGTTAAAAATGATATTGTTCTGAAGAAAATAAAAATAAATCACAATTCATTGAAGAAAATGTTTTTCTAGTTGAAACCAGTTCAACTTCGATTACTGGTTGATATCATTTAGAGAACTAATAAAAACCAAGGAGTACTAGACGGAACTGTTTCGTCCTAGTCCTGGACTATTCATCAGTACGCACCGATGACACCGCCACATGGAGGTGGACCAAGGACCTCCAGGTTATGACGCGAACTTGTTAACCATTCAGTCTGTCTGTCTGTCTGGATTCAACATAGAACTTGGCATTCATTCAGTCATTGGGTAGGAATCCAATAGCCTATGAATTCCAGCTTCTGTCAGTTTTTCAGTCAATGTCATCGGGGGGGGGGTATGTGTCCTCACACCATTGGTTGTGAACTGACAGAAGTTAGAAGTGACGAGCCGCTGGATTCCCCCACAGAGTCCTAGATTAGGACGAAACAGTTATCCAGTTGTATATTTGCTTTTCAATGATTCCCTAACTGATATCAAACCGTGATCAAATTCGAAACTAATTAAATCCCTACAAACTTGCACTTGAAAAAGCTTTTTTTATCGACGATGTCATTTTCAATGGCTTTCCAGTTGTACAGTTGTCTGTTATTAAGTAGTATATGGGTGTGTGTATGTGTTTGTGACACAATTGACACAGTTACTCACAAGTGGTTTGTATACATAGGAACAGATTTCATAAGCATTAACAGTACAACCAAAGAAAGAGTTGTTACATGAGAAACAAAGTAGTCTAGTGTACACACTTGACAAGTGTGAAGAAAGTGGGCAAAAAACATGAAGGATTGACAAAATAATGAAATAATTACTCTAATGGGAAACCAGAAAATTAGGAAAGCACTTAAGATCATGGTAGAATAGTAGACTGAATAAATCTTTTCTGTACAGGGAGAGTCTGGGACCATGTTAACGAATAGCTAGTTCCTCTGCCACCGCTTGTATCATTCGATTTTATCTTGTAGATATGTTTAAAAGATAACTTTGGTGAAGCTGCGTGTCTTGAGTTCATCATATGCCCGAGAATTAAGCTATTAATTGTCTTGCATCGTCCTCTTGCTAACTATTCCCTACAATATGTGTGGAAGATGTGCATTTTGTCCGGTCAATATAACTAGCTGTACAAGAGCAAGTGAATCTATAACGGCACATTAAAATGACTAAAAGTGACCGTTTGCCGTCCATTCGTCGACTGTAGAAATTAATCCATAACTCAATCAGAGAGAATTCTTTTCTCAACGATTTGGATTAGCAGGAATTCAGAATCTTGGCCGTGGTATCACTCTTAAACTCAACATTCATAAATAGTAATTTCTCCGGAGCTTTGTGGTCGATCTCATGTTTTGCGTCGAGGAATCTCGCAAGGTATTCATTGTGAATAAGAATTAGTCGAGAGTATTGACCACTTCAACTGTTTTTTAACTTGAGTAAGGACTTTTGTATTGAATGCTGACGAAATTTCAGCGCAGGTACAAATAGCTTATTTGGCGTAGAAATGATATCCCGGTATCCATCATAGATATATGTACTACTCAGCAGTTCTCTCTATCCTTCTTTACGGTTAGAGTTAAGTTCCTTGTTGCTTTTGACCATCGATCTCTGCTTCATACTTTCGTGTTAGGTGGCGCTTGAGTTGCCAAGCTGTTGGTGACATGGAGGAAAATCTTTCTTCCTGGCTCAGATGCATTCACGCTTTGTGATTCCACAGGTCCATTAAATCCATGTCGGTTTCCAAGTAATTATTCTTTTTGCTGTAGATTGCCGATATTATAGTTTCTGTGCATTAACCCCTCCCACCTTCCCCCGATATTTATATATGATGTGTGACAACTTAAATTACTGCGCAGTTGTGCAAGGTATTACATTGAAAATTCAACTCAGTTCTTACTGGACCTACGTGGTTGACTCCCTCTAGCATATCAGTAAGCTAATGGATAATATTTTGGTTTTTGAAAACTATGTCCGCTGATTTCAAGCATCACTAGGATCATCAACGCATCAGTCATTGATGATATAATCTCTTTACAATTCATCACAGTTACAAGAATATTGTTTTAGAATTAAACGTTAAGTAATTTCGTTTCAATAATATCAGTGTTAACGTTTCATTGCTAATTAGCATTTTTACTTTTTGAAGTTTCAAATGTTGATGTTTTTCTCTGTCTCTGTTTCAAATTAATTTTTTGAGAAATAAAATTTTATTTTTAGGCCATATGATTCAAAAATTTTCTATCTAGGTCATGGAAAAAATGAACTTCTTGTCAATGGTCATAGTTCATATGCTCTGCGTTTAATGTATCGATTTAGTTGTGTAAGTTGTTGTTGTTCTTCTTCTTTTTCCCAGTTTTTCATTTTATTTTGTATTGGAGTAATGGTAAAAATTAGAGAGAAAAGAACAAGAAGCTCCGGAAAAATATCTTTTGGTCTATTTTTTTTATCCTCAAAAACTGTGCAATCATATTTTCATACATGAGTGTTCGATGTGCAGTCTGGAAATTCACCAATCATCATTTGACCCTCTCAAGTGACCGATGTCCAGCCTGGAAATGAACCAATCACAATTTGGCCCACATAAGTGACCGATGTCCAGTCTGGAAATAGACCAATTAGAATTGGCCAGCGTGAAATAACGCCCACCAGTATTTCATTGATCATGATTACAGACTAATTAACATAACTTTGGTGATATTTTGAATCATAGATATTTATTGCGTGAAAAATACTTGGTGTATCGAGTCGTTGTGTTTCCTCGTCCAATCAGTGAAGGCTGAGGAAACAGGTAGCTGTTGCATGATTTTGCTTACGTAGTCAAGCGGTATTCGTGATCACCGCGCCTGTATCCATCTCGGTGTCCCTGTTTTAGTCTCTATGTATTTTGAGACATAACAAGTCGTTACAATTATTATTCAATTCAATATATTTTATGAGTTGGTCACGGATTGATATCAGTTAGAGAACCATTGAAAACCAGGGAGTACTGGACTGATTGATCGTAAAACATAACTAACCCTTACAAACCAAACTATAGAAAATTAATCTGATGCTCGCTAGTGACTTGCTATAGGATGGAGTTTCTTGGAATTCTAGTGAGAAATCGTGACCAGTGAGGTCCAACCAGTCAAGTGTGGGGATGGATTTCCCACCAGTGACATTAGTTAATGGTCGCGCTGAATGCACCACGAATTGGTAGAAGTTAGAAATCATGGGCTAGTCATTGAATATGGTCCCAGTGGCTGAATAGTATACGAGCCGGGTTACTTTGTAACCGGAAGATCCTGGGTTCGAACCCTGGCAGTGTGTGCGTACCGCCGATGATTCCCAAACTAGGCTGACGAAACATCTGTCCAGAACTCCTTCCTGGAGGTTTTCAATGGTTCTCTAACTGATATCAATCCGTGACCAACTCGTAAAACATAAATAACCCTTACAAACCAAACTATAGAAAATCCAGTATATATTAACAAAGGGAGATTAAAGGAGACAAAAATTATTTTACATCTTGTTCTGAAAGTTTGAAAGTGTGAATACAAAACCAAAGAAATTAGTCCAACCTCTTCTACATTTACTTTGGATCTAGTTCGATTTGCCTTTCTAGTTGTTTTTCTTTTTGATTTCATTCAAATTTTGTCATCTTCACTTATCAAAGCAATTATTTTAACCTGTTTTTATGCAGATCCCGTTCACACCTGTCTTCATTTAAGAAGAAACTGTTGTACATATTACTTAACTATTTCTTAAGAGAACACAGATGAAGCAAATATCTGTTTTCTTGTAATTTCTCATCAAGCTTTACAATTACACAAAACTTTAATCATAAACATTTGAAACTAAGTGTAGTTAATGGAATTAAAGTTCAGGCATATGAGAATCAAGCTGATCATAATAACGCAAATAACAAGGCGAAATCCACACACACATGTGTGTATAGTCTAGGTAGTCAATTGTTGTAAATGTGTAACTAGAATGTATATACCTGTAGGGGTAGGGGGAAAAATAACTATTGTCTTACAGTGATTAGATAATAGTGTTTGTTTTTTTAGAATAAATTGTGAAGCTAAGATTAAAATATGCAAATATAGCACAGTATGACAATAAAATTAACAGTACAATATTGACAATTATCATATGTTGGAGGATTTCATCATGAGCTGACATTAGTGAGAGAACCATTGGAAAACCACCATCAGGGAGTACTGGACAGCTGTTTCGGCCTAATTGTCTACGAGCTTGCTAGCCTTGCAACCAGAAGGTCTTGGGTTCAAACCCCGATGGGTGCGTACTGATGAAGAGTTCAAAACTAGACTGATGAAACAGCTATCCAGTACTCCCTGGTGGTTTTCCAATGGTTCTCTAACTGATGTCTGATGATGAGATCCTACAATCAATCAAATAAAATCCCTACAAAACCAATACTTGAAAATTATTCTTTGTCACCGGGATAGGTTGAGACTGAAGGCTATGGGGGCGAAGAGTGAATTGGAAATATTTTATGGCAACTAACTCAGCTATGCTTAGCAGTCGAAAGCGTACAAATCTAAAGAACCTAGGCGGTACTTTGTATAAATTTTTGAAGGCTGAATTTTTATCAATCTTGTGCGGTGTATCCACTTGATGTGGCAATATGGAACTTCTAGTTCACTTTGCGATTCTTTTTTCCTAACAATTTTGGACAGTGCTCAAGAAGGCAGCGATGAGCTTGTCAAAGCAATCCCATTTGTTTGTTGTATTCACCGCCTCAAATCCTTAGTTTTATTGATTGCGCATATTACGCAACTACTATGTAATTCTTCATAACTTTGATTCTATGTCCCCTTGTGATCTATAGCCACACCTTTAAACTTTCAGATCAATTTGAAAATTATCTCCTATCATCTCCGTTTGTTACCATGTTGTTGTAGCTGTTACGTAAACACTTATGTATGAAAATTCGATTGTGCAGCTTTTGAGGATGAAATCGATGGATAGATATTTTTTTACTGAGCTTCTTGTTTTGTTCTTTTCTCTCTAATATCCTGATTTATTGGTATTTTTCCATGATAATGTAAATATGTGGTCAGTTGTTGGCTTACCATTTCTACTAGAATTGGTACTGTACTGAAAACAATTCACGAATAATTGACCTTTCGACTAATTCTTTTAGCAACGATGATTATGTGATATATTAATTTAGTAGCTGCAACATTTAAGATATGAACGTACAGTTTATTGGATTTATTAATTGACTTTCATCTTTTCGGTTTTGAGTTCGAGTCCCTTGAGTTTTCTCAGTATAAGATGTAGCCCATTGAAAATCAATCCTGGGTAACTCTGACAGTGATGATATCACATAGCGAATTTCGATTGCATAAATGCAATATTTCGCTAGTCCGTTTGCAATTCGCGAGGACAGGTCGTTGAACTTAAAGATGAAAGATAAATAAAAGTTGCTGGCCCTCAGTGTATTTGTTCAGGGACTTGGCGTTCATGTCAGGTAAGGCATTCCCAACAAGCTTCTTTGTCAGTCAACGATTCAACCAAAAATCGACTGCCCAGCGTAAATGCAGATGGGAATTGAAATGAGTTTGATGCATATGTCAAGGAGATTCTCAAGTGACATTATACACCAGGCCCCTCGAGTCGAACATGAATGAGAAATGATGAGTTAGGCATTGGTCGGACTGTGACATGGAGGAGATCATATGTGGAGGATATGAAAACTCATGGGCAATGTTTTAGCCAGTTATAAAAGATCGCAACGAACAGAGTGAAATGAAGATCCCCTGCTGAAGCCATGTGTTATACTAGGAACCCAAAGGATGAATAGTAAGAAGTATTATATCGACGGAGCAGTGAATTTCAAACCAATGGCTAAATAATATAATTACATTATTCTGAATATACTTATGGAACTAATCTATCTATGATCCAACAAAAAATTCAATTCACACCTCTACATAACTAGCACTATCTATCGGAATAGCCGAGTGAATAAAAAACGTCCTGGCATTAGACAATATACACGTAGAGTTCGAGTTACTTCCTACCACTTCCAATCAGTAATAATAATAATAATAATTTGCTTTATTCCGAAACAGTACAGTACACTGATACAGAATGGAATTCTCAGCATTTTTTGCTACAGTATTGCATCCAGTTGGTACATTATCAATAAATAGAATTCTACATAGATTGAGGAAATCACAGTTCATTATTACAACAACACATTGGCATGTCGGTAGCAAAGGAAAAGCTGAAACAGTGTTTGAATGTGTTAGAAAAGTGGGAGCTGTCTTATTAACTGGCGTAAGCGAGAGAAAGAAACAAAGCTGCACATAAAGGAAAAAAAGAGAGAGAGAAAAGGAAAAGAAAGAAAGAAAATGTTGTACCTATTGATGATGTGAGTTAGAAAGACGAGATCCAGTTGTACTACTGACTATTTAATGAATTATAGGTGTCACGCCTAATGCTTTCTTTATCACACAGAACACGAGCTAAGTAGGGTATGGTTGAGTTTTTGTACTTGCTGGTGCGAGCATATAGTTTTCTATATAGGCTTCTGGTTTTACCTGATGAGATGCAAGGGGAGAGTTGTGAGTGAAGAGGGTGGTGTGAGTTAGATAAAATGGATATAATATGTACCATGATTGGACACTAGTTAGTAACTAGTGTCATGCGTTTAGTCCTTGGTATTAGTGCAGACTACATCCTATCAGTCAAGTTTATAATGTCATCTAGTGTAGCCATCATGGTGCACTCTGAATTATTAGATGGTTGGAGGTAATCTACAGGAATCCCAGTTTGACCTAGGTTTCGTGCTTGTTGGCACTTACCAGTCAGAAAAGTGTCCAATACGGTCCTACAGGGTGGTAACATGTCTCTGGCTGACTGAATTACTCAGTGACACGGGTTCGAATCACAGAAGAGATATCAGCTCCTTGAAGATTGTAAATACGCCTTGCTCACTAGTGAGTGTCAACAGGCACGAAACCTAGCTCAGATTCTGAGCTTCCTGCCGATTACCTTCAGTTATCTAATAACAACGATAATGCACTATGTGCTTGGGTGATTCACTGATAGACTGCTTGCTAACCACGACTGTCAAGGGGCCGGCGTTCAGTCCCCAGCTAACGCACTCCCAAACCTCTCTTAGCCGGTAATAAGCTCTGTAAAAAGGGAAGGTGGGACGTGAGGTTAGCAATAGCACCCCGTAAAAGCACAATACCGTTACTTCAACTTCAAAGCTGAAGGTTGAAACGTTGTTTTTCACTCGATTTCAAAATACTCATTTCTCCTGATAGTTTCTGTTCGAGATAAAAGAATACTTTAGAGCGGTTTCTGTTTTCAGTATTTCGTGACAGTTTTACACTGCTGGCTATGTTTTTAACCATGGAAACTAAGCACATGTAGAACCTAAGGCTTTCTTATTAGTTCTGGGGGTGGATGCGTGCGATAAACTGGCTTCATCTCTTTAAACATTATCTGTGTCAGTATAACTTTATCAAACTGGTAAATTAACTGTTATCTTCACCAGTGAAATACATGTTTTGTTGATGGTAGACGGTTGGAGGCAATCGGCCACAGGGAGCCTTGGACCTAGGTTTCATGCTATTTGGCACTCGTCAGCAAGGCGTATCTGCAACCTTGAAGGACCCCGTGTCCCTTCTGAGATTTGAACCGGTGACACTTGCTCAGTGGTAACGTCTCTGACTGCAGCACTGGGTGATGCGGGTTCGAATCTCAGAAGGGACATGAGTTCCTTCAAGGTTGCAGATATTCCTTTCTGACGAGTGCCGACTAGCGCGAAACGTAGGTCCAAGGCTTCCTGCCGATTGCCTTCAACCATCTAATAACAGCAACAATTCAAATTGCACCGTGATAATGAGCTTCCTAGAATGTCGGCCACGTTGCAAACCTGACTGATAGAATTCAGTATGCACTAAACAAAGGACTAGACACATCACATTAATTATATTAAAATAACTACATGTTTATTGAGCGAAACTACAGTTTGTTCAACCCTAATTTCCGCTATAACCAATGCTAAATAGGTTGTTTTTAAAAAAAATTCTGTCATCGTCTTTTTTACTGTTTCATTGTTGTGTTTTGATTTTTTCTCTTCAGCCGTTTAAAACAGCTACAACAGTCATCTGTTTGCCATGGTTACAAGATATGTTATATAGTAGTGATTATCTAATCCATATATTTCATGTCTATGATTCACGTGGACGATTTATGGGCGCTGGTGAATACGATGGAGTAAGTTCAATACTATTATTATTCCCTTGAGTTCCGAGTGAAACATATAGCTTCAAAAACATATCTCCGCTTTGTCCTGTCTTCTGCTGTCCTCTTCAGCTGGGTCCACGATTACCCATAATCTTTCATCTCTTCTTCCCACACGATCTCCTCTATGTCACCCTAGATTGACGACCCATTCGTTGCCTTCCATTAGGATTCCACCTGAGCAATGGCTTGCATTGTGAGCGATATCATTTGACGGCCTTCTCAATGTATGCCTGTTCTATCTCCATTTTCTCCTACATATTTGTTGAGCAATCGGTTCTTGGTTGGTTTGTTCCCACAGTTTCTTTTTACTTATTCTTTCTGGCCATTTGATCTTGAGTATGGAGCGAAGGCAGCTGTTGATGAAAGTTTGCACTGGCTTGTTGGAAATCCTTTTCGTGACACGTAGTGCAAGTTTCTGACCCGTATAGAAGAAGTGACTGACAAACTTCACATTTGTGTTAAGTAGAATCCGAATCTTGTTCTTTATTCTGGCTGGATAGGGAGCAGAAGATTTCCAAACTGGTTTCAGGTTGATGAAGGCGTATCTTGCCTTTCCGATTCTGACTAGCCTTGACATCTTCATCCGTGCCATCCGCCTGTAGTTGAAACGATGCTTCCTAGCCAGATAAGTGAAGGAAGTAACCTGTGTTAAATCTCTCCCGTTGATGGTGATTGGTGCTGGTTGTTGTTGTTGCTGTTGGTTGGTTGGTTGGTTATCTTCATCACCTCCGTCTTCTCTATGTTCACTTGGAGTCCAATAAGTTCAGTGGCCAAGTTAATTCCTGTTATGTGATACTACGTTTTTTACATCATTGTTATTTTCATTTCCATATTCAATTGAGAGATAATATATATGGCCACAATTATCTCTACTGTAGGGTACGTGAACTTAACAAGCCAGCTTGGGGATTAGTACACGGGAAATAATCGTGAGTAGTTTCCATGTTGCTGAGATTTGATTGGTTTTAAGTTAGATGATGGATTAATATCAGTTATATATATATAACCATTGAAAGGCAGGAAGTGCTGGATAGCTGTTTCGTCCCAGCTTAGTTCTTTTCGACAGCGCGCACTAGTGACCCCATCTAAGATCGAGCTCGTTGAGATAATTCAGCCAACGAGACAGAATTCAAACCTTGATGGATTCTAACTTCTGCTACCTCGACATGGTAGGTCTCACTCTGGTCACGAATTCCTATAAGAACTTCAGATAATTTTGGACAGTAGTCAGTCACTAGTGAGCATCGGAATTATTTTCAAGTGTTGATTTGCAGGGATATGATCGATCTGAAAGTAGTTATTGACATCATTTAGAGAACCATTAGTTTTAGATGTTTTGTCCTTGTTGGAGAGTCTTCAGTTGTGCACTCCCATGACCAGGAGTCAGATTCAATGACCTTTCCTCGCAACCTGAATATTCAATCACTGATGATGCGGTTGCGGGTGTACGCCAGTGAAGAGTTCCAAAATAGAGTCGAACAGCCAGTTTTCTCAATATTTCTCGAATTGGTATGATCTAATTTTGTGAGTTCGATTATTAATTTCTCTTAATCGTAACATCTTCGTTCTGTTAACTCCATTTAAGAAAAAAAAGATTCCGTGGAATAATGCTATTTCTTTATTTCATCATCGTTGAATGTTTCTTTCCCCGGTTTACTCCAACAAAAACCTTTTTTTTCATGCTCTCATCGATAATAAAATATCAATTTGATCAGCCAGTAGTCGGTTCTTCGAAGAAATGAAAACAATTGGCATCGGTGGCTCACCGGTCGAATGCCAGCCAACTGCCAACGTAGTTGGGCATCGGTTCCCGGCCGGCACACTCTAAAACCTCACCTAGCCGACAGTAAGCTCGAAAACAACACTGCCGCTGCTGGAAATTTACAACCTGAAGCCGTATATTCCACTTGAAACTTTGTAGAATGCAAAAAAGCAACAAAAAACGGAAGAGGATGAACTGAATTATCAAATATTCTGAAGAATTGCTTAATTTAAATATGGATTCCATTGTTATGTTGTTGTCGGCTAAAGAAGTCCAGGAAAGACGAAACACCTACAATTGCATCAGAAACAGAATCTTGAAAAACCAAATCAAGACTTGAGTTTAATAGATCTAGGTGTAAAGACAACTTCTCATCAATACCATTGAGAAATGATTTGGTAAAAACTCGAGAACAGATGTACGAAACCGTTTGGTCGAACGAGGGCTAATCTGAATGTTTTTCAGTAGAGTCATGAATGTAGGTGCTGTTATGCCGCTCTATCCAAAGTCCTTTGTTTTCAGTTTACTCTCTGAGTAATGTTGCTATTCTTTCTCTTCTTCTTCTTCTTTATTTCAGCATCGTGAACAACGTCCGAAATTCACGTTTAATTTATCTAAAGGAGATTATAAAGTTATAGCACAGGTAGGCATCTTTTTTTACTGTGAATTTGTAGTTGTTAATTGTTATACCTTGAATTCACTGACAAAGTCATCCTGTGTTATTCATATGAGGCATGTATCAATTCCCTTCTTGCTGTCCTTTCAACTTGTTTTTTTCTAATTCCTTCACATTCTCAGTAAAAGGGCTTCAAGCTAGAGGCTCGAAGTTTCTGTAGCAGTGGTGATTATTTATACGGGATGGGGTTGCTAGCCTCATGCCCAAGCTTTCCTCTTTACTAGCTTTATTACTGGCTTAGCGAGGTAAAGAAGTGCGTCGGCTAGGGATTGAACCCCGGACCATGTGCTTGGTTGATGAGCATGCTAACTGCTGTGCCACCGACTCACCCTTTAACTTGTGCCCTATGATTATTGTCATTCCTTTGGATTTTGATTGGGACATCAGTGGCACATCGCCATTCCACTCTATTCTCTGCAGTCTGCTTAAGCGGACTCTAAGATTGCCCTCAGTGGATGCATGATCTATTTCCACTGCCTTCTGTATATCTGTTGGGCAATGAGTTTCTTAGTGAGTTCGTTGACAGAGTCCCTTGTGGGGTATCCTTTTCGACCGGCCATCTGATCTTAAGTATTGAGTCGGCGAAGGCCGGTGTTTTATATTTTCTGCATTATCCTGTTGGAAAGGCTTTTTTAATGCACATGCTAAGTCTGCTAAACATATAGTAGTAGGTCCTCGCACTGACTTCATGCGGATGAAGATCTGTCGTGCTTTTCTGATCCTATCTTTGGTCCCTTTGATATGCTTATCCTTTTCACCTGTATATAAAACGACGCTGCCTAAGCAACCTCCTTTAGATTGCTCCCATTGCTGGTCAGTGTTGGTTTGTCAAATATCTTCATCACCCCTGTCTTTTTCATGTGCTTGTGGAGCACTTTCTTTGCTTTTTCTTCTCCTGCTGCCAACCTTTTAGTTTTCGCCTGTAGATCGTTAAAAAAATGTATTATAAAACCTGGTAAAGATAATACTACACTGGATAATTGTCCCTTATGTGTTGTAAGAATGTCTCTCAATTACTTCAAGGATAATCACCTATAGAAATGACACCATGAGCGATAGGTGTATTCATCCAGGTCACTCTAGGTCAAGGTACTGTGGGATTCAATGATATTCCTGAGGCTGTTCTTTCACCTACCCTACCGTAATCCTAACTTTAACCGTAAAAACCTTAACCCTTCCTAATAGAATAGATTTAAATAAAAAAAGTACCTAGGGAATAAACATATTATTGTCCCGATCGATAGATGCTACCTTGATGTGGTGGTTGGGCTTGCACATCACAATGACCCAACAAGCTACACTGGCTGGAACTATTGTTCCTGCAGGTCCTACTATGCCAGGAAGGTTGTTAGGATAGCGATAGTAGCAGGTATTCCCTGCTCTGGTTTTCTTAATGCTTTTGCAATTTTATGACTTTTTTTTCTAAGTTTAAGTCAGTTTATTTTACCGGCAATATTCTTCCATTGAGGCGGTTTGACTGGGGGGGGGGGTTAGTATGCTTGCCAACCTTGCGCTGAAGGTTTGGGTCACCAACTTTGGATCGACGCACTCACAAATTCCCTATTGTACTAGCACACGTAGTCAGCCCGATGAAGAAGGAAAGTTGAGAATGAGGCTAGAAACTCCACTCCTGTAAAACACCATGGGGCTGCTAAAGCTTCAAAGTTCAATCTTGAAGTCCTAGGCTCCACTTGGAATGCAAAGAAATGAGAAGAAGTTCTTCCATAGCAGTGTATTCATCATTTGTAACCAAGTATAAGTTTATATTCATAAAACAGAAAGATTGAGTGAAGAAATATTTACTTTTCAATTAGATCCTCATCTCTAGCTCTACTCTAATATACACGTATAGCACTTTTATTACAATACACAACAATTTACCAACCAAGTGGCACTGATATGTTTGCTAACAATAATTAAACAGTGTCAACATGTCAATGGGTTGATAATTAACTAAGAAAATCAATACACACAATTAAAAGGTAGAAATGGATGGAATAAATTAATTTTACAAACATATCGCCACTTGATTGGTAAACTGTTATGTACTGTAATAAAAATGCTATGGATATATATCAGAGTAGAGTGAGATGAGGATCTAATTGAGCAAGTAAATATTTCTTCGCTCAATCTTTCTGTTTCCTAAATCTCTAAATGGGGATATTTTATATTCATAAGTCACTGAGTATGTAAGCAGCATCATGTGTCTGGTTTTTAGTGTTATTGCTAACTGAATTTTATCAGTCAGCGTGTGGTCAACAGTTTGTGAGACACTTCATCATGGCACGCTTTTTTAAGTAATGTTCGATAATTATGGGTCCAGAAAGCACTGGATCTAGGTTTCGTGCTTCTTGCTAGGATCTACAAACTCCTAATCAACTGATAATCCATTTACGATTGGAACCAGTTTCATCTAGGTCTGTTGTTGAAGACATTACCACCTAGCTATTCCTGCAAATTGCTAGAGACTATCTCATTTCATGCGTGTGTTAATCTATTCATTGCAGCAGTAATTATCTGTTGTGGATAATAGTGACTCCATTATCTAGTTCACCGTCTCCTTTTCAATTCAGGCTTAGAGTATTTTTGTAATTGCTTCACTAATGATATCAACAGGGTATCCACTTACCTGTCAGAGGGTTGACTGTACATCGTCCAGCACTCGAAGCAGGAAACGAACAAAAGTATAACAGATTTTCTTGCCACAGGTGTCTTCATAGGATCGTCCACGTGAAGTGGGACCAAAGAGAAAGTAGTATTCAAATTAGATGTAATCTGCTCACTATATAGTAATAGTAATAATCCTAATAACTGACCACATAGAAATGCATCATCAGAAATAGACACCAGATACAAGTTTGTGTACTGATCTACATACCAAGCTTAAACACAAATACCTTCCATTTCTACTACTCCCTTTGGACGAAAGCAAAAGTTTTTGATGTGGTTGTGTTCTCTGAGCTGGAGAGTTAATTTGCGAAGATTTCATCGCCATACAAGGCGACATCTTCAGCGCATACTTCAATTTGTTGAAGTGAGCTTTTAGATTTCTCCACGAGTTTATTAATCATCTCTCCCAGTGACCTTGGACGTGATTGGTTGTTTTTGTATGTTTTCACACCTCCTAGGTTATTCGTATTAAAACTGATTGTCTCTTTGACCCTTTGTGTGTGAGGTTTCCTTCTTATCGGTTGGTAAATTTTGTTAATCTCGATGTGTCTATTGATTGATGATTCACTGGAATACTAGACAGGCTTCTAAAAATTCTCTAGCATTTTTGGTGTTCCCTGTCTAATATTTGAACGTTGTCCCAGTCCCACGGACTTCAAATCCACTGGGACAACGTTCAAATATTAGAGAGAGAAAAAACACCAAGAATGCTAGAGAATTTTTAGAAGCCTGTCTAGTATTCCAGTGAATCATCAATCAATAGACACATCGAAATAGACAAAATTTACCGACCGATAAGAAGGAAACCTCACACACAAAGGGTCAAAGAGACAATCAGTTTCAATACAAGTAGCCTAGAAGGTGTGAAAACACACAAAAACAACCAGTCACGTCCAAGGTCACCAGGATAGATGATTAATAAACTCGTGGAGAAATCTTAAAGCTCACTTCAACAAATTGAAGTATGCGCTGAAGATGTTGCCTATAAGTAGGGCGATGAAAGCTTCGCAAATTAACTATCCAGCTCAGAGAACAAAAGCACATCAAAATCATTCACCTGAGCTACAAATCTTCTCTATCATATATGAAAGCAAAAGTGTTGGAATTCGGCCTGACAACCTATTTGCTTGGAAATCTGTCTATTGCTACGTTTTTTTTAATAATTAGCGTCTGAGAAGAATTTCTATTATCTTGTTTACTTATGTTTATGTTCGTTTCTAATGGTATCAGACGCTATATAACTCCCTGTTGAAACACTCGTCTTTCTTCTGTCTAATTAAAATTATTATCATTACTATTCGAAGTTTCATCACGGATTGATATCAGTTAGAGAACTATTGAAAACAAGAAATAACTGAACAGCTGTTTCCTCCTATTTCGGGACCCTTCAGCACCACGCACCTACGGTTCCACCAGCAATCGATCCTAGGACCTCCAGCTAACGAGGTGAACTCGTTAACCGCACAGGCACTTTGGCCGAAATTCAGTGATCTCTGAATTCTAACTTCTGTCAACCATTGCCAGTGGCTGGGATACCCAGCGAGCTTGCCCTCCAATCTGAAGGTCCTGGGTTCGAACTCTGGATGTGGGGGGTGCATACTGTTGAAGAGTCTCAAACTAGGACGAAACAGCTGTCCTCCTACTAGTTCTCTAGCTGATATCAATCCGTGATCAAACTTGAAACCGATCAAATCCCTACAAACTAACTCTTGAATATTATTACTATTATTATTATTATTTATTGTTTTACTTAGATTTGTCATGAAAATGGTCCCTTATTGAAACGTGGTTCGGCGACAAAATTATCCACTGTTTCCTCGACAACAAGTAATGAATTATGCCAAACACTGGATGAATCTGATTCGACTGGTGGTGATTCAACTTCAGCCAACTCTTCTTGGTCACCATTACAAGCATTGCAGAATACACCATTGTTATTACGTTTCCGATTAACTACTGGTGGAATGGAGACAACAACATCAACTGGTACTACCGGTGCTGGTCGTAAACTTGGTAGTTCTTCTTCTTCGTCAAATGGACAAAGTATTCTACGATTTGAATTTAGTGCATTGCCATCATCGCTTAATCTGAACGGATCAAAAGCTTGTTCAGCTATGGATCCATTAATCTATGATGCTAAGCAAACACTAATGGTTGCTACTGGTGATGATGATAATAGTGATAATAACAATAATAATAATTATAATAATGCCGATGGTGATAGGCGGAGGAGCGGTAGTGTTGGTGGTGGTGGTGCTTCAAATGAATCATTTTCATCAAATGAAAATGCAACTGATGAAGAAAGCAGATCAAATCGTTTCGAACTTGTCCGACGGCTGCCATGCCTTCCGAGTCGTGTAAATGCATGTGAAACAATCAGTATCTTTTTAGGTCTTACAGATGAACGGTAAGTTTTTTGTTTTCACATGGATTGCTTAGTTTGTTGGTTGACATTGTGGTATGGCAGGTTATAGGGTCTAATAATGCACTACCAAACTTTACCTAAATAACTAGATTGCTAGTTTTCCAGGCGGTCTCAAGTCCGAGTAAAGAGGGTGGGTTGGGCGTTTGGCTAGCAGCCCTGTCTGTCTCTGTCTGTCTGTCTGTTTTCGACATAGAACTTTGCACATATGTGCGGCAGTTCAAGTCGCCACAATCCATGTAGCACGCAAAGCAAGAGAAGGAAGTAGAAGAAATGCAAAATATAGACAGTAAACAGTGGTGTGAGACAAAGGAATAGTAATAACGGAGAACAAAAGTTTAATTGGAAATCATAAGTCACAAGGAGTGGATGCATCTGCGCCACTGAGAACGATTTTGAGCCATGTCGCCAATTGTTTCCAACCATTGGTTTTTACCATCCCGAGGGCCCCAACCAGGAAGTCTACATCTTCCTACGTGGCTTAGATTAACTGTTGTGGATTTCATTGATTGGTGCCATGTTTTGGTTTGACCGCCGCTAGCTCTTTTCCAGCCTGACCCTATGTCAGCTAACATTGCCCGTCGGTCGAGGAAGGCGATGACTAGGCATACGTAACACATGTTCCAACCATCTCAATCGATGTAGCTTCACAGCCTCGTCGATTGATTTCCCCTCTTTACCTAGCACTCGACCCCTAACCTCAATATTGCGTACCTTATTACACCACTTCACACGGGAGATAGAACGCAGGCACCTATGATCAAAGACACCTAATCTTTTCATGTCTTCCACTCTCAATGGCCAGGTCTCACAGCCATAAAGGAGGACGGAGCGGACTGCTGAGCAGTACACCCGCCCTTTGGTCGATAGCCGGATATCACGTCTACTAAGCCAGAGACGGCGTAAACTGGCATATGCGAAACTAGCCCTCTGTATCCGTACTGAGATTTCGTTGGCGTTAAAGTGTAACAGCTGGAATTATTATATCGTTTTTGGGGTTTGTCGTGCCTTCTAAATTTATTCTCTCGTATTGCTTATTTGTTTGTTTACTCGCTTTCGTGGAAAGTAGTCACAGTCGGTCAATATTTCCTCCTTTTTTTAGATATCCATCTTATGCAGTGCCAGGTTCATATTTTTCTGGAACAATTGGATTTTATAAATCTAATCTATTGCATAATAAGGTTAGTATACATTTCTGTTTTTATCTTAAGAATTTTCCTCCTCTGACTTATGTCACAGTGTACGAGTAGGTCCCAAGTGGAGCATAGGGCTTCAGCCAGATATCTCCACTTAGTCCTGTGTTGTTTGCAATTCTCTTTGGCTGGCTCTATGACTGCCGATAGGCACTCATCTCTTCCTCACACGATCTCCTCTATGTTACTGTCTTACGTTGTCCCAAGTTCAAGTTCCACTCAAGAGCTTGTATTTTTTAAAATTTTTGATTACAACTTGATTTCACACCGTATTTTTCTTGGTACAGGTATGGCATTTTCAGCATGTGATGTCGGTAGCCCAAATTTTGCAGGCCGACCATAGATATCAGGTGTACGTCGGCAGGGGTTTGAACCCCGGACCATGTGCATGGTCGGCGAGAGTCCTAATCGCTGTGTTCGCGATGTCACTCGACAGTCTCCTCAGCATAGGTCTTATTCATCCTTGGTTGGTTCGTTGTCTGAGAGAGTCCCTTTCCGCTAATTCCCTGCAGCCGGCCATCTGATCTTCAGTATCGAGACAGAGAAGTCGGCTGTTGATAAATGTCTGAAACCCATTCGAAATGCTTTTGATGACACGTCAAACAATTATCTGAACGGTGCAGAATTAGTGAGAGAATCTGAATTCTGTAGTTTATGCTAGGTTCAGCAGACTTCCGCACTGATTTCAAATTAATAAGTATATGTCGTGCTTTTCCGATCCTGTCTAAGTTCCATCCTCTTTCGTCCTGTCACCTGTAATTGAAATGATGCTGCCTTGATAAGTGAAAGTGGTGACCTCTCTCAAATACTATTCATTCAGCTTTCAATCATATTTAGAAAGGTGTATTCGAACTGTATTCAAAAGATTTTTAAAGTTCTCAACAAGTTATTACTTAATGTTGCAGGAATATAGAATTATCTCAAGTTGGGCCACTAACTGACATTAGATAAAGAGCCATTCAGTGCTCTCCCCCATTCCAATATAATGCATGCACCATTTGACTCCGCCCCCGTGATTTGAATGGTCATTGAGGTCAATTTATTATCTGGATTAGATCCTCGATAGAGTCATGAGGATGGCCAGAAAAGATCAACAACAAGGAGGGATCTCTGGGAACGAACCAACTCACCAGGAACCGAATGTGCAACAAATATGCAGGAAGAAATGGAGGGGGATTGGCCATACTCTGCGAAAAACAATCAAGTGACATCACATGACAGGCATTCAAGCGGCGAGTTGACCGTCCGAAGATGATATGGAGGAGATCATGTGAAGAGGAGATGAAAGCATGCAAGCAGACATGGAGCCAGGTGAAAACGTTGTTGGAGAACCAAACGCAATGGAGACGTGCGTCTGAAGCCTTATATTCCTCTAGGAATTATAGAAAACAATAATGTAATAATAATAGGGTCATGAGTGTGTACTGATGAGAAACTTCATACTAGGACGAAATAACTATATTATTACAGTAACTCCTAGTTTTCAATAATTCTCTATCTGATTTCATCGCGTGATCTGATTTGAAATAATTTGAATTAGGATCGTATTTATGGATCTCCGATTAAGTATTACAAACACTGGGATATCTTTTGATTTTATCTATCACACTTCCCTTTCTGACTAAGAAGGTGTATGTAGAATCATAATGAATATACTACTTGGCTGCTTGATAGACTATTTTAAGTTTCCAGATTAATCGTGAAATGTTTGGAGAACTTGAATTACAAACATAGTCTCCCTATGGAATAAGTCTTGGTTTCTTTCAGTCGCCGAATCCTACTTCAACTTTCATTTATCATTACTGAAAGCTAAGAAGCACTGGAGGCATTCTTCGTTCTAGTTTGAGACTGTCAAACAGCTTACACGCACATCTCCATGAGATATGGAACTCATAGGTCTTCAGGTTACTACCAGTCAAGGACTTTTTTCGGTTGGACACTGTTGGAAGGCCTCATTTCGCAATACAGCATTACAGTCATTTATTGGCATCGGTGAACATCCTCCTCACAATCGACATGGTAGAATCCAAAGGCGATTACGTCTCATTTTTTGTTTTTCACTAAGTCTGTGTTACTCTTATTTTAAGTTGGAACTAGCATTGCTTGTGTGTTTCTTCACCAGTCTTTTCTTTTGCTGTATGCAGGTAACGTACCCATTCCGTCTTATTTTGGATAATTCAAATCTATTGTCTACGACCACTCCAACTACGACTACTACGTCTCCTGCATCGTCTTCTATAGTTACACCAGCTTTGTCACCGAGTAGTTCACTCACGACAACAATTACTCCAGCATCAGAACAACCTAAAAAGTTGCCTATAAGTTATATGGGTATCGGTGTTGAAGACATGGAATGGATTCAGTGTATAGGCGATTTATTCCTGTTCAAGAATAGAAATAAAAAAGAATTAATTGCAGATAACGAATTAGCTAACTCTGTCCGTAAGACATTCAACAATAACGACGACGACGACGACCTTCAAGTACCTGGACAACAAGAAAAGCAGGCGAAAGAAAAAGAAGAGAAATCTGGGCATAAATATCAGCAGCAGCAGAATCATAAGGATGACAGTGGGGATCATCAACCTTCAACGAAATGTTTACTAAATTTATGTGAACAAGCAATGATAATGGAGACAGTGCAAACAATTCCGAATAATCAATATCCTGATGATATGCTGTCATCCAATTGGAGTGTTCATTCTGTATCTTTTGATGATACTAAATGTGAAGGTAATTTATTGATTGACCTTCTATCTATCTATTATTATTATTATTAGTCTCGGTAGCTTATACTGGTAAAATCCCCAACTGATAGCTTGGATATCACAAGGACTAAACCAATGTTTCTGGAGATCCTTCCAAGCCAGAAAGGTTGTTAGCATTGCAATTAGCCTGAAAGTAGTTACCGGAGTTGGGCAAGGTTTTCACACTCTATGCTGGGGGTTTGCGGGTAAGTTCGTACTTCTGGGGTTTAAGGAGGTAACAATAGTAAGGTGTTTCCTTCAGATGACCAGCATATTAGCTATGCTATCTCTTCACTCTGGAGAAGGGTAGAGTTAGAAAAGTCGACCTCAAAAATTTTGGCTTACCCTGTAGTGGTCCGTAACCAGCGGTAAGTTTTTAATACTGACATAACTTTCGAAACCAATTCAAAGAGATCGCAAGTGACCGGTTTCATTTAGTTGTCTCCTGGGCTCTGTGGTCACACAATACTAATTCTATTTATATTCCTTGTTCTCCATGAAGAAATCAGCTTCCATGGTGTGGGCGGCTAGGAGGTAACAAACGCCCAAACACTTCCAAAAGCACACAAAGCGCCCTCGATCATAACCCACCTTCATCTTAATCACCTTCATTATCTGGTTTTCCTGCTACTTTTAGTACTTTTCTTCTGGTTGATCCCGCTTCTTCTCTCCACTCCGTGACCAATATTAGCTACGAGAGTGCGAAGAATACTGCCAAAAGTCTCTTAAAACCACACTGCGAACTTCATATTGGATCATTTAACATCAGTACCCTTCACAAATTGAATGACTAGCATCACTAGCTAGAACTCTGGCGTCTCGAGCCATGGATGTATGTTGTGTTTCGGGGATACACATAGCAAGACCCAAGTGTAGTTATTTACTTAACCCCATCTGTCCAATGGGGTGAATGTGCAGAATTTACCTTACGAGTATCAGGAGATTCTTCGCCTAATTCTCGAGGACTCGCAGTGGTAGGGATAGCATTGAATACTCAAGCATAAAAATTCCTACTCGACTGGATCTCAGTGGATATTCGAATGTGTGCTGTCCATCCGAATGGATCCATCAGGAGAAGGAAGGACTGAGTTACCCGTCGACGTCTTTCCACAATCTCTGCTTATGCCCCAACCGACTGCAGTTTGGACGAAATAAAGGATGAGCTGTGAGAAGCAAAACGTTCAAATACAGTTGTTTTTGCAGGTGACTTCAGTGCCCAAGTAGGGAATTTGTGTCGGTCTGAGAAGTATGTTGGTGGTACCTACGGAGTTCCCTGCTGACGAACCGACAAAGGTGATCGTCTTCTACAGTGCTAACTTCAAACGCAAAGAGAAACATTGCCTAACCTGGCGACCTCCATTATCAAATCAATGGTGGACTCAAATAGACCGCATAGTGATAAGCTGTCGTTGGCGAGTATGGGTAGAAGACTGCCGCTCCTTCTGGAACATCTGCATAGACTCTAACCACACCATGGTCTGTGCTTGTTTATGCTCATGACTGGACCGACATAAAAAGGCAGTTCGCATTAAAGCCGTTACACCCACAACCTGACCAGGACACTGAGTCCCTATTTAAGAAAGAAATAGCTAAACACGTATCTGAGATCGGCAGCAAGACTCGCCTTGAAGAAACCTGACGCAATACCCAGATGCAGGTGTAAAGGCTGTTAATAATCTAAAACCAGAAAGTAGTAAAGGCTGGTAGATTTCTGCTACTGATACACCCAAGAAGACCGATTTCGGCGGGCTCCAAATGTGATGAGGGGGAAGGTGCACAAATGTAAATTGACAAAATTCTTCACAACAATTTTGAACAGTGGCAGGCGAAAAAAGCGAAAGAGATGAAGATGGCATCAGCGACAAGTAACACCAGACAACTTTTTATGCTTGTCAGGCAAACAAGTGGCAAATGATAAGTGAAACAATCTCCGAGAAAAATGGCGTCCTAATTAGCTCACACAGCAGACGATTGGGACGTTGGAAAGATTATTTTGAGGAGTAGTTTAACTGGCCTGCAGCCATGCTCAACTTGCCCAGCATGCAACACCTCGCTGAATGGAATATAGACACTGGTCCATCGTCTTTAACTGAGGTTACAAAGACTGTCTGTAATCTGAAACGTGGAAAGCAGTATGACCTGATGGAATAACTCCAGAGGTGTTTCAGGACGGTGGTGACAAATTACTGTCTAGTTTAACTAAGGCATTAGGTAATATCTGAGAATCAGAGGTTGTTACGTTCGACCTCTGTAAGTCATTGATTATCCCAGTATACAAGAATGAAGACAAGTCTTCCGGTGATAATCGTAGGGGAATTGAGTTCTGGGCTCAATAATCATGCGTAGATTAAGTGGTGCTCGGGAGGAACTAACACGAGGAAACCACGCAGGCTGTGGAACAAGTAGATGTTATATTAATCAAATCTTCACCCTTCTACGGATTCTGTCACAGGCATATTTACCCGTGTCTAACAAGTGTACTGTTTCTTGACCTGAAAGCGGAATTCGACTCCGTCCGTCGACTGAGAGGTACTATGGTAATGTTTGGCCCTGAAGGGAGTACCGAGAAAGTACATCGCACTAATCGAGGCACTCTACTCAAACTCACACAGCCACATAAGAGATTACAGAGAATTGTCATCTGAATTCAACTAAGGGACCACTGGAAGATATTTGTAGGTCTGGCTACCCTCCGTCTATGATACCTTCTCCACGAATTAGTATGAGATCATTACTTGGTGTATAATCGACTTCACCAGAAAAAGTAAGGAGGTCAACACATTGTTTTCCTGGGCAGAAATAATCATTTGTAGCTGATATTAATCACTGATTCCGATTTCTCAAAAATTTTACGAAGAATTTGTAATATTTCATTAAAATCAATATCGCGAAAAAGTATTTCCCAAAGGAATAATTTTTCAATTCAATCAATGCCCAGGAGATCCATATCATGATGATTGCTAGAATATCATAAATCTTTAAAATTCTTGGAAATGAATTTTACATCACTAGAAATTTCACCAACTTAGTCCAAAATAATTCATATGAACTGTGATCAAGATTTGACTGGATAGTTGCAAAATAATTGAGCGCCGCGTGAGAAGTAGACATTTGTAAAAAAATATATTTGTAATATCTGAGCAAAATTGAAATGATTAATTCCAACGTTTCGTTCAGTAATCTGGTCCGAACTTCTTCAGGGAAATTAATCAAAATTAACCTAACAGAGGTTTGTATATAAGAGAAACATCTCTTGTTTTTGAAACGTTGTCCAATCATGAGTCATGAAACAGGCATCAACAGGTATAATAAAGAAAAATTGTATGAACTGTGGTCAAAATTTGACCGCGGACTTTCAAAATTAGTCTACTTTTGTTAAAATATATATGTGTATGTGCAGTGTGTGTGTGTGTGTGGGGGGGGGTTAACAGTCATAAAACATTTGTTAGTCTCTCAATAAGAAAACGTAGACAATTGGGAAATTTTATTATTAATAATACTTTGATAAAGCTATTAGCATTAAATAGCGAAACGTCAGTAAAAACAAAATCGTTTTGTTTTTCATTCATTGGGAAATACAAAAACCTTTATTATAATGAATCGGGAAATTTGACCAAGGATGACTAATTGTTGATACATATCCAATTTTATTTATTAGCCAGGATTTGCCATGCATCAGTTAACATCACACCTTCACGTGTGTTCAAATTGTTGGGATTCACCCATATATGCAGGGCTTCTGCAGTCAGTCTTTCTTTATACGAACCAAAACCTTTCTGTAGAACCTTAGTCCTATCAAAGTTAATTTTATGTCCCGTTTCTATCGAATGCAGTGCAATCGCTGAGTTGTTTTCTAGCTTCTTTAAGTCTGCAGAGGACTTTGGAACCACCTTTAGACATTGTTCATGCTCTTTCACTCTTCTATTTACCTGTATCGAAGTTTCTCCTACATATACGGCGTTACAATCCCTACAATTGATCTGATATACACAATTCTGCTGGTTTTCTTGTTCTATTTTATTCTTAACCTTTACCAGTGATGAGCGTAAGGTGTTGGTTGCACGAAAATACACTCTTATGTTATGATCGTTAAGGATTCGCTTTATCTCATCCGATATTTCTTTGCGGTAAGGAATCACCGCTGTACTAACCCAATTCTTAGCAACAGGTTTTGATTCATACTTATCTTCACATTTTAAATATCTGTTTATGAAGGATTTTGGATAATTATTTGATTCAAGAGTGGATTGAACCAATTTTAATTCCTTGCTAATATCTTCCTCCTCAGTAACAAGACGTTTGGCTCTGTTAATCAGATTCTTGGCCACAGTTACTTTGGTGGTAAATGGGTGAGCTGAATAGTAATCTAGGTATCTATCCGAATTTGTCGGCTTTCTGAAAATGTTTATTTTAAATTTACCATCTAGTTTTCTTTGTACTAAACAGTCTAGGAATGCCAACTCATTCTCATCGGATTCAACCTCTTTGGAAAACTTGATGGTTTCTGACATATTGTTTATTAAATGAAAAAGTTCATTTAACAAACTACGTTTGATTATGACGAAAGTATCATCCACGTATGTTAACCACATCTTTGGAGGACTAGGGCATCTCATAATTGCATTTGTTTCTAATGAGTGCATAAACACATTAGCGACTAGCGGAGATACTGGTGATCCTATAGCAATGCCTTATGTTTGACGTAATTAATCATTTCAATTTCGCTGAGATTATACAAATGTAATTTTTTAGTTCAAAATATCTCCAGAAACACCTTTAACAACATGCATATAGAGGAAACTCGAGAGAGTTCTTTCTTTTCCTCTCTGTAATAGAAGATAGGGGGAGTGAGAATCTCTCCACCTGAATTGATCATACATCCTGATTTCACAAAAAATAGTGCCTTCACTCGATTTTGATGCATGAAATAAGTGGAATTCAGATTCCCGATTTGATTTTTCACATCAATTTTCATAGGTTCATTTGGCACCCAGTTGTGCAAATAATGCATCAACTGATAAATTGCCCTGTACTCCTGGATCAGTAGTCTCAGAATACGCTTTGACTATATAAACTACAAAAATAATTTGTTAGTTATCACTTTTACCAGTGTGCGTCGGTGGCATAACGGTTAGGACGCTCGCCAGCTATGCACATGGTCCGGGGTTCGATCCCCGGCCGACTCATTCCTTTGCCTCGCTAAGCCATAAATGATGTTGGTGAAGAGGAAAGGTTGGGCATGAGGCTATTAACCCCATCCTGTAAAATAAACACTGCTACAGAAACTTCAAGCCACTAGATTGAAGCCCTATGTTCCACTGGGGAACGTGAAGCATAAAGAAGACTTTGACCAGTTCATAACCTGTCAGCCTTCACACGGCTCATGCTGCTTTTGTAACAGTAAATGGACTTGCGTAAAACTAAAGTGCTTGATTAAAACACACCTTTGCTAATACAGCAGAATTCAGTGGAGTCATCAAACTTCAATAGAACTCTTCAGCTGAATACCCTGCCTACAATTATATGTATATGTATATACTATCAGAAATACACTGGAAGATATAAGACTGAAAAGTATACAGAGTACGATAAATCAATTTTGAAAAAGGACAAGTTCGAAAGTTTTGCATGTCAAGTGACCGACTGACACTCCACTTATTATAAAAATCAAGAGAAGAGAGTGAATGGAAGTTCAAAAGACAGGTAATAAACAAAGGGGTGAGGAAAAACAATAGAGTTTAATTGAAGATAACAAATCCCAAATAGAGAATGCATCTGCACCAGCCATTGACAACGAAGATTTTGAGCCACACCACCGATTGTCTCCAGCCTTCATTGGATTCAACCATCTTGAAGACTCCGAACAGGAAGCCTATACTTTACAACATGGGTTAAACTAACTGTTGTGGACTTCATTGACTGTTGCCATGTATCGACCACCACTAGTTCTTTTTCAACCTGATCGATCCTATGTCAGCTAACATTGCCCATTGTTGAGGAAGGAGATGATGGCTAGGATTGCGAAACACGTGGCCTAACCATCTCAATCAGTGTAACTTCACAGCCTCGTTTATAGATTCCCCTTTCTTACCTAGCACTCGACCGAAGCCTAACCTCAATATTCCTTACCTTATTACACCATTTAACAAGGGAGATAGAACGCAGGCACCCATGATCAAAGACAGCTAGGTAGCCAGGCTTTTTATGTCTTCCACTTTCAATGGCCATGTCTCACTCACAGCCATAAAGGAGGATGGAGTGAACTGCAGCTGAGGAGTACACACGTCCTTTGGTCCACAGCCAGACGGATATCACGTCTCCTAAGCCAGAGATGGCGTAAGTTTGCACATGCCAGTTGAGACAGATGAGGGAGAAGGGGTATTTGAGCCTAAAATTAGGATTATGCCTCAGTTATATCACTATAATAAAAACATTAGTTATCAGTGATAGGAATTGAAAATGTCGGGGATTGCAAACTGAATGATAATTATTTATTTTTCAATTCCGGACACTTTCAAGTTCTGCTTCGGATCACTAATTTTTCTTACTAACATTCGTTGCTTGTTTCAAAACGTAAAATGACTGGTATTGTAAAACAGATATGTATTTGTGCCTCTGTTTTAACTTTAAAACTTTGTATTTGTACTTTATCTTTTAGAAGTGAGTGATTTCAATGAATCAGCGTCTACTATGACGGATGTACAGAAGGTAACTATCACCACATTTCGTCTATTATTATTTTTCCCCGAGGTTTTGAGTGCGATACAGGGTTTCAACAGAACATCTCCATTTTGTTCTGTTTTCTGTCATCGCTTTTTATCTTGCTCCACAATTCCCCCACCACCTCATATTCTTGCACAAAGCGTCGTTGGTTTCCATTCGCGTTCCACACGATGTGTGATATCACTCAACGGTTTTCTCTGCCTGTATCCGATCCATCTCCATCCATAAAAAACTTGGAGAATCTGGATTTCGCCGATGATATATGTGTGGTTTTCCACAAACTGGAAGATATGCAAGTGAAAAGCAACAAGTTGGAGATACAGAAGAAGCATCCAGAGAAGATATGACTTCAGGTGAATATAGAGAAGGCGAAGGTGATGAAGATTCCTGGTCAACAGCAACAGACAAAATCAGCATAAATGGGAGGAACCTGAAAGAAACAACCTCTTTTACCTACCTGGGAAGCATCGTTTCAACTACGGGCGGAACTGACGAGGATATCAAAGCAAGAATCGGAAAAGAAAGACAAGCTTTCACTACTCTCAAGTCTGTGTGGAAGTCAACAGCACTCAGAATGAAAATGACAATAAGATCCGGATTTTCAACTCCAATGTCAAGTCAGTGCTACTATAAGGTTCAGAGACTTGGCGCCGCGTCACGAAGGGCACTTCGAACGAACTACAGACCTTCATCAACATCTGTCTTCGCTCAACACTACTCGAGATCAGATAGCCAGCCTGCAAAGATCAGCAACGGGGATCTCTGGGAACGAACCAACCAGGAACCGATTATGCTACAAATATCCAGGAAGAGGTGGAGGTGGATCGGCTGTACTCTGAGAAAAGAGACCATCGAGTGACATAAATATATATATATATATATATTTATATATCAGGAATTGGTAGAAGTTGAAATTCATGCACTGTTGGATGGGGTCTCAATGGTTGAGTAATTTGCGAGCTCGTCTTGTAACTGGAAAGTCCTAGTTTCGAATACTGGCTGTGGGTGCCTACTGTCGATGAGTCCCAGACTGGGCCGAAACAGCTGTCCAGTACTCCTTGATTTTCAGTGCTTCTCTAACTGATATTAATCTTTGGTTAACCCTAAAGTCGAATTTTCCCCACCGCCATGTACCAGTATATCTTCGTATCCGTAGGCTCATGGGGATCGAAAGTAATCGGTGATTCGTGTTAGTATGTATTGAACCTATAAAAATCACCAGCACTTCTACTAATTATTATAATAAATTGCTTTATTCCGAAACAGTACTTGCGTAATTCAGTTTGGAATTCTCAGCACTTATTACAATATTAACGCATCTAATCTACTTGACAACACCAAAAACAAAAATAAAAAATAATATTAATAAAGGGTATACGTAACTACGATTGATAATATCAGCTCTTTGGTATTTCCAGTGACAGTAAAGTCGAAAATGTACAAAACGTTTAGAGTGATAATGGTGATAATAATAATAACAATGTTAATAGCTAAAATTATGAAATAAATGGAATAGTGTCACCATAAATTACAAATAGGAGGGAATAAAAGAGGCAATTACTTTGGCTATAAATGTCACGCTTGACACTATCTCTATCACATAGAACACGAGCTGGCCAAATAGTGTATCGTTGAGTTTTCGTACTTATGTTTACGAGTACATATTCATTTATAATCGTAACGACAGCAGACAAGGGCCAGGTAACAGATCGTTTATTGAGGAAATCAAGAGGTATTCATAGATTTTTATGTAAATTATTATTATTCGTTATTGTTAGCAGAGAAGCAACGTCTTCTGACTGGTTGTTCTCCTGCTGAAGGTTATTCTGTCATCTCTTTTTGACCGTTTCTTAGACAGTCCGTTGATATATCTGCTAATCCGCTAAGTCTGCTGTGATTGGTTGTTGAGTTCGTCAAGGTTAGGCTTTGTTCTTGCTTTTTTTCTCATGACCAAGATTTGGGAAGTAAACATTGACGTAAATTGCTGTCTGATAATTTTGGCTAGCATACAGATCTCACCGCATAATGACTTCTATTCCTTCCTGATGATGAGACGCATCAAGGAGACGGTTGTGAATCAAGAGGGTGTTGAGAGTTAGATAATATGAATTCAAACCATTCGTCGTATGAGTTCAGGTGTGTCTGTCGACTACAACAGTAGGGAGCTGACTAAGTGGCACACTACTTACCGCTGAAATAACATTGTATATATATTTGAAACGATTGTAATCTCACCCTCACCCCTCATCCTTTTCTCTCTCTTTCGTTTTTAGGATAAGAAAATACCAACATCACCTATTAGCAAAGGGAGTGAATCAAGTGGACCGGCTAAAGATGGTGTGGATGATGCATTGATCTCACCGCCATCACCACCACCACCACAACAACAACAACAACTACTACTACTACTATTACTAATAGCTGTTCTAATCCCTGTGTCCTAAATGGTATTGATCTTTCCACACAACCAGAGCCAACAACAACGTATGCTGTAACAACAACCACTGCCTTAACACCAACGCATACAACAACAACAATAATAAAACATCCTTCAACAGTCACTGATAATCAAAACAAGCTGATGAACACTCCAGATGAATTTTATACAATTCTGTGTAAACTTCATACAGACTTGTGTACAATGGATAAACCTATGACTTATACTACTAATATTAACGGTAGTAGTAGTATTAGTAGTTGTGATATCAGTAATTCATCTGAAGTCAATTCTATCAATCATTTGTATATGATTGTAAAAGAACGTTATCACTTATGGTCTAGTGCTGATCACCTAATCCATGGACGATTATTAGATGAAAAGATCACTTTGAAAGTGTTGAAGGCAATCCATGCATCAATGAATCACGGTGATGATGATGACAATGATGATATTGATGCTGCTCTTAAGCAACAGTCAGAGTCATTGTCGCATATGACAACACATCAGGATATATTTCAGTATTTAATAAATATCCCTATACCATCTACTTCTGGTGTCAATCTCACCTTTACTACTACTACTACTGTGAATAGTAACACAAAAACATCGCTTACTGGTGATACTCCGAGTAAAAAAGTGTCACCGGCGAATTCAGACCTCCTTATGCCTATTTCGTCGACAGTACAGTCAGTCAAAGGAAAGAAATCGGCAGATTGTTCACCGAAAAATACTAACAGGACTAAGTCGGTTGAGTGTATAGTCACTGGAAAACTTGATAATACACTAGTTGATTCTATAAGGTAGGTCAATGGTATTATTACTGTTTTGAATCGGTGCACATTTCATCATTCTCTCTCTCTATCTCCGAAGTGAGTTTTCGATATTCTTGCTTAGATAAAGTTAATCGTCTATTTCTTTGAGTCAGGCTGATTTACGCCTGAATTAATCTTGTCATTGATACTAAGATTAAGTCGGTGAATGGGTTAGTTAGCGGGTGGTCAAATGAAAACCTGGCACCATTTCATGAAATCTTTGACTGCAAGTTTAAGTCAGTCATATGGAAGAAGTGTAGACAGCCTGGTTGGAGTCCTTGGGATGATAAAAACAAATGTCTGCAGACTATTTATTGGTATTATTATTTATTATTCCCTTGGGTTCCGAGTGGAACATAAGGCTTCAGCAGCAAATCTGCACTTTCTTCTATTTTCTGCTATCCTCTTCGGGTGAGTCCACCATTGTACAAAATCTCTCATCTCCTCCTCCCCTACACACGACCGTCTCCATGTCACACTCGTACAGACGACCGACTCGTCGCTTCCCATTGGGATTCCACTCGATCAATGGCCTTCATTGCGCGCGATGTCATTCGACAGGCCTTCTTAACGTTTGCCCGGTCAATCCATCTCCATTTCTCCTACATATTTGTTGAGCGATCGGCTCTTGGTTTGTTTGTTCCCAGCTAGAATTTCTTATTGTTAATTCTTTCTGGACATTTGACCTACAGTATGGAGCCAGCGATGGGTGAAGATGTTGATAAAAGTCTTCAGTGGCCTGTTGGAAATCCTTTTCGTGACACTCTTACCAAGTTTCTGACTCGTAAAGAGGAAGTGACTGACGTCACATTTGTGTTGAAAATCCGAATTTTGTTCTTTATGCTTACTGGCTGATTGCAGATTTGCAAGCTGGTTTCTGGTTGGTAAAGGCGTATCTTGGCTTTCCGATTCTGACTTTGACATCTTTATCCGTTCCGACTGCCTGTGGTTGAAACGATGCTTCCTAGGAGGAAAATTGAAGGAGGTAACCTCTGTCAAATCTCCCCCCGTTGACAGTGACTGGTGCTGGTTGTTGTTGTTGCTGGAACTTCTATACCATATCTTCTCATTTCTTTGGCTAACTGGGCATTCTTCCCAGCCGGCTTGGTACATTGTGTGAATATTCCACGTCCGCATTCTTATTCTTGCTTTCATCGAGAGAAGAAACATTATATGACAACTCTCCGTAGGTTGTCACCTGGCTGGCTGGCTGCATGAGTTCTAGTAGAGTGTCTTGATCAGTGTGATGTATTTTCTCGACATTCCCTTCATGATTAAACATTGCCACAGTGCCTCGTGATCGATAGAATCGAATTCCACTTTCAGGTCAAGAAATTATTGGGCGATTATTGGACGTCGGTACGTATGCCTATGTTCCAGAATCTGTATAAGGGTGAATATATATGATCAATATACCCTCTTCCTCTTCCACAGCCTGCCTGGTTTCCTCGTGTTAGTTCCTCTCGAGCCCCTTATTCATCTACGCATGATTATTGAGCCTATAATTTTGGATACTGTATTAGTCAGGCTGATCCCCCTGTGATTATCACACGAAGACTTGTTGTCTCCCTTCTTTAATATCGGGATAATCAATGACTCACACCAGTCGGACAGGACTCTCTTTGATTCCCAAACACTGCCTGGTACCTTGGATAACGTAGACAGTAAACTTTCTCCACCATGAGGTTATCGGAAATCTGAATATTCTTTCTCTCGAAAAAAATCTATTATGTGAAATAAAGTTAGAAAGAAGAGAACACGAAGTTCAGCAAAGATACCTGCCTTTTCGGCGATTTCATTTTCAAAAGCTGTACAATCGCATTTATAAATACATAATTTTACATGGAGACAATTCTTGTTTGATTCTATATAATTACGACGGCGAATAAAAGGTGATAATTATTCCAACTAGATATGATTTTTACGAGAGGCTTAGAAATAAAATTACACTGGATTAGAACGGATATCAAGTGTGTAAAAATGAGCATGGAAACAAAGTTGAAATAATAATTTTCAACTTGAAATGGGAGAACATTACCCAGCGTGGCTGCAAAGAGGAGGCACCGGTTCAATCAGAAGTGCCATTATTGAACATCTGATCAACACCTCCCACAACATCTCAACTGACTCTTTCAAAGCAATTTACAAAGTCAACAGAAGCCTATTAAAAGAAGTTCGTTTCCGACGTCTCTGTACTGCAGAAGCCCTCGCAATATGCATCGAGAAGCCGGAGCTGTGTATTCAAAAGAAATTAGTCCAACCTCTACAACTACCATGGACCTAGTTTGGTATGTTACTTTAGCTTCTGTTTTTTTCTTTTCTTCTTTCGTTGTTCTTTTTCTTTTCGATCCTTTTTCGTTGGCTATGTGTGTGATTCTTACTCCTTCAGTCTTCATTCGATTCACCCCATTTTTTTCAGTTATAAAAACAGTTATTTTAAGTTTGTTTCCATGCTTTTCCTGTTCACATTTATAATTCGTTTTAAAAAATTAACAATTATATCTTAATCCTGTGCAATTTTTGTGTTTCTAAGCCTCTTGTAATCGATATTCACACCTCCTGATTCCCATCTCAAGTTGAAAATTATTATTTCAACTTTGTTTCCATGCTCATTTTTACACACTTGATATCCGTTCTAATCCAGTGTAATTTTGTTTCTAAGCCTCTCGTAAAAGCCATATTTAGTTGGAAATAATTATCACCTTTTATTCGCCGTCGTAGTTATGTAGAATCAAACAAGAATTGTCTCCATGTAAAATTATGTATTTATAAATGCGATTGTACAGCTTTTGAAAATGAAATCGCCGAAAAGGGAAAGATATCTTTGCTGAACTTCGTGTCCTCTTCTTTCTAATGAAATAAAGTTATGCATTATTCATATTAATTACTTGCTCAATTTCTTTTTTTTCTCCATTTTCCTTTACAGTACCAAGGCACAAAATCAAAAACCGATAACATTCTCACAGCATGAATACAAATTACGCCTAATCGACATTCTTTCACGTTATGGTCGACTTATTGCTGAACGTGTAATTTGTTTCAATTCCCTATATAATAATAATCATAATAATAATATCATTGATTCCCGACAAAAACCTTCCAACTGGTCATTATGTCATCTATTGCAATCACAAATGAAAATTACTCATCAGTTTAATAATAATGATTCTACAACAGATTGCATATCTATCTTAACATTTTCTGAATTATTTAAACATCTTGATGATATTTATCAACGTTTGATTAAACTGACTAGTCCGACACCGACAGCAAATGATACAATTGGTGTCAATGTCAGATTAGGCAATCAAGCACTGCCTAGCTGGCTTTTATTATCATCATCTGTTGATGGAAAGTTGAGTAAAAATTTTTCAAAATTAGGCAATATGAATTGCGGTTCTGTTGGTGGACGTTTAGTCGCCTTCTTTATTCTTTATATGATTGTTAAAAAACAATATCATGAAGCGGTTGGCTATTTTATTCGTCTTTTATATCAGGTGAGATTATTAGTATCATTACTACTTAATGGTTTTGCGTCATTCCTTTGCTCTCCGATGAGTTTCAAGTGTGAGTTTTGAAATTTCTGTAGTGGTCGTTGTTGCGACCCAGACGGACTGTTTGTGGTCTGTCTGAACGCAGGAAATCGATCTCTGTCTGCGTTCTAGTTTAAAGTTTGATTGCATGGAGAATTTCATCATGAGCTGACATCAGTTAGAGAACCACTGGTAAACCTGGGAGTACTGGACAGCTGTTTCGTCCTAGTTTGGGACTCTTCATCAGTACGCACCCACCGGGGTTCGAACCCAGTGGTCTACGAGCTCGCCTTGTAACCAGAAGACCCTGGGCACGAACCCGGTGGGTGCGTACTGTGAAGAGTCCCAAACTAGGACGAAACAGCTGTCCAGTACTCCCAGGTTTTCCAGTGGTTCTCTAACTGATGTCATTTCATGATGAAATTCTCCATGCAATCAAGCAAAAATCCCCACAAAACCACTACTTTATAATTAACAAAACTTCCCCGAGACGGTTATTCATCTTAAAATATATGTGGTTCTATTCAGCAATAATGTCCAGATCTTAAAACTACGTCGCTGGTGCCGTTGGGCAGCTATACAGTTCTGAGTACAAAACAAGCACTGTAGAACAAGATTAGTTGACTAGAATTCAACAATAGGAAGTACTTTAGAATCAAGTAAAATGTTCCCAACAGTGTAGAAGCAGAATTCTGTCCACAAGAATCATACACCAACGACTCCTCCAGACAGTTCAAGGTCAGAATCACCTTGATTCACTCAAACAAAACAACAAATTATCAATATATCGTACAACCACAAAGAGAAGCATTGAAATTAGAGATTAAACAGTGACAAAGACAAATGATAAGGATCAAGTTTACATATGATACGTAGATGTCAGAAGAATGATATACAGTCTAGGTGAGAAAAAACAGATAATCAATACGAAGTTAGATGAAACATCCATTTCTGGATGTATTACTTACAAGAAGACAAGACTGCACAATCCAGAGGTCAATATATCGCAAACCAACATAGAGGGGACAGTTTTTCAACTTCCAGAGCTTCGCCCTACTGATCCGAAAACAAAACCTAGTATGTAAATTATATTCAAGGATTAGAAAAATCTGTTCAGAAGGCACGATAAAGAAAGAATTAAGTACGTTACGTGACACCCTATTAGAGAATGGATATCCATCAAGATATGTCGAGAAAAAAACATGAAGGAAAAGCCTCCGTCGCCAAAAATCGCAACTGTTCCTCTCTTCATGAAGCTGGAATTCATAGGTGACATCGAAGCAGAAATTCTTCGAAGTCGCCTTTCTAAATATCTGAAGAAGACATTTTCAAGTGGTCAACTTATGCATCACGTTCTCCAGCAGAAAATTCATCCATTCTAACGTTAAGGAAAAGATACCGCTTTTAGCCACCTCAATGTGGATTGATCAGTTTACTTGTTCGTTTGGAGCAAAGTATATCGGCCGTTTGCAACGTCAAGTTCGTAAACGTATTCTGGAACACTGTCAAGCTTGGTTAGCCAGAGAAAAGAAGAATAGCAGCAGCTCCATCCTCGAACACCTTGTCAACTCTGAACATCGAGCACCCCGTCATAAATGTTTCACAGTGCTACACAGAGTCCTTCAATGTCGTACAAAGGGGCTTCGCACACGCTATCTGTACATAGCTGAAGCATTAGCTATTAGGGATCTGAAGCCGGACCTTTGCATTCAAAAGTACTACGTACATTCACTCGCCACCCTACCGTGACCAGAGTAATGTTCTTACTATAGTTTACCTTTTTTTCATTAGGTAAGTTTAATATTATTTTTTTATTACTACTATTACTTTATTATCATTATTATTCCCATCATCCATATTTTATTATCACTCGATTACTCTTTGTTAGTAGCGGTGCGTTTTCATACAGATTTTATATAAAAACACTTTATCGTCTTTCCACTAGTTCCTGTCCATTTACACAATCTTATTGATGAGTCATTTTCTCACACTTATTACGTCACCCCAACTTATATACCCTTTTCTAATATTCAATTAGTTACCCCTTCTAGACCAGTAATATTTACTGTAAATATGAGTAAATATTACTGCATAACACTGTGACACTTTATCGAAATAAATTTTACCCACAATGGAATTATACTCTACCGCAGTCACAAGTTCTATTCTTATACTTTCTAGACAACACCTTACATTACGCAATACGTTTTTCGGGAACAAATTTTACCGGTATCCGATTGGTCTTATGAATTCTTTATTAAATATAATCATGACTGCACAGAATGAATCATCGAAAAGAAAATTTCCTTCTCCCGTTACGTCTTTTTCTTATGGCATCCAAATGATTGGTTGGAGGATTTTATCATGAGCTTACATCAGTTGGGAAACCATTGGAAAACCAACTGGGAGTACTGTGCAGCTGTCTCGTCCTAGTCTAGGACTGTTTGTCGGTACACGCTCACCGCCAGGGTTCGAACTCAGGACCTTCTGGTTACAAGACTAGCGACCTCGTAGACCATTGAGCCACTGGGACCCCATCCAACGACCCGTGATTTCTAACTTCTGCCAATTAATGACTTACCGCGACCACTTCGCAATGTCTTCTTCGATGAATTACTGCCTCACCTTCAACCTGTTGTACCCTACTGGTCACGACTTCTCACTAGAACTCCAGATTAGGGTCAGTCGCTAGTGAGCACCAGATCAATTTTCGAGTATTGGTTTTGTAGGGAATTGGCAGAAGTTGGAATTCATGAACTCGCCATCAGATAAAGTCCCAGTGGCCTAATGTCAATGAGCTAGCTCGCTGACCTTGTGACCAGTAGGTGCTGGGTTCGAACCCCTGCGTTGGGTGCGTACTGATGAAGAGTCCCAAACTAGGACGAAAGAGATATCCAGTACTCCCAGTTGGCTTTCCAATGGTTCTCTAACTGATGTCAACCCATGATGAAATCCTCCAACCGTTCAAACAAAATTACCTACAAAACCAATACTTGAAACGTCCAAATGAGTTTAAATATTGAAATTGGATCGTTCTGGAGGGATTTTCCAAAGAATTTGTCCTTTACAGTGGTGTTGTTTTTCCAACCCACCGGGGGTAGGGCTAGCCTCATATCCAACCTTCATTCTCTACTGGTCCCATGACTGGTTAAATTCGGTTTAGAATTTTATCAGTTCGGAGCTGAACACAGACCACGTGGGTGGTTTGCTTATAGTTAATGACTCCCGTCTTCACATGATGAGTTTTCTAACCTGAACAGATATTCGCGTATTTTTTTGACAAGCTAAAATCACACGTCATAATGAATACGTTACAAATCATTTCTTGATAGTGATGAAATTGTTGGGTTCACTCGTGTTGGCTTACTGAACTATTGCCCGATGAATTACAATTTTTGAAGTTTAGGTAATCAGACAGGGTCATCATTATGCCCAAGGGAAAAGAATTATTCCATTTCACTGCTTAACAGATCAATAATATGTGTTACGTGAATTCGCCTCTTTCTTTTTTCTCTCTCTCTTTTCATTCCACTATTTCCTGTGTTGTTTAGATTGATGAACCACCTGTTGGAGCATTAAGAGGTGTTATAAATTGTGCAATTCCATCGACGTCTACATCTTCATTTGGTATTCGACGTCCATGTCATGCCACCTTGGAGAATTCTATGAAAACAGCTAGATCAGCTCATCCATGGTTACTTTGGGTACGTGTGTTGTTATCTTTTCTTTCTACCCCTTCAAAGGTTGATTAGATGATTATCTTCATACAGTAATAGTTCCTTTTTGGTGTTGTATAAAAATAAATATTCATCGCATATTTTGTTGTTGATTTTTAAGAGAATGTTCCGTCTAACCTAATCTACATTTGAGAAGTTGAGACAATCAAGAATCACACGACCTCTACTTTTACTGTTTGTTAGCTTCTGCATCTTATGTGTTGTGCTTTACTGTTCTCCCTTAAGTGTTTCCTGGGTTACTCAAATAGGACTACGTTATATTGCGAAGAATATTAAAAGTTGTCAGTAGTGACAATTGGTGTACCACTTAGTCAGCTCCTTACTATTGTAGTTGACAGACACACCTGAACTCATACGACGAATGGTCTGAATTCATATTGTCTGACTCTTAACATCATCTTTATTCACAACCCTCTCCTTGATGCATCTCATCATCAGGTAGGACTGGAAGTCATTATGTGGTGAAAGCTGTCTGCTAGCCAAAATGGGTAGACAGCAATCTACGTCAATATTTACGTCCCAAATCTTGGTCATGAGAAAGAAACAAGAACAAAGCCTAACCTTGACGAACTCAACAACCAATCACAGCAGACTTAGCGGATTAGCAGATATATCAACGAACTGTCTAAGAAACGGTCAAAAAGAGATGACAGAATAACCTTCAGCAGGAGAACAACCAATCAGAAGACGTTGCTTCTCTGCTAACAGTAACGAATAATAATAATTTACATAAAAATCTATGAATACCTCTTGATTTCCTCAATAAACGATCTGTTGCCTGATCCTTGTCTTCTGTCGTTACAATTATAAATGATTATATGCTTGTAAAACCAAGTACAAAAACTCAACGATACACCATTTGGCCCGCTCGCATTCTATGTGATAGAGATAGTGTTAAGCGTGACATTTATAGCCATACTATGTAATAAGCAAAGTAACTGACGCTTTTATTCCCTCCTATTTGTAATTTATGGTGACACTATTCCATTTATTTCATAATTTTAGCTATTAACATTGTTATTATTATTATTATCACCATTATCAGTCTAAACGTTTTGTACATTTTCGACTTTACTGTCACTGGAAATACCAAAGAGCTGATATGATCAATCCTGGTTACATACGCCCTGTAATGATATTATTTCTTGTTTTTGATTGTGGTGTTGTCGAGTAGATTAAATGTGGTAATATTGTAATAAATGCTAGGAATTCTACACTGTATCACATAAGCACTGTTTTGGAATAAAGCAAATAATAATAATTATTATTATTATGAAATGATGAGTATGGTGAAGCAATTCAATGAGGATCTTGTTCTCTTTACACAATGAAGGATACTTATCAGTTGTTCGTATAAAATAAGTAGAAGATTGCAATTGGTGGGTCTCTGTGATTGAATAGAATCTCTAGGTAAACTCTCACCAATATAACCAACTATCGGATTTAGATGACCACAATTACTCATAAAGGTGGCGGAGATACCTAATCGCCGGCAAAAATAACGGGAGAAATTTGAAGGAATCGACTTCTTCCACTTACCTAAGGCAGCATCGTTCCAACTACAGGAGGTGGCACGGATAAGGATGTCAAAACCACACAGTATCAAGAAGCAAACAGAGACTTTCATTAATCTGAAATCAGACTAAAAAATCTGCTTTACTAAGCATGAAGAACAAGATTCGGATTTTCAACATTGATGTCAAATCAGTCAACGCTTCCCTATATAGATGAGAGAATTGGCATGCCCTCCGCGAAAATCATTGCCATTATGTTACTTCTACCTTTCGTCAACAACTCCCTTCTCTCTAGATAAGACAGCCGCTTAGAAAGAATTCGCAACAAGCCACTCTGTTAGGAAGCGAATCAACCAAGGATCTATTTATCAACCTACAAAATATACCCTAGAAAGTGCAGATGAATTCGATATACACTGAGGAGACTGTTGAGTAATATCAGACACCAAGCGGAACACAAATAGGAAATGACGAGTTGGGCTTTTGAAGGTGACATGCTGAAGATGGTTTGAGAAGGAGTAGATGAAGGCTATAGGCAGTTATGGTGGAGTCAGCCAGAGATAACTTCAGAGAACAGTATGGAATCGACATGTTCCACTCGGAACCCAGAGGATTAATAACACTCACTTGCTCTCTTCCTTGTGAATTAAGAGGGTAAATTACCATTAAAAAACAAATTCGTACCTTGAAGTCAACGAAACCGTCAGAACAGTCTAGTCTACTAGCTAGCGTACAAACACATTCCTCAACACTTCACTACTTCCATTCTAAAAATGATCATCATTATCATACTTTAAAGTAATAGCATGAGGGGATTTGATGTACTTCAAGTTCATGAATAATCCCCATCTAGACATTAATGAAAATACCAAAACACATATTTTAGCGAAGAGGTTCTTTTCAGAAAATGTATCTTCTCCTTTAAGATGTACAATGTTATTTATATACATTTGTATCTGGAAACAGATTAGTAACAAAAGTGTTAGTGTTAGCCAATGCAATAGGAGTTGAATAAATGTACCAGGGTTACATAATAAGGTGAATAATTAAACGAATGGGTTGTTATCAGGACAAATGAACATATAAACGACCGGAAAATATAGAATTATGTCATAGTGAATTCTAAAGAAATAAAAAAGTTATCAGAAGTTATCAAAACAAGCAAACCAACCAAAATAAAGTTGGTAGAAATCAACACCACTTCTGCCATGATGGTAGAAGTGATTGTATAATTTTCTTTTTGTATGCCTAGCTCTGGTCTCTGGAATTCAAAGGAGAGGAATGCATATTGTCTTTGACTGCTTTTTCTTCACTTTGTAGATAGAAATAACTAGTGCTAACTACTAGATGTTCGATTGTTATTATGTTAAGTTACATCACAAAATGACAGTTTGAGATACATTCAGATCTTTGGAGTACTCGACAGCCATCTCGTCGTAGTTTTGAGCTCCTCAGAAGTACGCATCGAGCATCCATTGGAGGATCTAAGCCCAAGTCCTTCAGGTTACAAAACGTGTCTGTTGGCAAATCAGCCACTGGGACGGAGTTCTATGAATTCTAACGTCTGCCAACGGGTGATAATAAACCGTCACCGCTAGACATTGTCGTCAGGTAGCATTTATCTTCGCATTTGACTGACTCGGTGGACCTTGTCGATCATAAAATATCGCCGTGGGACTTTAAAGTTCTTAATTCGAAACCCAATGGATACTACTGAAGAGTTCCAAAGTAGAACAAAACAGAGCTGTTCAGTACTCCTCCGTGGCTTTTTCAATGGTACTTTAATGAAAGTCAATTTGTGGTCTAACTCGAGTGAAATATTTATTTTTAAATCGAAGCAATCAATATATTTATCGATTGGTTGGAGGATTACATTATCGATTCTAATTCTCTTACACTGGTCTGTTTAATCTTTGTTTTCAAGAGTTTGTTTGTAAGAATTTGATTTGTTTTTCAAGTTTGGCTGGAGATTGATACCAGTTTCAGAACTATTGAAAATCAAGAAGTACTGGCCAGCTGTTTCATGCTAGTTTGGCAGCCATCAACCGCACGCATTTGTCGGGTTTCGAAATCAGGACCTTCCGCTTACAAGAGAAGCTTGTAGACCATTGAGGCACCGGTACCAGACTTAATGGCTAGCCTTTGAATTCTAACTTCTACCAATTCGTGATTTTTTGGCGCGACTGGGCACCATCCGGTGTTATCGCTGGCGAGTATTGTTTGTTCTCACTCCCGATCTGGTAGACCCTGCTGGTCACAATTTCTGGTCTTGTGACCGGAACGTCCCATGTTCGACCCTGGCGCAGTGAGTGCGTACTGCCGGCGATTCCCAAACTAAGACAGAATTGTTGTCCAGTACTCCCTGCTGGTCTTCAATAGTTCTCTAACTGATATCAATCCGTAATCTTTGTTTGCCTCATTTTGTTTTGTTTTTTTGTTTTTTTTCTGACAATTTTTTTTAGCTTTTAAGACAAATTGGTTGGAATGATATAGCTGCCTATCTGGAGCAACAAACACCAGTATTATTCCCAGGAGGAGATTACACTCTGTTAGGAGATCATGTTTAATTGCGTAATATCTTTGTATATATATATATACATATATATATATATACATAGAGACATACACGCACACATACATTAGTTTTCTCAGTCATGTACCTTCACTCCAACTCTCTCTCCATTTTGATTACTGTTCAGTTGAAATATGTAATTTTTTCGGATAATACTTTTAAGCATATACATATATACGCTTAGACTTGATACGTATATAGGTGATAATTAAATTTTAACTTCTTCAAGTCATTTATTGATTTATTCACAATTACTTATTTACTTCTGTCTGTGTTAACCTCTTCATAAACTCCTCATCATTGTCTTTGCCTTCATCAACTGTATAGTTATAGTTATCGAGCTTCCTTCATTTGGTTTAAATACCACAACGCACCCCGCCCCCGTAGCCACTTATAAAAAGAAGAGGACACTGCTGGATGAGGATAAAAGCCACTGTGATGTGTTTTTTCGCGCACCGGATGTCTGGTATAGCAAGCGCCAGCTGTAATAAAAACAAGTCAAAAGTTGATAAAACACCATCAACAACAGCAGCTGAATGTCACATCTGATCACAGCATCCCTGTGTGTAAGCACGCCAAGTACAAAGTCACATAAAACCAACTACTGACTTAGGAAACTCACATCGTAAATGATCGCCTCCGTTCTACCCCCTTTCAAGTACACTGAGACGAAGTCTTGGCAAGTTTGTATTCGAGTAACTTATATATGTATATATACCCACTCGAGAGAACACTAGAACACTACAATGATAGAAAACGTGAAGAAAACTGAGAAGACGAAGTCTCTCATCATCTTCATACTATCGTTAGTATTATTATTATTATCATTATTATTATAGGCGACTATGCTACTGTCTTCCTTCTACGTCTTCCCTCCCTTTTTTAGAAAAAAATCTTTCTCTGACTCAATAGTCTAATGTATTCTATTGTGTAGGATATTTGAATAACCTTTTTGCCAATCCCACCCCTTCACCTCGCCGCTTGTATTCTGTTAGTCTTTCTTCTCCCAATTATTGGTGCAGTCTCACCTGTTATCGTTGATGTGTTGCTGTTATTGTGGTTGGTTTGTCATTTTTGAGAGAGATTTACACTTGTCTATTTGCTTAATATTGTTGTAATAAAATAACTTTGATTGTTGTAGAAAGTTAGTTATTAAGAAGAAGAAAAAGAAACAGTTTTGTTTTTCATTCATTAATAAATAGTAATATATATATATATATATTCATTGAATAGTTCTTCATTTTTGATGCCATTTTAGAATTGATTAGCTGCAGAGTTAAATAATAGCAGCATTCTGAGAAGTGTGAATGAACAGTTGACCTGAATGTGTAACCAGTACTCACTGGGTGTGACGCGGGTTCCAATCTCAGAAGGGATGGACATGAGTTGTTCAATGAAGGCTGCAGATATGCTTTTCCTGACTGACCATTACCAACTAGCATGAAATCTAGGTCGGGTGAGTCTTCTTGCCACTTGCCTCCAACCATCCACTACCAGAATAAGGAGTGTGTTTTGCATAAAAGTAATAATAATATTAGCTTTATTCCAAACAGTACTTTTGGTACAAATATGGAATTTTTGGCATGTAGTGCGTCGGTGGCACAGTGATAGAATGCTCGCCAATCACGCTTCATGCGGTCCTGAGTTCGATCGCCAGCCGACGCACTCCTTTACCTTGGCAAGCTAGTAATAACACTGGTAAAGAGGGAAGGTTTGAAATGAGGCTAGCAACCCCATCCCGTAAAAATAAACGCCACTGCTACCGAAATTTCAAATCTCAAGTTTGAAGCCCTGTGTTTCACTCGGGACGTAAAAGAATTAAAAAAATACAATATTGATAATATTATTCAGTATAAATATGGATACAGAATTATATATTATTAACGACAATATTATAATGAAGAAAGAAGACCGTTTAACTTACGGTTACTCAGTAAGTTGGTAGAGTTTTGTTTTACACTTTTCTCATCACATAAAATGTGTGCCTGCCGAATAAGGTATTGTAGAGATTTTGTACTTAGTCCTCCGAGGATGCAGTCTTCTATAGTTGCTTCTTGTTCTACCTGATGAGATGCAAGGAGAGGGTTGTGCTTAAAGAGGATGCTCAGAGTGTAACAAGATAATATTTAATAATTGTTCACAGGAGTCCATGTATCTATCTACAACGGTATTAACGAGTTGGTGTAGCTGTACCTCACTTGCTCTAATGACGGCTTTTAGTACCCATCTCAGTATAACAAAGTCTTTCTTTAGTAGTCCGTGAAAGATTAAGGGGGAGAAGTAAATAAGTCTGGGCAGAATACAAGAATTAACAAACTGTCACGGTAGAGACGGAATTATACCAGATCGTCTTAACTTCCTCACACGTAGAACGTCAAACAAAATATCTTTCTGGAAACTAACAGGATGTGGGAAGACCAGAGGAACCATACAGTCCAAGGTGCTTAACATTTGATTTCGTTTTAACTCCAGTGGCATCTATTAGAATGGAACCATACGAACTGGCCAGTTCATGTAAGTGACACTTGTGTCTGAAAGTGAAATTAACAACTTGACATCTAGAGGGATTAGGCTTAAGACCATTTGACGACGACCACTGACTTACTTCTGACAAAAACTTTTCATTTTGGAACAATTTGACTGAGAAGTAACAGACATAGAAACAGTCAGATCATTGGCATACGTAGCAGAATGGGGCAAATCATGGAAGAAGACAGAAAAAGGGAAAGATAACAACCTTGAGGAACACCAACTATAGTAAGTGAAGCAGTGTAGGAGTATTCATTGCAAACAGTGTACTGCCTTCTATCGGAAAGTTATGAATGCAACGACTTATTAGTCCAGCATTGTGCTTGTGACGACGCAGCAAGATTGTTTAACAAAAAAGGCCTAGGTACAGGGTCAAAGGCAGATGTGTAATCCAGGAAAGCACACCAAACATATTTGGCACTTCTGTCTAAATTAGAGACGATATTATTACATAAGACGCCTACTATGTTTATAAGCAAATTGATTAGGGTCGTTAAAAGCCTCCAAGGTTATTTAAAAGCCGTTTTTCCACTATTTTTAAAAAAAAGGTGAAGTAATGGCAATAGGTGTAAACTTAACGCTTGATCCACTTGAACCTAATAGCTATCTTTTCAAACGCCGAGGCTTTATCCACGTGAGTCACCTGTTGTGAAATGGGTGTCACTTATTATTATTTTTAATTCAATATGATTTTTCTGTTGATTGCTAGTCACCATCCACCAAACTGCTTCATGTTAATCCTCAGAAATCGATAAAGTATCCTCACTAGGAGCAGAGATTTCAAGAGAGGCCGAACATTTTGGTTCAATCACTCAGTCGAAAAATCAAAATTGAATTGGAAACAAGGTGATATAGATTGGTTGGTCACTAGAGAGTGACCAATTCTATGAATTCTAGGTAGCCACTAAAGTAGGGAGTTCGTCATCGCGGCGTACTTTGAATTAATGCTAGAGGGTTGGGAATAATATTCAAGGAGTCCTGGACCTAAATGCTGTGCTTACTGCCATTCATCACCAAGGTGTATCTGGAATTCGAATCCGTGTTACCGAGCCAGTACTGCACTGAGGGGTGTTACATGGATTGACCTATCGCAGCTAGTGGTGGTCAAACCAAAACATGGAATCACTCAATGAAAGCTGTAGACTGTTTGGTTGGTTGGGGTCCTCGGAATTCTAAGAACTGATTGTTGGAGATATGACACGAAATGGTTCTCCATAGCGAAGATGCATTCATTCTCTGTGATCTATCATATCCAATAAAACCCTCATGTTGTGATTCTTTATCCCTCACATTTCTGTTTATTATCGATCTTTCAAATCTGTCTTTCTTCTCTCTTTTGTTTTCTTATGTGTGTTACATGGAGTGTGCCAAGTCAAGCGTCTAGTCTTCTGTGTGTATTAATATTTTTTATTGATGAAGAAAGCGTTGTTTCCCTGATATAAATTTCTACTTTGATAACATGTATGAAAGAATTGTAGTGATTTTGTTAAGTCAGTCAGTCTGTATTTATTTTTAGGTTATTGATTTCCAATTGATGTGACCTCGATAATATTAAGATTGATGCTTATAATTTTAGATAATAGTGTGATCTGTAATCACATAATTTATCAGTACAGTACTCATAACGTAGCTATATATAGTCGTGTAACTTCATACTGTACTAAATGGTGTATGTAGAGGTTATTGATTAACGGTTATTAAAGCACTGTGTGTTCAGTTTCACAGAAGTGGAATTTCTGTTCTTAGAGAATGATACTTTCTCAGGATAGAGATATTTATAGAAGGTAAGTTTCTATGCTCAGCATCTCTGTAAATTTTAGTTATTACAATGAGCTGGTGAACTAAGGTCAGAGTAGAAGTTTCAGTTGATTTCTCTTTCAATTCTTACTCTCTCATATTCTGTGTAAAATAGTAATTTAGAAGTGCAATAACTGACCATAGTTTATCTCTAGTAATTAGAGACTATTTAGTAAAATATTGAACTTTGTTAAAAATCTCCAAATTCTGCGCCTTACGGGACTGCTGTTCCTTTAAATTTGAACCGGATTAAAGTGTATCTGGTGACAGGATTTCATCATGGGCTGACATCGGTTAGAAAGCCATTGAGAAACCATCGTGGGGTGCTGGAAAGATGTTTCGTCTTAGTTCGGGACTCTTCAGCAATACGCAACCACCGGGACAGTTCAAAACCAGGATATTCTAGTAACAAGGAGGGCTCGTAGACCATTAAGCCACTGGGGCCCAAACCAATGGCCCATGAATTTCAGCTTCTGGTAATTTACGATATGGCGTGACCACTGGCGAATGTCGTCGCTGGAGAGTATCTGTCCCCACACCCAACCTGCTGTACCCCACTATTCACGACTTCCCAATTATTATTATTGTTATTATTACCATTGTTTCCTTTAGTTCCTAGATGAATATGGGGCTTCAGCCGGACGTCTCCAGTGCGTTCGGTTCTCTGCC